GTGAGCGAAAGTGTGTGTCGTGAGACAAGTGAGAGTGATGTGGGTGCAGTTGCATATGATTATGAGCTGAAGTGTGATGGAAGTAGATTCTGTCGAATTCGAACACTGTCCGATCGACATGCTACGCCAGAAGGGTGGACGTATGAAGATGGAAATGCGTTGACAGTGACGAATACGAATGGAAGGGCACTCGTGAACTGCTATCTGAGAACTGACTGAGACGAAGTTGACTTTTTATTAATGAAATATTTTTCTGTAGAAATATTAGAAAAAGAACGAAGTTCCATAAAAGGAAACATCATCTATGAGTTAGAGCAAGATGTTTTTCTACAGCGGCCCATCGCTTTGCAATTATTTCAGCGATTTGCTGATTGGTTCTCCTTGTCGCATCAAGAGGAAAATCGCGTGGAGAAAGATTCAAATATTCCTCACTGTAAGGGCCAAGTTTTATTAGTAGAAGTTGCTTTACGTTTTGATATTTGGCGTTCGTAATGAACCTGTCGACAATGGCTCGCCATTCGCCTGTGCAATGTGTGGATTCATGGTATGTGTCTGACAAGAAAACGACAACTAATTGTGCTCTTGTGTATATTGCGCAAACATAGTTGTGACCATTAATTTGGCAAATTTCATGTTGATAGTCTTGATCGATAAAAACGGAATCTGGAGAATTCAACTGATTCATATGATTTTGTAAAAGTCGTGTAATCTTCAGTACACGTTTTCGATTTTTTCCTGAATATGAGATAGCTATCTTCATTGGGTTCTCAGTTATAAATGGAGGGGTATCACTGGCAGACAATGGGGACATCGACAGATCTAAATTAGAAATTACTGATATTACATGAATCTATGCATAAGACTGTATTACCTGTGGTTGGACCCACCGCATCTGAAGTATGGGCAAGCCGATCATCGTTGCTCCTAATTGAAACCCCATATACCGTCTCTGCGAATTAAAAAGATATAGCTGATAAAATAATCTTGGATCGTATTTTGTTTTCTTACCGTCGACAATCCAGTTATTAATTTGTTCTTCGTCTCTTTCGGATAATAGTGGGGTATGGTTGTTTGGGTCGGTTGAAACAATATTCTGTACAGGTTCATGCTGCGGTTCTGAATTTAAATGCATATGAGTTTGCTCGTTGACTTGACGTGATTGATAAAAATTCAACTAACCTCTCACAGCGACAGAAATTCGTTCAGAATAATCGTGTTCTGCCGCATGCGCCCGTAGCTGTTGTGACGAAGTACCGATTGCATTTTCCCCTTCTTCGCGAATATGAGTAATTAACTTCGCACCCAGAACGAGTACAATGGCACAGACAAATATAGTAAAATTGGACAGGAACCAAATAGAAATGAGTAAAATAAGAACTAAGACTGCAGGAAAACTTCCCCGAGTTTCACGGATACGTCGGTTCTGTGTTCCGACTGACACGAAATTTGAATTCATGATAGAATATGTGAGCGGCTATTCAACGAATGCCTTTTTTTTTATAAACGATAAAGGATGACGACATTTTATCACGTTATTAGGGAAAAAACTTTTGATTTATCGAATGACGTAGACCTTTATGATACATTCCTTCGATGAAAAAAAGAATAGAATAGAAAAGAACAGAACAAAGTACAACAAAAATTGCATGACACTTTTCGCTAACGGCAATGCCATTCAAGACTCTTCCAGCATTTTACCTTGTATCAATATTTATAGATTATAAAGAACGTGAAACCATATAGCAAGACAAGAATATTTGCACACTACTAAAAAAATCACAATTGATGTTTATCAACAGTAAAATCATCAGAGACCATCAGTTTTTCTATAAACTTTTTCATACAGGGTAAAATATGAACATTTAAATTACTGAAAATAGAAAGAAAACTAGAATAAAGATTGTAAAAAGAAAATCGCTCCGTTTCGAATCGAATGAAGACGAATGCATAGAATTGCTCTCAAAACAGTCGAAAAGTGACATATGAAGGTCTTGCACCGTTGCAAGAGTTGCTTTTGACATATCATTTGGTGCAATAATATCTCCATTGGAAAGAACGATCACGCCTAAATTGTTCTTCTCATTAATCAACATTAAATTAACTATGCCTGGCAAGGAACCGCCGTGTCCGAAATATCGACGGCCATCACTCATCGTTTCCCAATACCAGCTGAGTCCAAATCGTTGCGTCGATTGCTGATCAGAGGGCGATATGAGACCACAACCAACCACTGTTCGAATTTCCGCAATCGACCTAGGATGAAGGACATTAGATCCATTTCTGAGAAACATTTGAAGGAACGTCGATAGAGTGCGGCCTGATACACGCAAGAGACCTGATGGATATGCGCTGAAACTGAAATGTGGAATAGAAAGCCAAGTTGGAAAATAGTCCTATATAATCAAAAGAGTAAACGTTAACGTCTCGAGTGATGATGGTATACTTACTTCCATCGGAGAAATGTTTAATTGGGGCATTATGCTATTCCATTGATCAATATGAGTTTTATTAGATGCGTAGGCGTAATGCTTGACAATATCTTCCATATTATCAAAATCGGATAGTCGCACACCGGTTTTAGTGATATCAATTCCCAACGGTTTGAGAATCTTTTCTTCGACATAGTCGATATAAGACATATTTGCTACACGTTCAACAACCAATGCAGCTAACGCTGCACCGATGTTTGAATACGATGTTTCAGCACCCGGTGGTTTTGGTAACCAATTGGATGTATTAGGATTGGCATACTTGAAACACATATCAGCTAATGATTCACTGAAGCCTTCATCACCTAGTTTATATTGAGGATATTGCTCGGGAAGGCTGAGGTAGGTAGCTGCCGAGTGTGAGAGTAATCTTCGTAGAGTGATAGCGTACGTTGGATAGTCCGGATGAAAAATCAGTCTTTGAGGTTCTTTCAAATATTTGTTAACATCTGCATCGAGATCAATGAGATTTTGTTGAACAAGATGCATAGCCGCAGTAGCAATGAACGTTTTGGAGATTGAACCAAGAGAAAAGATTGATTTATCAATATCCATAGGTTGTTTTGATACCAGCGATTGATAGCCGAAAGCTTGTTCGTAGAGTGTATGAGTAGCATTCACTACGATGATCACAGCACCAGGAATATGTACTTTCTCGAGCGATTCATTGATTATTTGCTTATTCGGACAGTTCGAAACGCCACTAACTATAATATTGAAGCAAATAACAAAACGAATTACTAATAGAACGATCATCCTCCAAATATGTTTTAGAAACAGTATGAAATCGTATCGTAAATTATATAGAACAAGAAAATACGATTTCAGCTGTTTGATTGTCGTATGACAATTAATTCGATAAGAACGAAAGCCGGTTGATAACATACGAATGACAAATACATAGTTGCAAGTAATCCTTGACATATAGAGAGATATGGTTTTTCTTTATTCTATGTGTCATTTTAACAAAGAAAAGGCATGTTTGAATATAGAAAGTCCTACAGTAAACAGCAATATCGAGAACAAATGAAACGTAGAGGAGGTTTTTCTTCTGCTTGCATATCGACCTCAGTCAATGGTTTATAATCGCCAACCATCCAAATATGAATCCAACATTGCTGATCAGGATTGATTTTCAATGTGAAATTCTCGTTGATCTTCAATCGAGATGAACGGTCAATGACCCACTGACGTAATGAATCAGCCAGACTTGGCTCCATATTGATGACATGAAATGAACCGTACGATAAACATTTCATTTGATCGATTAAGCGAATCATTTGCTGACAAGCATCAATTGTAATTGTTAGACGTTCAACGTATGGGAAAAGATAACCTAACTCAATTTGGTCGTTTCCTGGTGAAGTATTGAACTGTGGAAGGTTTAATACATAGATTTGTTGAAGGTGATCAGTGTTCGTCATTTTTGTCCATGATAAATTACAATCGATATTGAGATGATAAAGATTGGTCATCGATCGTTTGATTAAATCGAATAGCTTTTTTAATGACCATGCAGCTGTTTTGATACATAAATATTCAACACGAGAAACATCGAAGGTGGTTGTATCAAGGTTTGAAATGTATAATGTAAGTTTCTTGACACAACGATACCGAGAAAGTAATTTACAATCTGGACCAAGTTCGATTTCGTTGATTCGATCATATAGAATTGTTTGTTTCTCATTCGGTAATGTCGACGGATGGAAAGCATCACGATCATTATGAGGATATTTGATTATTTGAGAAGCAAAGTAAGGTATTGTATAAAGAATAAGATTTATAGAATCAAACGCTGCATACCATGGACGATTGGCATCTAACCAAAGTTTTGAACGAAAATGAACGAGAATATCATTTGCGTCATATTTATGCTGATCAATATTGAGTATTTTGAACTTGAAATTAAATATCAAGAGTAATGGTAAATGCTCGATAATAAACTTTTCCCATTGCTGACCGTCGAGTAGATTGGAGTTTCCTCCTGAAGTGACGTTTAATTCGAGTTGTTGCAATCGAGGCATCCGTGCAAGAAATCGTTCGAATAGAAGACGGGATATTGTTCGAGCAGAAAAAAGAACATAACCAAATAAAGAATAATACTTTTCAATAATCATCCACTTACTGAACGTATGCATGGATAGGCTAAGATGAGTTAACGTAAGCGGCATATCTTGACGTTGTTCTGCAAAATAATCGATTCCTGTACAATCTGATATTGATAGTGAAATTGTTAGTGATGATAATTTAGATGCTTGAGAAAGAATCTGACGTAGTTGATGATATGAACAGCAAGGTAACGAAAGAGATCGAAGATTTGATAATATCAAAGAAGAAAGTAAAGATTCGCGATAATAATCAGCTTCGGAATATTTTGTTACAATCAGCCGTTTGAGTTGGATTGTTGGTTCGATAAATTCAAGGTAAGAAAGTGTATCAATTTCCAAAGCAATTATGCGTTTCAATTGGTTCAAATTGGCGAAGAGTGCATGATGATTTTCTTGGATGTCAGAAAGTGTCAAAGCACGGAGACAAGTGAATTGTTCGATGGGAAAAAGTGAAAAATAGATAACAGTATGATCCGATAAAATGAGTGAAATAATTTGCTTTGGTTGAATATGTTTACAAACATTGTCAAAATGTTGTTTTAAGATCGAACGAAAATTTACATGATAATTTCGATGATTAGTAATAATACTGTCGATCTTATGACTAATTTTATGGAAGGAATAGAGAATTTCATGCGCCCAGAGATAAGCAAAAATATCATGGAGAATTTCGACAGGTAACAAATCCAAAACAAATAATTTTTCACTGTGCATAGCTCGAGACATAGAATTCTCTATAGCTAGCTGAACCACGTGCTGACAATGTGAAACAGAATCTGTGTATGTTTTTTTTTTCTTTTTCTATTCCTGTCGCTACGAAAGGAAACAACGGACTATGACGTGCAACTTAGTTAGAGAAAGAAAAGAAGAACGGTAAGATTAGATTTGTGCTTCATTTCTTTTTATAAATCGTGATGATATTCAAACTATGCCTTCGCTGTAACACCATACTTTGATAATAATAGTAAATGATGTCCTTTTCGACTTTGACTCCGCTTGTGTAAGATGTAGAGGGAGGGAGCGAGAGTATGATAACTCGAAGAGATAAGACGAACACAACAACTCCAAGTCATTACTTTTTGTTTTGTCTTCTGTATCAGTCGACATAAATTATGGGGAGAACAGTCGTTCGAAGTACTCATGTTGTTCGCAGTAGTTCAAGTTCTTCGGGTGATCGCACATGGATAGTTGCAGTTATTTTCGCATGCATTGCATTACTTTTTGTAATTCTGGCTGTTGCTTTACCTGGTTGGAATGGACGTCATTTGTTGAAAAATTGTACTTCGACTTGTTTGAGCACTACAGTGTTGTCGTTCATCGCGATGTTTCTGATTTTCTTGGGAATCATTGCAACTATACTTTTCGCGTTACGATTAATCACAAGTTTCTCTAGTGCAATCAATACATCCGCAGTGATTCTTCTTACACTTGCGGGAATATTCATTGTTGCTGCTTATGTTAGTTACAATCGTCATGATCCAAATCACTACAGTTATTATTTGATGGTTACAGCGGGTATTTTCACCTTTGTTTCATCGATCCTCACGGCATTTTGGCTTGGACGTAATTGGCATAGCGTTTGAATTTATCCATCAACATAATATTCTTTTTGTGATATATCATTTTTCAGAGTTTGTAATAAATATAGTGAGATACTCTGTGATTGAATAGTCTATCGTTATGAGAAATCAAATATCATCTAGAGGGTCACTGGGAGCATTTACCTGCAGTAAATTATTATCCTCGTATAGGTGAATTTGTAAGACCATCTTGCTAGTTATAGCCATGGAAAAAATTGGATAAGAAGAATCAGATTATCAATTGATTATGATTATGTTAATATCCTCCGATCTCTCTCTACATAAAGGAACTTTGTGGACTTTTGATCGTTTTTTAATCGATTTGAACAGATTTTTAATAAGCAATTATAATAGGTTAAAAACTTGTTTTTCTTTATAAAAAAGTCCGATAATAATCCGATTGTGTCAATTCATATTTTGCACTGTGAATGCAGAACATAAGCTATGGTGGTATAGCTAGAGAAACTACTGGCAAGAATAATAAAAAGATATAATGGAATGTATCGATGATGAATAACGCTGATTTGAAGTACGGTCCTTAGGTTCTAATGTGTGGCACTATTTAAAAAACTGATTGAAATTGAATTGATAAAATATCGATGCTGTAAATAGGCGCATCATGATGTATACACCATTAACGATCTAAAACTGTCGTTCTTGTTACTTAAAACAAATTGTGTGAGCGTCCTATAAAGTTTCTGCAAATACTTAAAAGAGTGTATTTGTAATTTTTTCTTTTGGAAACCATGAGAATCTTTCTATGTGTCTTAAGAAGACGAGTAGCTCGCGGTTATATCCAAAGCTATTTATTAAATCTCATTTTCATTGTAGACATCTACTTTTGTTCACAATTTGTTTGAACGAATACTAGAATGGCAGAATAGTCAATTGGTTTATAATACTTGTTTTTTTTCGGCTTACACAGTGAGTTTAGAGCATCTGTTGTTATACTCAGTGTTCTGTTATGAATCTTCCAACATGGTCGAAATTCCCTGGACAGTAATCTTTTACTTACAGCAAACATTTACTTTGGCGTTGTAATGTGTTCTTTTTTTTGCTATCAATAAGCAGTAGTACGATCCTTGGCACCTTTGATATTTATATTTGGTTAGAGTCTTCTATTTGTCACGTGTGTGCTTATATACTGTTTTATTTATTTGCATGGTTATTCAGTGCTTTTGCGCTGCAAGCACTTGGCAGAATGCTTCATATCGTTTATTCACATCGGTTTTTGTTGTTACGATCGACACAAATGGACCCACTGTGCATCGCATATCTTATTTACCGTTTGTGCTCTAATTGCAGGTGCTATACTTTCTATTTTCTTCTAGATTCAATGGCTCATCACACAAGAACTAAATCAGTATGTCTATCGAATACAAACGATGTGCCTTGCTTTGAGTATGCTTCTTTTACCAGTTACGTTATCTCGTGTTAATCCTCAACTAAAGTCAATTGTGTCTTGTTCGCGTCGACAGCAAACGTAGTCAGTTGTTGAAGCAGCCTATCAACTTTGATTTCCTTCATTAAACTCAAGATGAGCATGACGTTATTCCTTACATAGGCGTAGCGTATTGTACTTCTATTCATCCAGGCTGTCAGGTATTACGTACCATCAAGGATATCGCCTATAAACAATACAAACACTTTAGGCGTCAATTTCAATAACGAAAGCCACGTTCTGTCGCGAAGAGACTCTTTTTTGGTTACATGAGACATCAGAAAAAAAAAGTTATAAAAAACTACCAGTAGCAGTATGTCATTATCTATTTTTTCAGTAGAAAATCAGTTGAAACGGCTTACCAATTGCAAGGAATCGAGTTTGAATATCTTTTAGATCCGCGGAAAGAATTGCATTATGTAATTGAAACTCTGATATATTCCACTGTTGCAAAATCTGGGTAATTTTTGCAGAAGACACGATATTATTCGTTGTGTTATGTTTGTTGACCGATATAACGAAACCATGTTGATGTGTACCGAATAGTTCGACTGATGGAGTTTGCTTTTCTAATTGAATTTGAAATATTAGTCGTGAGTTTGTGTGTATAATGATATCGAACAAATGTTCTTGAACTTTCGTGAACGATTTAGTGATTACATATTGAACAGTAAGTTTATCATTCGTTTCGACTGCACGATTGAGCATTGAAATCATATCTCGTGTCTTCACACATCGGCAGTAGTTTTTCACAGAAACGTCATTCAATTCAAGTTTGATGATGTTGTTTTCATGGGAAATGAAATTTAGTAATTGAACAAGTGAATCTTTGGTTATTTTGGCGTTTTCCAGACTTATAGTATGAATTCGAAACTCTTCGATGAAGACGTAGAGCATTTTCAAGAGTGCATTTCCGTTCCGTCCACGCACGAAAACAACGCCATGTTCTATTTCTCCACCTAATCGTTCGAATCTACTTCGTGCACACTCAATTCTGTTCTCTGAACGTATTCTGTTGCAATGTCGAAGTTGAAAACATTTGAAATATTTGCTGGATTTCATAGAATACCATAAGGTCCGTCGACTAGCTGCTTTTTGCTGTTCGTTCCAAATTTCATCTAATTCAATCTTCGCACTTTTCGAAGTTGTTCCTGCGGTTTTATCTGCTTGAGGAAAGGTAATATTCGACGGTAGATCAACGATGCTTCCTACTAATACTGTGCACTTGACAACTGCTGATATCCGATAGAGGTAAGATGCATATTTGCACAAATTTTTATGTTGCTTGTTAATTTCACAAATATCATGAAAAATGAGATGGTAGTCATTCTCATTTTCACCATCGCATTGAAACCATTCCGGAGGATAGCAAGTAAATACATATTTTAACAATAGGTTGTAGCAACGAGGTTCAATACACTTTGCTAGTCGTAATATTTGATGTAGAATAGTTTTTTGTGTAGTGATCATTGTATGACAATCTATTGCGTCCGGCGTTATAGCTCGAGCTTGCTTGAATGTTGTTAATTTTCCTTCGCAGACCAAACTATTGACAGCAGCAGAATGATCATAAGTATTTTGCAGGACTGGATGCTTTTCTTCGTTGAAACATTGAATAGACATGTTCTGCATGTTGTTGCGATGCTGTATTGAATAAGTCCATCACTCTGTTCTCAACATTTATATACCTATTGGAACTGAAAAGCATTTTCCCATACGTTGTTGACTGCTGGATGAATCATGTTGTCTGCCAGGTAGGGTGACACAATTTGAAAATCATGAATTTGTTTGAACTTTTTGACTTGATGTCCTTTAGCGCACGTCTGGTGGCGGTCGACCGCGCAACCAGTACGCTGCTGTAGGTGCTACTATGCCATTGACAACATTACGTGTAATGACCTTCCATTGTTGTTTGTCGAGTGCTTGTTCTTTTGCTTCAATTGGACTGAGCCTGTGTCTTACGAAGTCCTCTTCGATATGCTTCAGCCATGTTTTCTTTGGAGCGTTACGTTGTATTTTCCATCCTTTTGTGCGTGTTTTCCATAACAATCTATGTGGAAGACGTCGTGGATTCATACGATAAATATGGCCAAACCATCGTATTCGTCGTTTTTGAATTTCTTCGAATATAGTAGATTGATTACAACACCACTTTCTGATAGTTTCATTTCTTATTTTATCTCGAAGTGAGATACTAAGAATTCGACGTAGACAACGCATTTGAAAGACCTCAAGTTTCTTCAGATCACTTTGTAGTAATGTCCATGATTCTGCACCATACAGCAGCACTGAGAGGACGAGTGATTTGTAGATCCGCATTTTTGTAGATACTTTAATGTTGCTTTTGCGCCAGAAGCACCAGGTTAATGTTCCAAACACTGCTGCAGCTTGACCAATTCGATTGGTCACATCTGCTGTTGCGGCGATCTTTTCTTCTTCGACTATTGAACCCAAGTATTTATATTTTTGAACTTGTTCAAGTTGTATATTGTCGAGTATCACGATTGCTGGTGAACCATCTGATGTGAATACTTTTGTTTTATCCGCATTGATGATTAAGCCATATGGATACGCAGCGTCTTTGATATCTTGAATAATGGCAGAAGCTTCTGGTTCTGTTTCTGCAAAGACTACACTGTCATCAGCGAACATTAGATCCGTGATGAATTCATTGTCACCAAATTGCACGCCCTGTCGATTATTGAAGACTTTTCTCATAACTGCGTCAACAGTTATATTGAACAGCAGTGGTGAGACGACACAGCCTTGGCGAACACCAGTGTATACTGAAAAATCTTCAGATTTTTCTCCATTTACGCGGACACAGCTTCTTGTTCCCTCGTACAACTGTTGAAGCAAATGTACGATCCTATCTGGCACACCCTCAGCGACAAGTGATTTCCATAATGCTGGTCGATGAACACTGTCAAATGCTGCGGCGAAATCGATAAAAACACCAACCAGTCTCTTGCCACAACGAATACGTTCTTCAAGTAGTTGTCGCAATGCAAATATTTGATCACAACACCCCCTCCCAGGCCGAAACCCGGCTTGTTCTTCGCGGGCCAATTGTTCGTGTCTTGTTTGGAGTCGTTGTTGGATCACTTTCGTGAATACCTTGCCTACGACTGACAACAGACTGATGCCTCTATAATTTTTGCATTCCTGGTTGTCTCCTTTCTTGAACGATGGAATGATCACTGCTTCTTTCCAAGCATCTGGTATGTTCTCAGATTGCCAAATCAATCGCAGTAGTGAGTGGAGACGGTTGATCAGTGGTTTACCTCCAGCTTTGAGTGCCTCAGCAACGATCTCGTCTGGTCCAGCGGCTTTTCCACTTTTTAGCTGTTTAATTGCAGATGTGATTTCAGCGATGCTAGGCTCGTCGTCTTTGATCAGTTCTGCGGTGTCTTGCAGATGTGGTGGATCGGCTGGGCTACCTCCTGGTGTTGGATGGTTGTAGAGGTTTTGGAAGTATTCTCTCCAGCGATTTAGCCGCTCGCTGTTGGAGCGTACAAAGGTACCATCAATGTTTTTGATGTTGTCACTGGTACGTTTCATCTTGCCCCCAAGACGGCGCAAGGTTGTGTACAAAGAACGATATTCTCGTCGATGTGCAGCATCTTCGAGTTCTTGTGCAACATTGTTCCAGTAGGTGTTTCGCTCGTTCTGGAGACGAATGCGAATTTCCTTGTTAAGTTGTCGATATTTTGTTTTATTGGTGAGCTTGCATTGCCTTCGTTGAGTCACCAGATCAAGACTTTCGTCTGAGATCCATGGCTGTGTTCTTTGTCGTATGATTGGACAAATTTCCTCCGTGCATTCCTTGATCACTTTACTGAATTGTTCAGTTGCTTCGTTGAGATCGCCGACTTGTTCGAGGGCGGCAAATCGATTTGTAAGTACAATTTGGAAACATTGTTGTACTGTTGGATCTGCAAGTTTTGACCACTCGCGTCGTTTGGTGGTAGTTGACCTCGGGCATGGACGTTTCAAGCGTATCTGTAAGATAGCACGTACTAGATGGTGGTCAGATCCACAATCAGCACCTCTCATTGTACGAACGTCCATCAGTGATGTTCGGAATCGTCTTCTGATAAGGAAATAGTCTAAAACCGACATTTCTTTTCCATTTGGTGCTTTCCAGGTGAGTTGATGTTTTCGTGGATGACGAAATAGGCCGTTTCCGATGACCAATTCATTTGCTGCGGCGAAAGACAATAAACGTAAACCATTGTCATTCATTTTGCCAATACCGAAATTGCCATGTACATCTTCCCAGCCCTGACGATTACTACCAACTTGTGCATTCAGATCACCAGCGATTAGAATCAAATCCCTCCTGGGTAATGTATCTAGTACCTCCTGGAATTTCGAATAGAATTCATCTTTTGATTCGTCGGGACTGACTTCAGTTGGTGCATAGACAGCAACAATATGTGTCTTTATTGTTCCATAGAGTGATAAAACTGCAAGACGACTTGAAATTGGTTGAAAGGCGATTACACTTTTGGATATTGTTTGATCGACGGCAAAGCCAACTCCTTCTACGTGTTTTTCGCCACCAGAGTAGTATAGTACCATATAATCGTCGCTGTTGGGTACTTGGACGCGCATCGTTCCAGATCCTGTTAACCGTAGTTCGGATAGTGCAGCAATGGAGATTCTATAACGCTTTAATTCGCGAACGATTATTTCGCGGCTTCCAACTTGATAACCGGTGCGAACATTCCAAGTGGCGATTTTCAAACGATTACGTGGTGTTAAGATGTAGCTTGTATTGTTTTTGATGATTTTACTGATGTTGTTGTTGCTGTTGTCATCGTTGACGTCGTTGTTGTTGTTGTTGTCATCATTGACGTCGTTGTTGTCGTAGTCATTGTTGACGCCGTTGTTGTTGCTGTCATTGTTATTATCGTAGTCATCGTTGACGCCGTTGTTGTTGCTGTCGTTGTTATTATCGTAGTCATCGTTGACGCCGTTGTTGTCGTAGTCGTAGTTGCATTTGTTGTTGTCGTAATTGTTATTGTCGTAGTCGTCGTCGTCGTTAACGTCGTTGTTGTCATTGTCGTCGTGTTGTTGTTGTTGTTGTTGTTGTTGTTGTTGTTGTTGGCCAGTAACAAACTTCTCATCGACGCCCTGGTCTCGGTCACCCGCCAGCGTCGACGCATCGGCTGCCCCGGATGCGGTAGCATAAGTTTTAACGTAATGATTTGTGGTCATAGTAGGTTCGTGCCTAGGTTTTATGTTCCTTCGGCATGGATCAACCCTCCTCCTTTATCCGGGCTTGGGACCGGCTGCAGTTTCCCACAGGCGGAGTTTGAATTTGTTTACGCACCGAATCAGAAGAAGAAAAAAAGAATAGCAAATCTTTTGGGGAAGGAGAAAGCGTCATGATGTTGAATCATTGTTTGGTTATGAGTCAAAAGTAGAGTTTTATGACAATCAGTAAACAAATCATTCGAAATAGTTAAATAAATATTATGTAGAGAAAGAATTGTGCTTTATCGAGCTATCTTGTTATTTCGTATAGTCAACTGCCAAAAAAGCAGAAATACATATGAAAATCGATCAGTCAATCCACACTCCATCGCTCAATTTCGATCCTAATACTTTAATCATTATTCCAACAGCTATTGGGCCCATGATAGTATTTAGTAATATCGCCCAAATTGTAACTATAAATGCTTCTGCGGATAAAACCTTTGCAGACACACCAATATTTGCAATTAAAAAGCCAATCTCACCACGAGATACCATACTTAATCCAACGATCAGTGCCGGGTAAATACTGCGCGACTTTTTCGCTGAAACTTCAGGCGGATTTGTTTCTACGACCTCATCGTGAGGAGTATCAACACTTCTAGATGATAAACTTCGATGAGAGATGAGCACTGGGGATGTAGTAGATGGTTGTGACATTGGAACTTGTTCAACCATAGCTATTTCAACCTTGAACAAGAAAACGGAAGATCATATTTTACTTCTTCTTCATTATTAATTAAAATAAAAACTACATACGGGCACCGTTGGTAAAACATTTGTTACTTTTGATTTCTTAAATCGAGTCGAAGCAAATGTCCAAATGATAATCCATACTCCAGTAATAAACTTGCCTAAAATCATCAATAGTGCATATACAATACCTTGCCAAAGTTCTTTCCCATGCCACAACTGTAAGAATGGCACTGCAAAACCAATCGACGCAAAGAAGAATGGTGCAAATAGATATTCTTTTATTGTTCGAATATATTTTTCGAATAGATGTTGAAATGATGTTGTATTACTATGTTCAACATCGGTCGAATCCTTCTTTCGACATTCATCCAAATGTCTCAACGTAGCTCCACAACAGTATGCACCGACCAATGTCGATGCACCTGTATACGATGCGATTGTGACAAATGCAGATAGTCCTGCAATTAAGCAGAATAACAAGATTTGATCTGAATAACGTTTAATAATCCGATTTTCACATTTTATTTTAATCCATATGCGTCCAAATACAAATCGTGCTAATAGAGTAGAAATAACGATCATAGCTATTGATGACACAATCGGTTTGAAAATTAACCATGGAAGATTTTGTTCGCCTAAATGTCCAAGTTTTTCAATCACACTGGCCATGACCAATCCAGATATGTCGTCCAACAGTGCTGCACCAACGAGAATGGTACCCATACGACTTTTGTTCAATTGATATGTTCCTTGTGACGAGAGAATAGCAAATGTCGTACCGAGACTTGTTGCACTTAGACTAGCACCCATTGTAAAAGATTCGAGCAATGTAAATTTGAATCCAATTGTACACAAGAGAATTGATAAACCGATTGGAGTTAAAATTCCGGTCAAACCAATAATGGACGAAAGAAAGAGATTACTTTTCACAGCTAAAAAGTCGAGACGTGTTTCCAATCCTCCTTCAAATACTAAGATTAACAATCCCAGATAGCCGAAATCTAGCACTGTTTGTTCCCATTCAGTTTTTAAAATATTTGCTAAAGGCGCAGCATAGATAATACCGACAAGAATCTCACCGATAAGACCAGCATAGAACAACTGATGTGCGATATAACGAGCAGCGTTGAGAAGGTAAATGAATGACGATAAAATTAAAAGAGAAACAATTGTTGGTTCGACATAACTATATGAATATGTCGTGGTGGTGCCCATCGTTAAAATGGATACATTTATTTTATCTGAAATATCAAATCGTTTGAAAAAAAAACACCATTTTAGGCGAGTGTTTTTTACAATATGAATATTTACGCTCATATAGGTTAAACTGTAATTGTGTGAAATCAAATTTCGGATTTGTTTATTAGATAAGCTGGTAGCATTTACATATATTAATATAAACACAAACATGTGATAAAAAGAGGTGATGTAATGATGTATATGTGTGCTTGATCGAATACATAATGTATAACAAAGCGAAAAAAAAGGATCATACAAGAGAGAAGAGAATATGTATATACATTATTCTCGAACATGTGTCGACTATTGTTATTAACTCGTATCGAAATATGGAGGTAGTTGTTAGTATAAATTATTTTTTCCTTTCACGATGGAATTACAAGTAAAAAAAAAACGATATTAGTTTATCAGGAATAGCAATGAATATAAACCACTGTACGTTCTTTTGTTTTCTTCACATAGCCAGGACGAATAATTATCGGCGATATGCATAACGGACGAGAAAGAATAGTTACGAATCGCTCGAAATGAACGATTTATCCGAGGTCATTCTTGACACATAACGGACAAGTGAAAACAGATTATTTCATTATTCAATTCAATAGAAGAAGCGATGCGATTTATTTTGTTTGCTACATTCATTGTCGTGGTGCTCATCGGTACATACGCTTCGATGTGTCATGCAACTCCAAGTCATGCTGTACCCAAATGGCTTATTACGTGTCAGGAGATCTGTGCCAAGTATCGCGAAACTTCGGTGAAAAACTTAGGTAGCTGTATGACAATGTGCACCAAGAAGTTGCAATCCAATTAAGAATCCTAAATGAAATGAATTTCTTGTGTTATTTTTTTTACTAATAAAGAATGCCGGAAAGTTACAGGCTAGTGAAAGATTCTCGTCAGCGTATAATATTTTTCGAAATATAAAGTGCTATTTAACAACGCAGCAAATGATTGAAGCCTGGTAGAATAATGTCAACGAGAACACAAACTGGAATTCAATAGCTTATGCAGCACTGATGAATTATGATTGCCTACAGGTAAAATGTCAGCAGAGAGACACCTAGTCGATTCATGTTTCTCTCAACCGATGATGATCATTTGCAGATCTTAAACGTAGTAATGGAATTATAGACCGTTAGCATAGGCATATTGATCTCTCCGAATCTTTCTTGAGGGTATAAAGTTAAAAGCATCTGACAATTTCCACTTTTAGTAAATAGCCTCTCGGTCACACTTTGAAACAAAAAAAAATGAAAGACTTGAGTGTTATCAAAAACATTTCAAATAATCCATTCAGTGGTAGTTACAAAGAAAACGAATTGTATTCGTACTCATCGAAAAGAAAACGTATAACATATTTCTTTATATTACATTTTAAAAGTGAATTGCAATGAGTGATTCATCTGCTTTCACACTCCGAATTGCGAGAAAGAAAATCTACGTAAAATAGAACGAGAAAAAAAAACGAAACGACATACGACAGAGAACCATTTTTCTTTTTCATCAGTGAAGTCAGTAATCGACAACAACAGCGCCACATGGAACAACAAGAAAAACTCAATCCTAGCGGGTAATTTTCAAAGTGCATGAAAAAAGTGTTCGATACCTTGTATACGGAAAACGACACTTATGATAAACTTTTCTTTTACATAAATATTCTCACTGTATTCTGCTTAACATAGAGGTCAGGCAGATCATCAATACACAAAAACGAACAGTAAACCGATGACCACCACACCGAAGGTCAACGATAACTGTGAGAATGATAAAACAAAGGAATCAACTGGCAGTGCTCCAAACGTTTGTATTCGTCGAGCGGTAACATCGAGAACACAAGAAGACGATTGAATGAATGTTCCGTACTTGATTTTTCTGCTCCCAAACTATGAAAACACACTCTTATGTATGATCGATCAGACTAATAAAAACTCTAGCGAAGTTAATTAGCAGATGTCCTCATACACGAACAACAAAGTAATATCTGCTTGTGCGACTTTTCTTACATAGATATAACGATGTAAACAGTATGGGGCAGAGAATGCTAATTGATTCTATTACTACAAAAAAATTCTTCGAAAAGGAAAGAACAAAATGGATATAATCAGCGTTTGGTAGTAAATATCGATATTTGCATGTATTGACTTCCCCGCGAAGATTATAAGTGAAAACAATGCAATATGGATTTTGTTTATCATTGATATTTTTGTAGCGTGAAGAAAAAGAAATAACATCATCGTCTTCTCGGTTAGTTTATATGTATGTAACTGAATAGATCTAGCTATACTGGGAAAAGAAGAAAAGAACTATCATCACCCTGTATTGACGAATCTATTATAAGTATATGTGAATATTATTTTAATGACGAATGCAAGAAATTCGCCGACGACACGGTCTGTTACAGAAAGTGTTTATGTCGCTGCTCGTTCTCGTCTTATTCGCGCCATTCGTGAACTGAATCTTTTCTCTGATCATCCACTTTGGTCATCAGCACTTACACATGCTGAACAAATACTTAATACACGACTTTTTTTCTTTGTTCTTGTCATCTCCATTCTAACAATCATTGCTTACACAAGCCTTCGTATTCGAACACATGACATCACTCTCGAGAATTTTTCTCTTGATGATTTCGAACGACTCGAAGCTCATCATCCACATACGCTCAGTGCTCCTTGCACTCAACTATCGATTCCATATAATACATTTGTTAATCTCTCATCCGAATTTCATCCGATTTGTTCGAGTTTTTTCATTAGTGATAAATGGATTTCGTCTCTTTTTCTTCCCAATGCTACCACTCATCATCTTCTCGACTTGCGAACATTTACTTTTGCGCAATTTCGTGCACTTGCTCTACTTTGTCGTACAGCGCGTCGAGCTGTTAAGAATGCTCAACATACGTTTGCGTCGACTCATCTCGTGGCACACCGAGCTTTCTCTCGTGCTGAATTCATACGAATTATGGATGTCGTATTCAATAATTTCAAACGGAATACAATAGTTAACGAGAAACGAATAGCAGCTTTGACTTCGTTAAGTATAGTCGAAAATCGAGTCATTTCTGCATTAAGAACTAATTATTACATTCAGTCGAAACCCGGTACACGTTCGTACTTAGCAATCAACGGTGTCTATGCTAGACAAAGTATGACAAACAAGTCGAATTGCTTCTGTCGACCAGAAGGAAACCGATGTGTTAGTCCAGCTGGTATTTTTGATAAATGGATGCCACCGGAGACACTCAATGCAACCCAATCGATAGCAATGCCTCGTATGCAAGTAAAAGAAACGATGCATACTTTTAGAATGAGAAGTGAAACTCTGTACATCTGTTCTAGATTCCAGGTTTGATGGCGGGCTGTCTTCCTCTTGAGTCCATGCGTCAATCAACACTTGAATGTCTCTATAACCAATCGTGCATCAATATTTTAAATTTTCAATTACAACGACCTCGGCCGAAAGCATTAAAAACTTCCGGTTCTAGATTTCCAATCAATGCGACGATTGAATCTATGTTTGACGAATCCCTTTTTCTTGAATCATGGCAAAGCAAGCCGAATTATGAAGCATATTTTGCTGCTTGTGCACCACGAACTCTTTCCTACAGTTACGTCGGTCCAGTTTCTCTGGCAACAATCTTTACTGTATGTGTAAGTGCTTTCGGTGGTCTTGTTATTGCTTGGCAATTGATTATGCCAGCTATCATTAAACTATGGAAACGAATCGTATGGAGCCGAAGACGACGGAAGCATGCAGCAACTCCGAACAGTCCAACTAGTATTGAAGAAGCCATCCTCAGCGTGGCGCCAAGACCACTCAATCAAGGTTCGTAAGGAAATTTCGAAAAAGGAACCTAAATTGCAGGAATTTCTTTTTTCAGCCGTCATTGCTCACGCACATCGCACGATTTTTACATTTAATTTGTTTTCACAAGATGATGACAATGATCCTGAAGACGAACGTGCAGAGATCATCGCCACTCGCTTATATATTCTATTTTTACTGATTGGTCTCATTATTCTGGGTTGTTATACATTTATTACGACACATACGAACACCTACAATTTTGATTCGCCTTCAATGGACGATTTTGAAGAATTACATTTACAACATGCATCAGGATTGGAGTGCCAATGCACACATATGTCGATATCTCACGGACGTATGCTCACGATTATCCCTCGTTACCATGAAATATGTACGAGTGAATTTCTTCAAGATTATTGGCTGTCTTACTTTGGTGCGGTGCAGCTTGATGCATTCGAACTTTCGTTTCTGACAAATGACTTTCGAGTTAGTGGTCAATCGTTCTTTGAACTTCTAAAGATATTTTGTAAAACAACCAATGAAACGATTCAAAATGCGCTTGACGTATTCTATTCGAATAGATTTTTCACAGCGAACGCCATATCACGTGAAGAATTCAATGTACGAATGACTGATCGTATGAAACAATTTGAGCATCAAATTATCTCATCATTTCTTAATCTCGTCGATCTTGTACATTCTTCTATTAAAACAAATCGTCTCGTTACGGAAATGTTCACTAGTGATGCACCTGTTTCCTCATTCGACAATCAAACATCGACATGGTCGCTTCGTTTCCGACCTCGACGGTATTATTCAAACTCCTGTTCATGTGCATTGTCAAATCGATGTACACGCCCAATAGGATTTTATTATCAATCTGATAAAGTTAATTCTTCACCTAATATCACTGTACCCGGCTTAGTTCTCGGCTGTTATCCCGTCGATTCGTTTTTATTGTCAACATTAGAATGTTTCTACGATCGAAAGTGTCTGAAACTTATTGTAGACATGTATGACTTTGATGTCATTGGTTTAGTTTTGCCATTAGATAAACGAGCCATGAATGTGTCATCATTGAATAGTGAGAATAGTCGTTTTCATCCGAATAGTACGATAGAAGAAATTTTCTCGCAATTATTTATCGAAGAATGGATTACTTCGCATAACTATACGGATTATTTCGCACGTTGTGCACCGAAACAATGTACGTACAATGTTATGCAACGCTTTGACATGCCATATATGATAACGATGATGCTCGGTTTTGGCGGTGGGTTAAGTGTCGTTTTGGAAGTAATTCTACCACCGATAGTTAAACTGCTGAGACGATGGTTAAGAAAACGAGAACGGCGCCAAGAGAGAGATGGTGACACAACAATAAGTAAGAGAGATTTGAGTAATTTCTATCTTTGTGTAAATATCTTTGTTTAGATACCGCTGTTAATTTCAATAATCGAGATTATCAGCGAGTTTTTTTGACAGTTAATTTCTTTGAAACTGAAATATCGGCAACTAACAAACGATTCGAATACGAAGAAATTATTGCTACTCGCATCTATATTTTCCTCTTTGTCCTTTGCCTTATCGCCGCCTTTCTTTACGCTGGTCCATTTACCGATGAAATCAAAACGACAACAATCGCATATCCAACATCCGACATTGTCAATGACCTGCATTCTAGACAACTGTTAACTCTCTCTTGCCCATGTTCGACTGCAGCAATCAATTATTCGACTTTTCTGCAAATCACCCCGCATTATTATCAAATATGTTCTAGTGAATTCGTATCGTCTGCTTATTGGACTTTTCTATTCGAAAAAGAAGATAATATTTCTTTAGCACTCAGTGCTCATTATCGACTATTAGCATCGTTATGCGATGTTGCTCGACGAACGATTGACAACAAGAAGGAACTATTTGAGACACGTGAATTGATCAATGTAGAAGCAATTACGCGCTCGTCGTTCGAAACTCAAATTGATGCACTTGTCTCAACATTTATTACGCAGATTCCTGCTGATTTCCGTCGGATACTTTCATTCACAATCGGTTCGTTCCGAGTCAATCAGCTATTGAACGCTTTTACTACTAATTGGCACGTGGATTTTGCGACTGAAAACGAATATTATATGATAAATACTCGTCCACGTCGTTTCTCATCATCGAATTGCACTTGTGCAACATCGTCTAATTGTATCGAACAACTGACAGAAAATACCTATACCGGCTGCTTCCCATTTGATGGACTTCGATTATCCACATATGAAAATCTCTCCATGAATTATTTAACTCAAAAACTCTTTGTAGAAACATGGCAAAATGAAAGTAATTACACGACATATTTCGAAACTTGTCGACCATTGGAATGCCAATATACACTACCTGATAGAAGCAATTTCCTGTATATATTAACAACTGTTTTAGGACTATATGGAGGTAAGGTGAAGAATAATTCGTCTTCGTAGTATCAATGTTTGAATTTGATTTAGGCTTGAGATACATCCTTCGTCTGATTATTGGACAAAGTTTATTGGCGTACCGTTGGTGGATGAAACATATTCGACGACAACAAATAGATGTTGTCGCATCTAACGCAGTGACTCTTTAAAAATAATATAAAAGAATGATTTTTTTCCAACAAATGATAAGCAAACGTGAATCATGACTATTGAATATCTCTTCTTCGAGTTCATGTTTATTTTTTTGTCAAAGAGAAAAAAAAACATATAAATAGAGGGGAATGCTGCCGAATGAAAGTTATCGAGAAATTAAGGTGCTCTTTTGAAGTTATCATTTCGCAAGCGTATGGGCCAATGTGGAGTGTGTTTAACGACATTTCTTGGATTTGCTGCGATAGTCTTAACAATAACAGGTAGTATCATGTTTGGGATACAACGTCACAAAGAAAATTATTTTGTGGAAAATAACTGTTTGGTGTTGAAAGAGGAAATCATTATACATTCATGTTCGAACTATGCGATTTGTTATGTGCCTATATGGACTGTTCAATATGATAGAAAGTTGGTTACGATAAGCAATAGTACAACACTTGTTCGAATCATGGGTTCGTATTTACGTAAATATGTGGACGCATTGGATGAATTAGAACTACATCCCGTAAGAATGCAGACCTAAAGTATTTTGTTTATTCTCTATATGTAGGTTGTTTTCCTTTGTTCGTAGATCAACTCTAGTCACAAATGTTACCATGACAAACGAACAAGCGAGAATACTGCTCAATGGGACAAGCCTAGTTCGACAAATGGTTTAATTGTTCTTGTCGTTGGATGTGTCTTGATATTCACTACTATTGTTGCATGCTCTATTATGTTTTTCATGCACAGATAACTATGATAAATCATCTTTCGTATCACAGCATATAAACATATTGCAAAAAGAAATTTGTCACAATAAAATCAACCAGTCTGAATAGAAAAAGAACAAAATGTTTACAAATACTTTAAGCTTTCTGCCAGGATCAGGAAAAGTCTATCTAGTCATTTAAAGGCGTTCCATCTGCAGGAACGATTCGATGTTCTCTAGTGGATGCTGCGTTGCTCAACACACGATGAAGTTTAAGGCAATTCTTGAAGAATTTTTTCAGTTCATTTCTGAAAGCTGCTGACGTAATTAGATTCGAATACATTGCTGTTGAAGCATTCATGTATTGTAATATTGAACCGGCAAGAAACGACAAAAAAGCATCAACCGCTGCTCGATCTTTACTTTTGATTACATTCACTGTGGCGGCTGCGTAAACAGTATTGATCGGAAATGGTAATGTCGAAGCGCAATAGATCATGACTTCCACAGAAAGCATCTAATCATATAGAATTCAACATTAGCAATATTACAGAAGCATAGACTGACCTTCATGATTTGAAAGTCGGTTCTTTTAATACGTGTCTGCCGTCTTTGGTCGCTGTTCGCCGGTTGAATTCGTCGTCGCATGTAACGAAGATTCCGATATGCTAATAAACCAAAAGTAACCATAGAGAATGGCGGAAGAATACCCGCACAAATAATAGCATACACAGCATACAAAATACGATATATTCCTGGCATAATACATTGATTTCCTTCGATTGTATTAAAAATCGCGATGTGTATAGGTAAAAAAATCCAAATAAGAATAACTAGTGGAATAAGTCGAAATGCATTTTGACTGCGACTGAACGCTCGTATACGAACATCCGGCGAACAAAGAGCATAGCGATCGGCACACGCTAGTACAATATATGTTCGAGAAATCATAAAAAGTGAACTAATCAAATACGGCCGGATTTTACAATAGATTGTTGAATATGCCAGAGGATCTTTGTTGGTCACTGAGTACATATTCGTTGACATGGCCCATATTAATAATATCGTATGTGAGATAGATGATGCGATAAAATAGATACTACAACTATTTGAGCGTAGATTTTTTTGAAGAAAAACTCCACAGTTAATCATGTTCCCACTAGCTCCGAAGAATAATACCAATGGCATTCCATATAATGTCATATATCCTTGAATATTCACAAGTGTCGATGATAGTCGCGACGTATCTGTGATATTTAACATAACTGCGAAGATTCCATACACTATTGAGGATAAATTGAATTATATATATAAGTTTACTTCGTGTTAAAAAATAGTCTAGATAGAAGGAAAAAGAATGTTCAGTGCGTCATCGACAAATAGTATATTAAACAACACCCTTTTATACTTAATGTCAATCTTTCTCACCTGCAGACACATTAGAAATTAATAGAGCGAATGAGAGGATTATTATGTATGCCGATGACGGATGCGCTCTTTAATTAATGATCGAGTTATGAAATTTTTATATTTTAGCGTGTAGATCTTCTTTGCTATGCTATAAACTTCTACGAAATAGGAAAAGACGAATGTCTTCATATAATTTTCAAGATCTCTTTATTATGTAAAATTGAAAAACCGACGCTTTTTTTTTGTTCTTGACGTCAAAACTCCGAAACTATACATATGTAAAAATAGAGAAATTGTTATTCATGGAGCAGATGGTGAAGTCCCAGATGTTCATGTTTTCTTTAGTTTTACTTCCCCAAACCAAAGAGGCATTTCTTTCTCTTTCCTCTTATACGACCCATACAAATGAAAAAACAACAACAACATTAACTGACAGAATATGATTTTTATTTCGTTAATACTAAACGACGCAGGTCAATTTCTTATTTCAGTTGGAGAAGAAAACGTTGCATGTAGTTAATATGACAATCATGTGAAAAATACGTGCCATGGCGAAGTCGCGTACGATTACAATAGTAACCTCATTCTTCTCCTGTGAACAGATGGTGAACCATCGAACAAAAAAAGTTTTGTTATTCACATCTATCTGTATCTCGTTGCAATCAGCGGAAAAAGAGTGGATTCATTTTGAGAAATGCATACTCAAAAAAGTATGGTCCAGCGTGAAGGTTATTCTCTTTGATCGCGATGACATAATTGTTTCGTCGTAGAAGATCGAAGAAGCCTTGAATAATAGTAATATTTGTTGGATGAACTTCGACGAGAATTTGTCGTGGGAAAGTTCTTTTATCAGATTGAAATAAATGAGGAAAAAACGAATATTCCGCTCCTTCAATATCAATCTTAAGTATGTCAATCGTTTTAGCTGTATGATTCAGTTCTTGAACAATACTAGGCCAACTTTGTGAATTGTTAGGTACAACACCATCGCCGAAAGTGATCGCATGAAACGTGCATACGTTCGTCGGACACGAATACACATTTTTATCGAATGCATGAACTTCACAGTGGGGTATGAGTTTTTTAATTTCTGTTTCGAATGAGAAATCCCCATTGGAGCCAACACTATAAATGAGACAATTTGCTTGGGATTTTAATCGATATGAATCGCACACCCATTTGCCACCATCGCCTCGTGTACCTATACGTCGCGTACTCGAACAGTGAAAGGTCGATTCCCAATTCGTTGAAAAGAACACCGGATCGGGATGTCGTACGGCATTCAAATCATCTTGAGCATGATGGATCTGTTTACGTTCATTCCATACGGCTTTGGATTCACAAATAAAACCATCACTTTCAAGAAGTGATTGTTCGCAATCGTTATTAGCCAAAGAAGAATCTAATTTTGCACACGATTGATAGATTCGATGAAGTACGAACAATAATATAACAACACACAACAAGGTCACTGCATGTACACTCGATAGTTTTTTCATATGTATGAAACTTGTTATAATCGATAAAATCTCGACGATGATAATGTGCAGCTAAATAGTACAGAATTCAGAATAAATCAAGTAAGAAAGAGAACGGTGAAAGAATGAGAGACAACTGAGTGAATACTTAGAAGGCGTAATGAAAGTACAGAGCTTTTCTCGTACGATCAAAAAGGAGAAAATAAATTCCACAAGTGTGAATATTCAAAGTAATATTTAATGAATAAAACTACACACACAAGGTAGAATTTTTTTTTCAGACAAAAGATTGTAAAATGATGTGTCTTTTGAAAAAAAAACGAGTGCTCCTTCTTTTCTTTTTTGAAGGGATTTTAATGTCGTTAGAAAATGTGCTTGTCAGAGTTGTCTGTCTGAACCGTGCTTCATGAAACGCAAAAAAAGAACAAAATGCGCTCTGGCAGTGTAATAACAATACCTTTCAAACAATCGTGCCTACAGTTCTTTCTTCTCCTATAATTCTTTCGCTAAAGCAAAAGAGAAAGCCGGTAGAGAATTTGTAACGATACAACAGAAAGAAAATGTAAATAAACTCGTTTGAATCGATAGAATCCTTTTCTTTTCATGATTCTGAATAGTTACTTCCTTTCTCAGAATAATCCATGGATTGAAAACAGTATTGATTATGTCCTTGAGCAACTTTCTTCAACAAGCATATAATACACCAGTTGGCATTATTCTTGCGCTTGATTTTATTTAACCAAGCGATGCATAAATCGGTTTTGTGAAGTATTTGTACATAAAGCAATGCTATTTCTTTGACATCACATTATGTACAAATCGATGATATCGAAACTAAAGAGTAGATTTGACTTTGTCCTTACCTGGTCATTCACATTTTCGTTTCGCATTCATTGGTTAATATTCCAATAATTCAACACGATGCTATTTTAACAGAAAGTGTTATACGATTATACTCAGAGCCTGTTTGCGTTAGACTAAAGTTGATAATTGAAAAGGAGATCAGTTTTCCTAGAGAATACCATTGTCTTGATTTCTTTTCGGTTTAATTTTGCATCAATATAGACATGCACACATAGCACGTGTTGAAGATGAAAGGATGAACGTACATGGTTGAAATTCAATCTGTATGTCTTGTTGATCTATATCTATTGCTTCGATGCGTCGATCAGTACTCAAGAATGTCAATAAGAAATGTCCTGAAAACAGTTTTCTGCCAAGTATTGTAATAACAAGAATAACACTCGTAACTGATGACTCAGTAAAACGTAGCTTCCTAACCTTCACTTCCTCTATACGTATTACGAAATCTTTTGCACGAGTAATCATGATCAATCATTTTTTCCTATGCTTCGAAACAAGCAAAAGTCTTGAGAATTTGTCCCACTTGAAGATTATGTTAGAGCGCTTCAGGCTGAACATCGCGTCTTTATTTTGAAACAGGATGAAAACTCGCAAGATAATTTTATTATTAACGCTAGTGCAATTCATCCCGACGAAAAATGCGAAATTATGATCTCCTATGTAGTCGAATTCAATCTCGTTACAATCCTCTGAAACGTCGTATTAGTTTACCAGCTGGAACCAGTGCAAAATATGTTCAATCTGTTTCATATGCATTGGATTTTCATTGTCAAGTGGAGAAAGCGAATATCGGTGCAATCAGTTGTCTATCACATGCCACTCGCATAGACTTAGATCTACCCGATTTTTATATGATTACATTTACACAGCAGAATACTAATTTAGATCATGGCATTATCAGCTTAACGAGAATGACACAGTTATGGTGTTGTTTCTACCCAGCGAAGAAGATTGTCAATGGGTTACGGACAAGACGAGAGTGACAAATGAGTTTCTTTTTGTTCTCAATTGTAGTACCTCCATGCATGCTGAAAACGAAATCGAATTGGCACGACCAAACTGAACCAGTGCGTACATACATTTAGATGATAAGTATTTGTAAAATTATTTATTAAAAACTACTTTTTCCGTAGTTGAATCGCTTGAAATGGATCTACGAGAACTCTTTATCGTCAAGACATTCTCGTCAAATATTTCTTCTGACGGCTGGCAAAGTGTCTAATGTTAATGAACAATTACGAAAAGCATTAAAATCGTATATAACTGTTGTGAAAGTCAAGTGATATTTAGATACTACAAATAGCATTACTGCTCCGACTATAGACTAACACCTTTCTATGCAAACGATCGTATAGTTGTTTACACATTAGCAAATGGTTTAGCAATTTGGCGAAGCAAAACTCACACAAATGCCGTAGGTAACTAATAATATAGCTATTGCTCGTTTAGCTGCCGAAGCACTGATTCTCGAACTACAGTACGCAAAACTATCATTCTCAAAACAGGAGAGCAGTATTAGATTCTAAGCCCATACACGGCTTTTGTCGGTGCTGAGAAACGAGCAAATGTGAACAATGCCGATAGGATCTTGCTTGGAAAGCCACTCGTTGTGTTTCAAAACAGCACAGAGTGAGCTACTTATCACTGTGATCGTTATGTCAGCACTTCATAGACAACTCAATCTTCTTGATAAAAATACAGTCCAACTTCAAACATTGTTTTGAAAATACTCGTAAACAGCTTTCATATTTTATACAATTTCGAATAGAATTGCTCATTTTCTAACCGAAGAAAACAAATCATTTTTTATCCATTAAAAATCAATTACCATGACATTTTCGACCATGTGTAAATATTATGATTATTCTGATTGCACTCGTTAGTTTCGTTTTTTTTTCTCTTTCGAATGTCTTTTGCATTATATGCGCAGTTTACTTCGGGCTCATTTCTTTTCGTTATTTAGTCAAAATGAGTAAAATATTACACAGCAAAAATAATCCTACTACGGCAAGTGATGATACACGTGTAACATTAATTCGCGAATCGTCAATCATTGAACATCGTGTAAAAGTACCATTTCTTCTTAGTGATACCTTATTAACGATTCTTCTTGGTATTATCGCTCTATTATTTATTTTAATTATTTTCTTGACAATTCTATATGCTCGACAAAATGTGCAGACAATAATCAAGTAGGAATATATTCGTTTGTTGATGATAGATTCGTTTACTTTCGTCAAATTAGACATACATCTGCAGTACACAGTACTAGCACAACATCCGTCGAAGATTCAACGTCTACGACACTTGTTCGGCCTCCACAAATAATACAAGAAGCTGCTTTTTCAAAAGCTGTGCACATCGAAGAGGGTTTCGTTGCTGCTGCCGATGATTAAAACTTCATAAACTAGTCTTTAGTTTATTAACCAACAGTCTTATAATTATATCTGTCATTACATTGACTCTGTAGTAGATACTTCGACTTTCACATTTTCGCGATGTCTTGACAACCATCGATAGATATGTAATGATTGATGAATCATCAATCGTAACATACAAATCAAACCTAAACATCAATAAAAAGAATAGATTCTTTTTCTACTTAACTTTGTCTTACCTCCATACAATCCTAGAACCGTCATAAACATATAAACGGCATTGTTGCGATCCGGTAGAGTATATCGACATTCCAAGGGATGACATGTTTGAAAGTAAGCCGTATAGTTACTCTCATTGTGCCATTGTGTGACGAAAAGATTATCATTCAATTCGCCCAATGACAAATTTTCATAGGTTGATAAACGAAATCCATCGAAAGGAAAACAACCACTGACAATATCTTCAGTAATTGATTCGATACAATTGAATGATGTTGCACAGGTACAATTCGAAGCAGGAAAACGACGTGGGAAAGTAGCAAGAACATGTCCGTGTTCTTCATCAGTGAATTCCGGTTTCCAATTGCTGGTAAATATGTTAAATAGATGATTGACACTGAACGAACGCATGATGTAGTGTAGAGTACGACGGTAATCAGCTGGAATTTGTGCAATAAACGTTGATACGAGTGCTTCTGTTTGAATGGCAAATGACGAACGCGACATTGGTTCGATGGAGACCAATTCTTGTGTGTTGAAAACATGTTGAGCGATATGAATAGTACGATTAGCTATTTGACAAAACGATGACAACAATCGATAGTGAGCAGTTAGCAATAGTGACGTTTTGTCTGTCTTTTTTGAAAGTTCAATCCAGTGTAATGGTGTAGCATAGATACTCGAGCAGACCGAATGATAATGTGGAGTGATTGATAGGAATTTCGAGTGTTGAACAGCGGCTGTCGAACAGGGACAGGATAGAGTAGAGATATTTTTCAAATAAAGATTGTTAACATCATCGGATGATGGCGATTTGATCACTGTTGTTTTTATTTCCTCACTGAACGGACCCGCGTACAGAAGAGCAGCAATAACAATTATTAGGAAAAAAATTGAATACAATCGAGTAGCAACAATTTCCTGATGTTCGAAGCGACTATCTTCTGCCGTTTGATTTGTAGAAAACAAATTCCATGAACGAATAGATTGACGAATCTCATTAAATGAGCGACGACTTGAGTTTTCTACAATACAACGATGTGTGTAAAAGGGTTTTAATCGAAAATCTTTCACCTGTGGTTATTGTTGATGATGGTGACAGCGACTCTTTCTGTACTTTTGTTTTTTTCCATTGTTGTCGTAGAACTCGAACACACGATGGTAAAACAATTTCTAGAATTGCGCTCAATCCACTATAAAAACCTAACATTATGGCGATCATATACGCCGTATCGAAACGTCGGCGTAAGGTATAAATACATTCTTTCGGAGCACATCGATGATAATAGGCGGTGAAATTATTCGACGTTCGCCAATCTTCTATGAAAAGTTCCGACATGATCGATTGTAGAGTTGTATTTGATTGAAAACGACTATTGTTTCGTCGTAGTGGCTGAACTTTCGTCACGCGCTTGTCCATCGGATGGAATAAACCACTCGCATTGAAATCGCGCATGCTAATTATAAGCTTTAAACATTTCTTCTCAAATAAACATTCGAGTGTTGAAAAAAGAAGAGAGTCGATGGTGTAACAGCCAAGAACAAGACCCGGAATGATTGTTTTCGGTTCTGCATTCAAAAGATCTAATCGTAAATAGAATCCTTGTGGACGTGTACATTCTGAAGTTATTGCACATGAACAATTGCCAATATTTCTCGAATAGAACCTCGGTGAATATGTCATTGTCTGTTTATTCAATAGATACGAAAATCCAGTTGTTGTTAACAGATCTGCGACTAGACGGTTGGTTTGAATCGACGAACGAACCAATTCAAGAAGATGTGTAAAAGACGAAACAGTTCGTTGCTGAAATTGACTTAAACGAGTTTGGATTTCTTGATGAAATTCACTTCGTGATAGCGTATTGATTGAGATTAGCCGACGCGATCGAAATAGGTGAATTGCATTGCTTACTGTTTCTTCCGATGTTTGACATAGGACACGTAGGAGATCAAAGAATGACTGTCCACCAAAGCGAAAGTCGACGGGAGGGAAGAACGTTGTATTCGCAGTGATTTCTTCTATGTTGAAATAAGCCAACCAGGATGATTTCAGAAACGGACTCGAACATATCTGATGATACCGAGGTGATATGGAGAGAATTCGATTGTAGGACATGGAAAATCGTGTGCATGAACAAATCAATGTTGAGGAATAAAGAGTTTGTAATCGTTCGTATTCTGCTAGAGAGGGAGCTCGAACAGTAATTTGTTGGGTACGTTCTGACAGAAAAGTATAACAGCCAAGAACAAGAAAACCTAGAAGTAGTAAGAAGAAATATAGGCGAGTAGCAATGATGCCAACACGTTGTTCTTCTTGATCATTTTCATCATCCGGTGGGAACAAATTAAGTGTCCGAATGGTTCGATGTACGTGCTTTGTAACAACTAAATCGAAAACTTGTAAACATCCGACGATGGTTTTCATTCTACAAACCTTCATTAATTGGCGGAATTGATGTGTTTGAAGTATCTCGTTTTCGTTTGATCAATGTCCACAAATGAACAATCGCTGGTGTGATCATTTGCCAAGCAATAACTAGACCACCAAAAGCACTAACACAAATTGTAATGATTGCTGGCAGACGAGAACGACCTTGATAAGTATATGTTAATGATCGCGGTGAACATGTGGTAAAATAATCTTCAAAACTCGTATTTGGTTGCCACGATTCAACGAAGAGTGACTTATCAAACATCATACCGATTGTTGTCTCCAAAGAGAATTTCGATGATGGGGATTTTTGTAAAGCTTTCGGATGGAAAATCTCCGGTTGAATTGCTAAAATATCCACACATGATTGATCATAAAGACATTCTAATGTGGAGTGTCGAAGTGATTCAAGAGGTAAACAGCCAGCCATCAAGCCAGGTATTTGAACTGGCGGTAATGGGTGGACATCCGCTGGTTCATCTAGTAGGCGCGCTGTCCAATTATAAAAAGCACCAGCGGGATGAAAACATTCAGTAGTTTCCAGTGGACACCGACACGTTGTGCGATTTTTCTTGTAATAATAGCCATTGTAAGCCATGTAAATATTGGATAGATAGATCGATCTGATATAAACATTTGTACGTAATGCAGATATGATTCGATTTTGTGCAATATTCATTGACACAATTCTTGCTGTGCGATTCTCATTAGCGAGAATATTGTTTTGTAGGTTTGTGAGAAGACCGCCGACTATTTCATTGAATTCAGCACGTGAAAAAAGATAATTTGTCACTAAGTTTGTTGAATTGAATGTTTGGTAGCCGTCAAGAATGGCCTGTTTTGATGTATGACAAAGTAAAGCTAGTGCTTGAAACTGTGCGAAAGAGAACGTATGAAAATCATAAGCATTGTAGGAAGTGGCGTTAGGAAGGAAAATCGAAGCAATCCAGGAGTCGTCTATGAACGAACTCGAACAGATTTGATGAAAATTTGGCTGTAGTGTGATGAATCGATGGTAAGGAATCGAAACTTGTGTACAAGGGATGTTAATTGTTGTCGGATAACGAGTTTGAAGGGATTCGATTGTCGAAAGAGAGAACTTTTCAAGTGTAACAGTATGTGTTTGAATAATAAGGCTAGCGTAAATAATAACGATTAATAGAGAAATGGAAATAAAGAATATCAATAGACGAGTACTGAGAATTTGTTCTGATAATTTCAGAGTTGGCGTCCATAATGGATCATTGGAGAACAGATTTAATTCGCGTACATTACGAAGAAGTGCTAAGCGAGCCGAAGTTAATAGTCCTTCGGACGATTTTTTACTCATGATTACAATTCTTCGGCTAGAACTTATTTATGATACAATGGGCAAAAATAATTAGTATGTCGACATATATGTCTTTCCTTACTGTCTACCCTTTATAAAATACGGAAAGAGAAACGCATGGATAACGCGACAAGCGAAGGACAGAAGAAAATATATGTTGGTTTAGATTATCAGCAGTATTCTACATTTGCCATTCGACATTATTTGATTAATTTCTTTTTTTTTTGTACTACCTTGAGGATTTCATACAATAACAAGAATATATTTCTCGCGAGAAAATAAAAGCACATTTCATGCGTTCTCGTTAGCTGCCATACTGGCCATGAGTTTTTTGAAAAATTCTGCTACAATCTGTCCTGTATTACCAGGTCCGATAAATACATCGAGATTTCTCGCTGATTCATCGGCTGACTGCGCAGCTCGAGTGCACATTTTTTCTTCATAGTCTTTTATTGCTTGCTCGAGATCATCTGCATTGATGATTGCCAGTGCCAAGTCTGCTGCATCGAACATAGCTAAATTTACTCCTTCACCAGCAAATGGAGACATAAGATGAGCAGCATCGCCGAGCAGTGTTACACCAGGTTTTGAGTCCCATCGATGACCAACTGGCAACGCGTACAATCTACGTGGAACAAAACTATCGTCGCAAGAGTGAATGAAGTTTAAAAGACTTGGATTCCAGTCGGAAAACAAATCCAGTAAACGTGCACGAGCTTGGTCTGGTTGGTCAAACGGAATTTTCGATTCAACGATCCAATTCTCGGGAACACGGAGTGTAATATAGACACGAATTCGATTGTAACCATTGCGTTGAGCAATAAGGCCTTTGTTATCCGATAGAGCAGATAAAGTTCCACGACCTACGAGTTTTGATATTTCGGGATGCTGATTGTCGACGTCTGAAAATTGTACTTCTACCATTGATACACCACAATATTCAGGCTTTGCGTTAGATACTAGCGAACGAACACGTGACCTGTAAAAAAAGATTACTTCTAAAAGGTGTGAGAATCCACGAAAATTAAACTCACCACGCGCCATCTGCTCCAACAACCAAGTCAACAATATCTGTTACACCATTGTCAAAGATTAGCTTATGCTGACCATTGTCTAAACATTCAATACTACGTAAAACATGTCCTTGTGCAATCGTATCTGGTTTTAATGAATCGAGAAGTATTTGTCGAAGATCTTGTCGATCAATTTCTGGTCGATTTAATTCATGTCCAGCATCGACTTCTTCATAATAAACAGTACCAGTTTTATCAAGAATAATTGTATCTTCTCCTTCGGGACGACACAGCGCTTGAAATTTGTCATACAACTCTGCTAGGCGAAGTGCATATTGTCCTGATTCGACATGCAAATCCAATGTTCCACCTTGAGATCGAACATCGATTGAATCTTCCCGTTCATAAATTTTGACTTCTACGCCTTTCAATTGAAGAATACGAGCTAATGTTAATCCACCTGGACCTGCGCCAATGATTGTGACACGTTGAATCTTGTTTTTCGACATGTTGTGATCTTTCCACGTATTTATGCGGTTAACAAACTATACTCCAGAGAAAAATAAATCTCTTATTTTTACTTTTGTAAATGAATGCTGCTCTGATTTTTCTTTTGAGTATATATAGTCAAGGTGAAACTTTTTCTTTCCTTTTGATCCTTACACACGAGTAAAGGCACATTCGTAACGTACTTTGCTGCCGCGTCGTACGACTCAATCTTTATATCTCGATGATGACAGTATCTGTGGTAATAGTATGTGTCACTCTCTGCATTTGGTTTAGAAAACTGACAAACATAATGTTGATCAATGTCACAATAACCTTTCGGATAACGCAACAAAATCCCATCGCTTAATACTATTTTTTGTATATGGTTGATGTTAACTTTTCGCACATCGATATAGTCATTCTGAATAGCAAGAATTGCAACATACCCAGCGGCGCTACCTACTAGCATAATATGAGACTCGATACATGTAGCTGATTATACCATATGGGTAGCTGCATGACAAACAGGTACTAACAAATTTGTTATTTCAGTCTGTATCGGCAACATAATCGAATAAGGTATCTCAAAAACGGATTCACTTGTCAACCAATTGACACTAGCAATTGTTTGATACAGATAACCTTCATTGTTCACATACGAGCGTATAGTTGCGATGGAATGAATCTGTTTGTTATCTATTGATCATCACATAATCCACAACGTTGAATTGATGCTCGCGTACACGATTCGGGATCGATGATGAATTAAGAATATACCATAGCATTCCATGTACGGAATTTAATCTAGTTTGTTTAATGTGACGACGGTCTTCAACAGTTCCATTGACATAGCGTTTATTTAAGTTAACAGCGTCTGCATTAAATGCACTTCGACCAGTTCCACACATATCAAACTTGTCACCGGAAGGATAACTTTTGTATTTATTCATACGAATAAGCAACTCGATTGGCGGTTCTGATGGATAAGTATCAGACGCTATTGAAGCTACGACATACCATTCTAGCGCACAAGCGATACGAAAAACCCATTAGATTCAGATCCACCGAACCAGCCGGCCCGAATTTTTCCGATGAGACGAACAGAAATGCTGGTCCATTGTCAAATATTGCTTTTACTGGAAAATTAGGTAGAAAATTACTGGTTATTTAATAAGGCAAAATTCCTGCAAACGACTCATTATACTGATTCGACGATTCTCGGCCGTAAGTATACAATGCGTCAGAGAAACGAGTAAGATCACCATCATAATTTGCATCGCTCCATATCGACACTTGCCAAACGCGTTGATCATTAGCCATCATTGTTTGGACAAGGTTAATAATGGTCCTGTCGAAATAATCAATTCAATACTGAAGTACTCACTAAGCATATTTAAGAAAATTCTTATCAACATTGAAAATACTTTCTTTCCAAATGATACATTTAAGTAAAGGTAAGCATCTCTGCTGTTCGTTTTATTTCTCGCAATGTATACTTAAAATAAGTAAACACCATGTTTTTCGATTCACGTGAGAAGTCCCTACAAATATTTGTCAATTGGCATGTAGTAGTGAGAACTTGATTGAATATTTATTTTCACTTATGGCAAACAATTTACTACAGATTCCGTTTTACCTTCTCGAAATTAATTCGTTGAATATCATTGGAGGAAGACTAGCAACATTAGCGTTTTAATATTTATTTTGAGGTTAAAAGTATAATCAAAGTCACACACATTGCACCTGTTTGAAGCATTTATAAAAGAAACAATTCCCATCTGTCAAAGTCGTGTATGTTCTTAACTTGTTTCTTCTCGAGAATTTTCATCGTGTCAAATTCTACTAAAAGAGTCCAATACGTATCGGAAAACGTGGAATCGTTTTCATGATGAATAAAGAACAGAATCTGTCGTGTAGTTTCATTATAAACAGCTTGAATATCTTGTACCACTAATCCTTTGGGTGTGGAGAAAAGAAGTGTTTCATTTCGGAATTCACCTGTGTAAGGATTCATGTAAAGCATAATAAGATCTCGATCAATCGATCCATGTTGCCATGTTGCAAACACGTTTTTCGTTTTCATATCATAAGTCATGCTGCAGAGGTTATGAACTTCGGGCATAAGATGAAAATCGACAACAATATCGTCTTTTTTACCGACAAGATTCAAATCCATTTTAATGTAATACGCTTGTACAGATGGATTTTCAAATCGTGTTCGAACTTCTACAATCCAGTTTTCTTCATAGTCAAAGATATAACAATTCGCATACGAAAAAGCGTATTGTTCACCATCTTGTTTAGTGTACTGTTTTATAGCTTCTAATGTGTGCAAATCATACTCTTCGATAATCAATGTAAATGTACTAACTGAATATAAACCGAATAATCTTTGTCGACGAGGATCGTAGAAAAGATAATGGAAAAATCCATCGTGTGATATCCATTGACTCTGTTGGTAAGTCTTTGTCTTCAAATCAAATGAAAGTAGAAATAAACGTTCAAATGCCGTACCACATTGCATAGGCATGTAGAACACGGATGAATTCTGACCGATGGTAGCAACAGGGCCAGATTCAAAATAGTATAAATCAATATCTTTATCATCGATATGAAATGAAAAGTTCATGTAGAACTGAAATTTCATTAATGTCGATTCGTAGGTGTACACGCTTCCATACAACGGGTTCCTACAATAAAAGACTGATTTGATCACTTTCGGAATAAATATCAATTGATGCGTACGTATTAAAGGGTGCTATAGCATAATACGTTGATGCAGAAACAGTGGTTGTACAGACGATAAATATGAATGTAATCAGCATGATGGTGAAATATGAAATGCGATGTGGGACTCTTATCTTGACAAAACGTTTTTCTTTGTTTTATTTGTGAGCGAAATGTGTCATTTGGTAAAAAGAGCTGATTAGTATATTTGTTGGTCAAATTGTCAGGTAGAATCTTGACGTACACAAATGAGCAATATCATTATGTGACAACGCAGGAAAAAATGAGAATAAACACAAGTGAACAATTCGCGTTTGTTAATGCATGAAGAAACTAAATGTTGCTAGGCTGTTACTTCATACTCCTTTCAACAAAGATTATTTTTAATAAATTGATTTTTACATTGAAGTATCAGGTGAATGAACGCCGGAAGCGGAAGACTGCCGAAGGAAGTCTTTTGCCAATGAAATGGCTGTGGAAACAGTGCTTCAGTACAATACGTTGATCTAGTGGGATAATAAGACTTTCGTATGGGCCAGTCTCATGTAATAAATTTCAATGAGCTTGTTTCTGTATGAAATATTAGTCCACACTTCAGCTACTTCTTCGAGATTTCTCAGTTTGCATACCAGATAATCCCCATATCTTTCTTTTCGAACATAGATGCAAAGGAGAAAACTTATTCTATGATTCAGCGTATACTACGTGTTAAACGTTATCTTTCACTTTATCTCGGAAAACGAAGAGACAATATGGTTGCACAATGAAGATTAAATGCGAAGAAGCATATTCATAGATGGACAGTACAGTTGATAAGAAAAAGTCGAAAAAGAGTAAGCTAGCCCAAATCTTCAGATTCAAGCGATTGCGTAATTATTTTCAACATCAAACATCTAAACAATCTCAAGTTCAGAGCAACGATACAAGAGCCTGTCAAAAAGAAAATATGAGTTCGAGTGTTCAAAAAACATCAATTGGTGTGTGTAAGCGTCGCCGACAAAAATTGATCAAGCAAGAACCATGTGAATCAGAAACAATTATTCAAACTTCTAATCATCAACAACATATCAGTATTGTAAATAGACCATCTACCTGTGCCTTGGAGAGAGCTCGTATTCCAGCAACTAGTTATTCGAAGCCAGATGTACTATCCATTGGTGCATCACGCTCAACAATGAAGGTCCGGTTAACGCGTAGCGAGCATGACGATATTGCATACAGATTTTTAGTTTACAAGATTGTTGAGTCTGAGTTTATTGATTTATCAGTTCTGGAATGTCTCGTATGTTTAATCAATGGAATATTAATCAAAGTGTTTGATTTGGACCGCTACTCTTTTTTGTTACTCGGACTCGTTAGTTCTTATCTTTCTGGAAGATATCTCATGGAAACTTTCCTGCTGCCTATGAACATTTTCAGTTGTTATTCTATCGTCAGAACGTTGTTCTCTCTAATTACATTCGATATTAGTCCCTACACAACAATGTCAGCCATTCTGCTGAGCTGTATAGAAATACTTACTTATCATACACAAGATAAAAAGGTCGCTTATACCGGATTTCTTTTTTGGATATGCATCGGTGATATTATTGTTCGAGGAATGGCAATTAATTTATATTGTTTTATAATAATTGGTCTTACTGTCATAGCGTCACCTATACTATTCGGAGTGTATCTGCTTTATCGTTTCGCTAAGTTTTTGGATAAAAAGTGAAAGGGCAACTTCTCCCGTATACAACCTGTACCAGAGACGATATTGCAAAGAATCGGAAGATGGATCCTTGGGTTGAAGAAAGGAGAATATGTACAATAGTAACTCATCAGGGTGATCTTCCGTACTCATGAATCGAGCGTTGTTGGTTGAGAATTATCGTCAGAGAAACTTCAGTCAACTTCCAAATCTGCATTTAACATACACTGTACAATATATGTACAACCGAGTAAACAAGCACGCTGATAAGCAGTATGCGTCTCTTGATAAAGTGCTGACCATTTGAAAGTGAATAGACGACGTTCTTGACATGAACATTGACCCTCATCTTTTTTCACGTCGTTCGTTTCAATAACATCAAAAAGCGTATCCAATTTAAAGAGTTTTATTCATCAAGGTATTACACAATTCTTTATAACATGGTTCTTCCAGAGCTGAAATTTGTCGACAATGTATAGGGAGAGACTGAATATGATGTAATTTTATTCACGAAATTCGAAAAATCTGTGGTCAATAGAAGAACGACAACGAATTCGATGTCGATTGAAATGTTATTTTAAACTTGTTTTCAGAACATCAGCTATAGTAACTTTACCTTGGATTCGAGTAATTTTTTCATCTGTGGTCCAATGTATGGTATTATCGTCGAAACTTTTGACCATTTCAATCCAATTGTCGGTTGTTGTTTTAGGCCATGCATGTTTACTTAAAATTTCACGTATATGATCATCAGTCAACGGAGCTGCTGCGACTGAGTTTCCTAAAACATCTCCGACTGCCTTCGCAATATCGTTCGGACTGTACGGTTCTGGTCCCTCTAACTGGACCACCGTTAGTTTATCAACTTCACTGTTCGGTTTCAACATATATTCGCTTACAACTCGACCGATATCATTTGTCGCAACATGTGGAATCTTTCGATCTAATTTCTGCAACATTGAACCCAGAACTGGTGTATGTCCGGCTTTCACTGCCGATGCAGCACTTAACCAATTTTCAGTAAACCATGCACATCGAACTATAACAACTTGTGGTGCACTTTCTTTCAATGCTTCTTCGAGTGTGTGTGTTGTTAGAATACATCCTGTTTTCGCACTTAATTCTGCGCCAACTGAACTCAATACAACAACGCGTTCGACTTTTGCTGCTTGAATAGCTGTTGCCAACGCTTGACTAACGTTTGCTGCTGCCAGTTGCAAATCAGGTTTCTCATAGCCTGGTGGATTCATGGCAAAAACAGCTTTCGCACCTTGAAATACTTTCGTCAATACTTCGACATCGGTCAAATCAGCAATCGTCACTTGAATATTACGCGATCGAAATGCTTGTGCTTTATCTTCTGAACGTATGATGACATGAACAGAAACCGATTTTGCAAGAAGGTAATCAACAACAGCAGAACCGACTTGACCAGTTGCACCAGTTACCACATACGACATATTGAGTTCGTTTGATGTTTATAAAGCTGTACACATTACCTTTTTATAGAAGACGTGTTTTTCTGTTCTTTCACAACATTACCTCCAATTTTTTTAATTTTTATTTTCAATAACGTAAAAAGAACGAACAAGAACAATTGTTACATACTTCACTGTGACATTTAAACAAGAAATATAATGACGGTGCATTTTTTATTTGTCTTACATCACGTCTCTTTGCAAATATTTCTTGATTCTCTAGGTATCGTTCGTAGTTGTTCTCCTTCAAAACAAAAGCATGTGACTTCAATGACATTCCGTCGGCATATTTATTTGAATATGATTTTTACGCATTTCAAATAAATGTAAAATTCGCATTAGTGATATGACATGCACTGATCCACATGATTATATGAGTAAATAAGTCGAATAATGAGTATTTAGTAACGAAAAGACAGTACACAAACGAATGGGTACTTTTTTGGTATACGAATATAAAATTTGAAAAGTTTATGAAAAGTTCAGAGATTATACGAAATTCAGAGAAGTATGAAATTGTTCATTGATTGATGCTTGAAGTATTTTGAAATAAGTTGTTGTATTGCGCGAGTCGAATTCATCTTTCATGGTGCCATAGTAATCGTTTCCATAATATAAATACTGCGAATAATTAAAAAACACCGAGATCAATATTGGCAGAGTAAGGAGAGTAAATGGAAACATGAGAACAATAGACGCTATTGGACGATCTTCTTTCGGGAGTACTTTTACTGTACCAAGTAGGAATGGGCCAATGATCGGGATAAATGAAACAATTGCACAAAAGGCTAGGGCAGCCACCCATAAGACTATGTAGATGATGATCATAAATACATAAGCGGCAGCCATTGGTATTACATTGGTAAAAAGATATGGAACTAAAGGAAGACCAACAACGATGATCGTAAGAAGCGATGGCCATAGACCAATGTGATACTCGATTCTCTTCCTCAACGATTCCTTATGTACTTTCTCCACATATTGTCGCACCCGAAAGTATACGTACAGCTTAGTAACAACAAGCCAGAAGAAAGCACAATATGGGACAAAGATATAATTGTACAATCGATAACCGAATGCATTATAACAATTCCATTCGTTGGCTTTTTCTGCTCCTATACACGATGACTGTATGTAGAAGTACCAAATCGTATGTGCGAATAAAGGCAAAGAGTGAATAAGTAGGTCGAACAGATCGAACTTTAATTTTCCATAGAGAAGATTAAGATCTCTTCGAGCTATTTCAAGTTCTTGTATAAGTATATTCTCTTTAAATGCTTGATGTTCACGTAGAGAATTAGTAGTCCAGAAGCGGGGACCTATAAATGACCCAGGAGTAACCAATGCGTCTTGAAAAGACTTCATTCTCACAAAACGAGGATCCTGGCGTTGTCTTCCCCTCAGTCGATGTTGAAATTGTCTATTTAGTTGCAGTACTTCCCTGATTTCAGCTAGTTTTTTACGTAATATATAGTGACCAGCTGCAATCTCTTGTGTAGTGGACCATGTGCCATAGCGCATTCGATTCCAAATACGCTGCAAAATAATATCTTTTACAATCAATTGTACGATCATGATCCAATACGGTTGAATATTCATGTGCTCTTGAGGTAAGGTAAATAGAAGTGGATTTGCATTTTGTATCCTTATTGGCACTGGTCCAGTAAATTCTTCATTGTTACTACTTTCTCCGGCACCCATGTTTGTCTTGTACTGAGATAGACAGATGACAAAAGATTCAAATTCAACTTACGTGTATCTTTGCTTATCGTAATCAATCAATGAAAACCAAATACCCGTTGTGTGTTCTTCCTCGATACTTTTTGAGAGATATGACGAATTGGCGTTTCGTTTTGTTAAGCATGTATAAAAAAAGGAAGTACGTTTTCGAGTTACTCCATCGTAAACCTATACTACGTTTTGTCGTCAATATAGATGACCAGGTTCTTGCGCGTGGTTTTATTTATTTTCTTTCTATACAGGTATCTAGCAAAAACTACTGTTTACCGGGTACTTCCTCACCTTGATTTCAAAAAGCATTGATCAGTCTTTCCTAACAGTATAATAACGAACAAATCGAATGGTCACGCATTTCAATATGTTAGAAACCTATGAGTAACCTTCATACCGGTGTGGACGTAGATGGTGTAGAAGAAGATAATATATCATCGATGACATAACGTTATGTAGAAAATCGTACTCAGAAAGAAAGAAGAAAAAAAAACAGACGTAAATGAAGCATTCAACAATCTGTTCGCTTCATATTTATATTCACACTGACTCCAATCAGATAAAATTTGAATAATATCCTTCGTCGTCAAAGACTCCGATAAGCAAAATCGTAACTAGATGAAATGACTAATGAAACTCCTTTCATATTCTCAATATAGAACAACATTTCCAGTTATATCTTGTAAGCATCTTGGCAATAAAAAAAAACAAGAAAAAACATTACTTTTATGTATTCGAAATTGTTACTGATGATTATAGCTTACACAAAAACTACGAGAAAAAATATAATTATAAAGCATCATTAATTGGTTGCTAACGTTTGCCGTCGTTCTACTTTCATTTTAGTCTGATTAAATTCAAGATCTATTGTCATAATTGTCGAAATGAAACCAATGACAACACGTCAAGAAATAAACATAACTTCTCACCAGATTTTGTTGTAACGCATCATCGAAATACTTCATCCCAACATTTCCACTACAATTCCTATCCAGCAACAATATGGTCAGTTCCTACATGAAAGCATCGAAGCGAAGATACAAGTAAGAAAAGAAGTTTTACAGTGTTAGTAGTCAAAGCAATGACTATGTATATCATTTTTACATGTCCAATTTTATCCTAATGCAGACTCAAAGTAACTATTACCTATATAAAAACTGTAGATGATAAATAACCAAACGAACAGATATCATCAGCTACTGTGTTATTGTAGAGAGAAGCAGCCAGACGTCGAGCTCCTGTGTCTCCAATTTAGTAGATGAACAGATCTAATGTATCGAAACCCTACCGGTAGAAGATAATGGATGATCTGCACATTAATAATCAATGCGAAAACTACTTGTGCATTTTTACGCAGATTGAATACGTGTGACACTTGAGAGTTCTCTTCCCGCAATGAAATTATTCAGTGATTCATTGGTTCTCTTCGTTTTCAGTATTTTTGGTATTGCCAATGAATAAAAGAGAATTGATGTTCTTTTTCTTTAATCAATCTTTAAAATAACAAAAAAAGAAACAAATCAACATAGACTAGAGAAGAAAAACCAATCTCGGTACTAATTCGTTGTGGATTCGTCGATAGGTGAGTCTTCTTGTTTTCTAATTTGAACACGATAGATTGTAGTTCCCAACGATCTCATTTTTCGTAATACCGCTTTTGCTGCGTTGAGAATCGATCGACGAGATCGTAATTTGGAAAATGTGTTCTTCTCTGCGCGTAGTTTCTTCGAGAATTGTTTCGTCACGTTCATTATCTCTTTTTTTCCATCAACAACAGATGTTACACTCGATAAATCTATACGTTCTCTTATGTTCTTTGTTTTATTCAGACTTTCAGTAACAAACAAATGAAATCCAGCTAATGTCGCAACATTCGCTGTTTTCCGTAATAGCGTGCGAAATGCATCCAAAGCCTGGAGAAAGAGAAAGAAAATAATGGTATAGGAGAGAAATAAAAAAAACCTACGGGACGAAATGTTTTCAACTGTATCTTGGTGATCTCATCAATTGCAGATGGAAGGTCAGAAGTTAACAGTTTCACCGAACTTCTTCTATCGTTTTCTTTAGGTTTTGGTTTAATATCTGATACATTGGAATTCTTCATAACTTTCATCCATCGATTACGAATAATCTTCAAATAAAAGGTCACGGCTTTCTTTATCCATTATAAAATGATATATTTACCCTGACATTGTTATAGAATTGAAAAAACGAAGTTCGAAGTGTTACGTAAGCTTTCAGATGACGAAATTTTTCAATACTTCCATGAATTAACGAATTAGTCGAAACAAATATATCATAGATATTGTTTAAATTATTCAAATACAATGTTGCTTCGGTTTCATTCGATTGTTGTTGCAATGGAACAATGATTGAAAAGACATAACCGTTAATCAAACATAGGTTTTCGAATAGTTTTGTTAGAACTTTTTCCGAAGAGTTCTGCGCGATCAATTCACGAATGATTTTCAGCATTTCATTAATTGCATGGACAAATGAATACTCTACAACAGCAAAAAAGCATCCATTGGTTTGTTATTAATATTAAAAGAAGACAATTACCTGTCGTCGGTGGTGTTGATTCGGCTATTGATTCCTCTGCTGGTTCACTTTTCACAACGGAAAGTGAATTACTATTTGTATTGTCAGCTTCACTCTCAATCTTTATTTCAGGTGGAGGATCGATTTTAACCTCCGACGTACATAAATACACAATGGTACTATTTCTGTTGAATCGATATTTATCCATGTAGTTCGCTAATGTTTTGAATTTTTTCACATCGAGCGGCTGAAGTTGGAAATCGTACAGCACTGTTTGTTGTTTCTGATCGGCTGAAACGAAAAATCGGTCGGAAACATTCAAAGAACGAAGTTTTCTCTTACGAAGAGAGTAAATGGTGAGAAGTAGATTATGAACATCATCGAATGTCATTTGCTCATCGCTACAATCACAAGTTCTTGTACCACCACCGCCTCCTAACTCCACTTTCTTCACTCGACCATCTCGAGTTAATAACAAACGACCACAACGGAATTTCTTGCTCATTTTTATCGTTTAAAAATCAATATGAATTCAAATCGAGTTTCGATTGATTCGAACAGTAATTGGCTCAAGCCTATTAGCAATCGCAACGAGAAATTTACAAAAGAGAGATAGATGGCGTTCGACGTCGACAATCTACAAAGGAGAAAGATATGTTCATTATGACAATAACTATTAGAACTTACTTTTCAATAGGGAATTTTTATTACTATCGTTGAGACTGTACGTTGCTCTATGATCTACTGAGGAGAATGAAATTTGAAAACTTAAACGTCGTTTACCATTCACACATGTGGCATTTTCATGTAAGAAAAACGAATTTTGCTTTCTGTCACGTTTTTTCTCTTTATTTATGTTGGAGTAACCAAGTAAGAACTGGCAACGATTAACATGGCTCGCCAATGGTTCATTTCGACGCTAATAAACAGGTGTAGTGTGAAACTATCATCGTTATTCTATCTATTGATATTACTATTGGTCATTGTGGCAGCATTTTGCATTAAGTTTGGACCGAATGTTCAGAAATCAACAGCGCATCCCGTATTCATCTTTACTTCATCACGGAGACCTACAACGGCAACAATAACGACCTTTCCATCACCACAACTGACCAATAAAGACTGTAAGAGACTTGATTTTGAGGGACTTCGCCTTGCGAATTCAACTAATCCAATTCCTCCAATATACGATTTTTTTATTTTCAATGACGAATTGGATCTGCTCGAAATACGTCTGTACGAGTTGTACAATTATGTAACTCTTTTTCTCATTGTGGAAAGTGAAATAACACTATCGGGTAAACCGAAACGATTGTATCTCAAAGAAAATTGGCAAAAATTCAATAGATATCATGAGAAAATGCGTCGATTCGAGGTCGAGTTGGATCAATTTCCAGAAACCCAATGGTCCAACGAATTCACATTGAGAGATGATGGTCTTCGCATTGCTCTTCAAAACCGTTCAGGGTAAGTAAAAGCAAGGTTTAGCAGGAGATTAACGCATTTCCTATTTAAGAGATATTATTCTACTCACATCTGACGTTGATGAAATACCTACAGCTCACTTTTTAAATGCTTTAACTTCGTGTGAGTTATCAAATCCATTTCAACCACTGGTACTTATCTGTGCCTATTATTACTATTCATTTGAATTCCGACGTGGTACGACAGAAGGTGCAACTGTCACTTTCTTGACTTTGGATCCTGCGGAACAAGCTCAGACGATCTCTGGCAAAACTTTACGTGATAATCGCTTCAGTTTTCAACGTATGCCAAGTTCTTGTTATCATTGTTCATGGTGTTTTGATCGGATCAACTTAACACGCAGTAAACTGGGCTCGTTTTCTCACACGGAACTGAATAGACCGGAGTATCAAACGCAGGACCACATACTCGCTCGGTATCGTGAAGGAAAAGATCTGTTCAATCGGGCTAGTGAAGTGTATGTACATTTGGACGAAAATGATGAAATTCCTGAATTAGTCAAAGCACAGCGAGATCGGTTTGCTTATTTGTGGAATAGAACTACGCTAGTGAATGTAGGTTTTCGAGATGTGACCGTCGACGGCATTAATGTAAATATGAAAAATGGAACGAGATAAATAAAATTGTGATACTGATAAGATTTTTTTTCTCTTCGTCAATGAATAAAACTTTTGGTACTAGCAGGTGACAAATCTAGGAATCATATGGCATGATGAATGGTGAATTTTTCGATGGATTAGTCGATTAATGTGCGAACAGCATCGAGAATTCGTTGAATACGTTTGTTGGTTTTACTCATATCCAGATTTAATTTATTTGGCACATAAGCAAATGATAGTTGTTTGTCTGGACAAGCAAATGCTATGCTTCCACCTAAACCTGCCGATAAACAAGCGACAGATGAGATTCGCAGTACGAGAAACGGGTTAACAATCTTACCCCAGTGTCCAAAAACATTGCCGAACTCTTTCACAACTGTATCGTCTAGCATGAAACCACCTTGACTGAATTTTGTTGGCATATCATCAAGAATTTGATCGGGTTCGTTGCGAGGTGTGTTATTGCGTATAGCTGTCGCTAAAGTTTTCGATGTTAAAAGGTCTTCTGTGAATAGCAGTGATGCATAGAGTCGTGCTAATGAACGAGCATTCGTGAAAATGTTGATAATAGACAATCGTTTGTCTGTACTATCAATAGGCGGAAGTTGAATAAGACCATTCAGAGTGAATGCTCGATACTGCAATTGACTAAAGGAAGTTTCATCGATTAGCAGAAACACATGACAGTTGTACAATACTTCACTATAGGTTGATCTGATGATGATTCCAGTGGAGGTAGTATACTTGCACAAACTTGACTTGCGTGCTGTTTTGGTAAACGTTTGGCAACAAAATATTCACAACTGTCTAGGATGGGAGCGATTTCTTCTTCAATGAATTGTCCCATTGAACGATGTTTACCATTATCAACTCGGCGAATTAATTCATTCGCTAAATAAGGAAAAGTCAATGCATGGTAACCGTGACCACCAACATTAGGCTCCCAGTAGGGTTTCTGTTCGGCAAGAAGTTGTACAATTCTCGTTGGATCTAAACAAAAAGTCTTCTGCTGACGGATGACATGGAAAACTGTATAAGGTTATACCGTCATAAACATCTTCTAATTTCAATGAATCATCATCTATTACAGGCAAGCCAGCACGATGTGATAGTAAATCTTTAATTTTGATATTCTGCTTTCCGTTCTGTTCAAACTCAGGCCAATATTTAGCTACGGATTCTTCGTAATCCAACCATCCTCGCTGAACACATATAGCCAAAGCAGTAGCAATGATACCTTTCCCGGTTGAATAAACGATTTGTAGTGTATTATGTTGATACGGTTTCGCATGATCTTCACTTTCAAACCATCCGCCAGTTAAATCAACAACACATTGATTTCCGTGATAAACACAAAGTGTAGCACCGACATCAAGTTGTTCAGCAAAATTCTGAAGGAACAATTGCCGAATGCATTCCCATGCAGGTTTACAGTAACCTGATACTATACCTTCTGTCTCAAGGCTACACATACCTTTTATCTTTTAACAAATCGTCTCTCTATACATAGTCATCAATGGATGATCCCTTTTATTCAATCAAGATATGATCTATACAGATGGCGCCGCTCGAAAGATGCATCATTGTCTGCATAAATTCAATTTCGATAGGTACAATGATCTCTGTTTTCATCTTACCTTTTTTAACTTTATCAGTTTAATATCATTCACCTGATCAAGGCGGATTGTCAAGTTCTTTGAAGAGCTTTATCAAGAAATATTTGTATCTTGAAAGGCATAAATTGAGAGAATGTATGTAAAATCACTAGTAGACGACTAATCGAGATTCCTGAACCGGTCAAAGGGCAAGAGATTATTCTAACCTTTGGATGCGTAGTTTTGAATATATGATACGAATAAAACGTCGTAAAGATACGCAGCTTCTCACAGGGGAGAAATGTCGAGTGACAAAATCTCCCTTCATGATATCATATAGAAGTATATAAAACAAATTTGATACTGATAATATCTAAACATGCAGATAGCAAAGGTGAAAGTGATACAGCTAGTGCTTGGATAAAAATAACTCATTCTTCTCGAAGTTCTTTCTTTTTTTCAACTTGCACTTAGAAAAAGAAGAAATAATGGATGGAATAGTGATTTCTGTCGATAAATACTCGGATGATATGTTTTCGAATACAGCGAAGTATAATTTAGCAAAAACGACAACGACAAAATCAGATCAACGTCAATCTAGTGTTCAAATCAAAACGCAGAATCAGTATAGAAAATCACCAGAAGTATCAGCAGTAACACTTGTTCGTATGACACAACTAGCACCGGAAGAACCGACGATAAATGGTACAGTATTAAAATCTCGGAATTATGTCTGTTTGTCAATAAGAGAGTTTTGTAGATCCTTCACCGAATTCATTGAAGCATATTCTTCGTCAACGTCAGGGTATTTGTCGACAAGATCCGAATTTATCGGAACCTGTAAAAAGATTTTATCGGAGACAAGATGATCTTATCAATGGTTACACACAAGTGGAGAAACAAGCAAACAATAACGATGAGGAACGAGAAAAGAATGATCATCTTCATACAAAATCAAAAAGAATGACACTGATCTTGTCTCGACTTTCATTAGCAGTCAATATTGTGCGTACAATTGTAAAAATTCACAAGAATAATATCTATTCTTCTAGCTATTGTTTCTTACTAAAACCATCGCTGCCATACTATCTAAATCACTGTCAATCGCGTCGACTGTGGTCGATTCAGCTGTTGATTTAGCATCATCTGTTATTCTCTTTTGGGCAGCTCGGGCAATGAAAAAACGAAATATTTACTTGTATCCACAAGGTATTCCTTCATCGAATATATTTACAAACGAGATGTAGTATCCTTTTGCTAAGGTCGGACACGTTTGGAACCAGTTGCTATCGTTATTCTGTCGGTGATTATGTGTGCTGCTTCTGTAATGGTTGTTTACAATTCAGTCGATATTCTTGTGAATGAAATTAACTATTTTACGGAAACAAATACGACTAAAACATTGTCACAAATTGATATGAGTGCGTTTCCCGTGACCGTTATGTGTTTCACGGCGGTTAGCAAGGCTATTCTATTCTTTTTATGTTATCGCGTGAAAACTCCAACAATGTCTGCATTAGCTGAAGATCATCGAAATGATGTGGCGTCAAATATAATTGCACTTGGTTGTGGACTCATTGGTGAGCTATTGTCATACTCTGCTGAACATTTGTTTTGACGAATTAATAATTTCATAGGTTCCTATGCTTATCAAAATACCATTGATCGACGTGCTATCGTCGTGGATCCAGTCGGTGCGATCTTGATTTCTGTCTATATTATTATTTCATGGATCAAACAAGCAAATCGTATATTCTTCTCTTTTAACATCGTTTTCATATATGAACTTCCTTTACATAGGCCAAATCAAACGACTAACTGGTTACACAGCAAAGCCACAATTCCTATCACAAATTACGGTGAATAGCGTTGATTTCTTTTTTTTGTCTTTTACTTTGTTCGCTTTAGTGGTTGACTTTTCATCATTCGGAACATATACTCAAGATAGATACCGTTCGAGCGTTTCACTTTGGTACTTCATTTCTTGTCGAAGTTCATATTGTTCTTCCTGAGACCATGCTCGTCAAAGAAGCACATGACATCGCTGAAGGACTTCAACAGAAAATCGAACGATTGCCGGAAGTAGAACGTGTATGATAAAAATGCCCTCATGTCTTTGTCATTTATATTTTTGAATTCATTTTCTAGGCTTTCGTTCATATCGACTACGAATGTCAACACAAACCAACCGATGAACATAAAATTGTTTAAGCCTATCTTTATGTAACTATACATTTTTAATAAACAAATTGTGGTCTTTTCTTCTGTTTAAATTATTGTTAACTGAAATGAGACATGTCAATACGTATCTCAGTTTGGTAATGCGCGGCGTTAAAACTTTCTCCGATATCCCTGAGAATCCTAAATTGCTAATAATGAACAAGCTCCATTGATGCGATAGGATTTAGAGATATTATACTTGAACATCACAAATTAATTCATATTAATAGAAAAAAAAGACACCTTGAGAATGTGAACAAAAAGTAAATATGATGTTCACATGCACCCAGAGATATAAACTTCAACAATAGTGATATTAATAATAAGTTTGAAATGGGAAAGAAAAAAAAAACTATTGAGCAAATAAAAGAGTTAGACAATAAGGGGAAAAGGTAAACAGAAATAATTAAGAAAAAAGTTCAATGTAGACTACGAAATATTAAAATAAAAAGTAGTGAAATAGATAAAGACTGTTTTTCTCCTTGATAGATAACCATTGAATATCCATATTCAACATCTGATTATTTAATGACGAATGTTTCTTCTTTTTCTCTTTGCACCGCGAATAGTAACTGCTGCATAAGCAGGATACTGTTGAGAATGACCTGGAACAGAAGCTTGACATAGCAGATACATTTGTGTCGCAGCGGTATCGGCAGTCGGTGCAATGATAACGTCATTTCCTTGTTGCTATTTAAATAAAAGAAAAATAAGTCACTGTTTCGATCGATACCAATTCGTGCTACATACATGAGCATATGAGGGAAGAGCTGGATCATTTCCATACTGACTCCATGTCACTTGATATTGTTGAGCACCTTTAACATTACATGTGATAGTTGTTTTCTCACCAGGCGCAATGCTAACTTCTCTTGGCTCGACGGTCACTTCGACGTAGTCTTGTGGTTGATATTGTTGTTGTGATTGTTGATCATGTTGTTGATGTTCTTGTTGCTGTTGCTGTTGCTGTTGATGATGATGATGATGATTTTGACGTTTTGATTCGACATTGACACGTAGTTCTCTGTGAACTTCTCCATGTGAATTACTGACGGTGACTCGATAGACACCAGCCGATTCAGGTGTAGCACGATTAAGAATGAGACGATTGGATTCAGTGGTGAATCCTTCCGAAATTGGTTCATAGCCTTGTGCAGTATATTTGTGCCAGACAATGTTAATCGGTTCAGCCGACTACAAAGAGAAAAAAGAAAGGACATATTTTGTTGAACTTTGAAATTCGTATTGTATACATACAACTATAGTGTATTGAACAATCATACGTTGACCTTCTTTGAGATCAATTGAATCGGGTTGAATTAATATCTTGGGTAAACCACCTAAAAATCGAAAAGATAGATGAAAATAAACTTGTTGATTTCGTCTTGACTCACCATGTTGTGATTGTGGATGGGGTTGATGATGTGTTTCACTAGGTCGAATTTGAATTTGATATGGAATTTGAACACGAGTACCATCATTTCTGTACAAGTCACAATAATATGTTCCCGTATGCTCGGCGCGTGCATTTGTGACTTGTAAATCGTTACCAGCTTGATAAATACCATCGGGAAGTCCTTGGCCATCACTGCGTGACCAATAGGCACGATCATATCCAGCTGGAGCTTGAATCAATTGGTTGCCACCTTCCTCAACTGAGACTGGACCGGTCGGGTGTGGTGGTTGAACGTGAACATCATAGCCAGGTTGAACATCATAGTTAGGTGGTGTATTATAGTCGGGTTGAGGATTATAATCAGGCGGTGTACCGTAGCCTGGTTGAGCGTCATAAGTTGGTTGTTCTACAAAAGAAGAATGTGCCAGTAGAAATAGTTTCAAATTTTACTAGAATTATTTACTGCTAAAGGTAAGAATACTGTTTCCATCGCCATAGTTACCACCTGGAATTGAACAACGATAATTTCCCAAGTATGGCCGCGAAATAGGACGAATGTAAAGTGTTTTTCCTCGTGCAAAGAGTGGATCTTCATCACCAAGAAGCTATAAAGGTCGCCAAGATATTTTACACTTCCATTCATTCAAGTCGATACGTACTTTTTCGTTGAAGTACCATTGAATTCTTGGTTCGTCGTCTGGTAAAGCACCTTCACATTGAATTTCCACGTAATCCCCTTCAGCCATATCCGGTGCAGCAATACGTAAGTATTGAAAGTTCTGATATACTAGAATGTCAATTCCTAATGAAATATCTTTGTCGTCCATTTAGAAAACTAACCTGGTGGTCGCATATCGGGATAGGCGGGTTGTGGTTCTGGTTGTGGATAGTAACGGCTTTCTTCTTCCATGGTAAGAACAGCGGAGTCGCTGTTTCCTGCTCCATCCTGAGCCATACATGTATATTTGCCGATTTTGCTTGGATCGTCAAGCGTGATACGCGATCTCAACGTTGCTTTCGTTCCGGAGATTTGTTTCTCTTTGGAATCAATAAAAGCGTAACGCTAAAATGAAAACGAGAAAAGTTGCAGAAAAGAGATGCGATTTTTTTCTCTTAGAAATCGTACGCGCTCTGGTTCTTCTTGGACCCAATAGATGAGTGTGTTACTATCGGCATTGTTTACAGTACAGATGAGCTCATACGCTTGTCCACGTTGTACTTTGAGTGTAGCAGGATCGAGAACTACTTTAATCTTTGTTGGGCCAGCGGTTGTTGATGGGCCTGGTGCTGCCGTTGCATCTTCTATACGATGGAATAAATAAATATATTCGATTCACACAAAAGATCATCTATTACCATCAGTACCGTTGGCGTCAATCGAACTTCCTATAATAAAAGCAGTTATCAAAATCAAATACAATCATACTGTCGATAATCTCACCATCAGTGATAAGTGTAGCTAAAAGGAAAACGATGAATTAATTACTCACAAGTGGATAAAGAAGATCGAATACATACATATAGTTGTTACGATCAATGCATCGCTATCACTTGCATTATTATCCAATGATTGTGTAGTTTCTCTTACATCAGCGATAGCTGTTGCATTTGTATCAGCTGTGGCCGATTCCAGAGTCGTTGCTTGGTCAGCACTATCAGTAGCTGCGGCATCAGCATTTGTTGTTGCTTCACCAGCAGCATCTGTTGTTGCTTGATCGGCAGCATCAGTAGCTGCAGAAGCTGCAGCATCATCGCTCGTTGTTGCTTGATTGAAAGTTCCATTTTCATTCGCTACTGCTTCAAGTGTAGTAGCTAAAAATGTTACTGCCTCTTCGGTTTGTTGAGCGAGATCTGTTGTCACACTTAAATCTGTTGCCCCAGTTAATCCTATGAGCAAACTTTGTGTTGTTTCATCTACTGGCAGAGCGAAGATTGTACACAACGCAACGAGATGCAACATAAATACGTGCAGGACAATTTTCATCCTTGTAAATAATACGAGAAAAGATTATAATACGATTCTATTTTGTGGTATCGTCTATATATAGAGAAGCTGTCTTCTTTTTTTTTCTTTTTTTTGTTGCTTTCATCACCTATGATTGATATTAATGTATGATATCTATATACCACAAGAAATGTTTCGTTAGGAGAATGGGAAAAAGAAACCTTCTCTTATTTGATGTGACAAGGGCACAAGACTAATACGATGGAAAAAAAAGAAGAGAAATATGTATGTTTAGTATCTTTTTCTGTCTAACCAGAAGAGATATATTCATTAGCAAAGATTGCACTAAGAACAAAATGACGTCTGTCCATAAGATGATAACACGATATTCTTTTAAAATCATTTCCTCGTAGAAATATAATCTTCGGGAAAAAACTTTCCTCTTTCTTTATCTTATATCATTGTATCTGACAGGAAGACAATCTAAATCAGTTTAGTAGCGCTGTTTGCGATGCCGCAAAGATACAATTGGATGATAACCAAAGAAACAAAAAGAAAATGGTTCCCACCAAGTCATGCTATTGATAAATTCAAGAAAAGATAATTAACGGAGAAGCTTCGTTCAAAGACATCGCGTTCAATTAGTCTCCTCCATGCGTCTGTGATGCAAAGTTTTTCTTCTACTTTACTGTATCTGAAAACCGTGGATATAAATCAGATGACTTATACTTAAAACAGATAATAATCTAATTAAGAGGAAAAATCGATGTTTGATACATTGGGAAAGAAAAGTTCATTTTCTCAGTTAGTTATGACAAATATTAAGTGTTCAGCTTCGTACAGTTTTGTCGAACATTCATGGATACTATTGGATTGCTTTGTTTATCTTTAGTATCATCAGAAATCTAATGAAGATTGTGATATATCCATCGCAATCTGATGAAGAGTTGTTTGCTTTGGTTCTCTCATTCATGTTAGTGGTCTTGATTTGACTCATAATTATCTATTTCTTTGTAGCTGGTACAACTCTTTCTCGGTATAATTATTTATGTTTAATATCAATCGATCGACGGTTAATTACATCGCTAAATGTCTCATCTCGTCGATTAAGTAATGTTATTCTTATTCGAAGAGTTACTATCATTAATACAACCGTTTGGATAATCTACAATCTTCATGTTGCGATTGAATTTCAACCGGAAATAAATGGTTGTATCCCACCGTTTGATAGATCTTACTTCGTATTTTAGCTATATTTACCGTTTGTGATTATAGTTTCACTTGTACTACTAAAATTACAAGGAATTATGAAGAAAGATTTGATCAGAAAGTATAATGGCATTGTTCATCCACTGAAATCTGTTGGAAGAAATAATGTCTGAGATTACGAAGAACGATTATCTCGTATGAAAATCTTCCGAGTGTAAATTTATACGTTATATTCATTCGTTACAAAAGAATCTAGATTAAATGGGAATTGATAACTTTTTCAATTGCATGACATCCATTTTACTTAAAATACACACTGTGCAGTACATTTTACCGAATAAATACATGTTTACAGCATACCATTTCGAAAGGAATTTAACAGTATATACTTTCATTTTTATTCGTTGCGATTAAACATTTTAGTCTTATTGAATTTGTTTGTTAAAAGTGTATTATATTCACAATGAGTGTGTTGAACTCAATGTCGAAACAGATAAATCCAAACTATGCCCTATGAATGAAACAATAAATGGATATTTGTCTTAAAACGGTAATAAACCATAGTAAGCAAAACAATCCAATCATGAGTTGGAGAATAGCATAGAGAATTGATTTATCTAGAATAATCTTTGAATATAAAATGACAATCGACGTATGTTCTCGTTTCAAGAAAATCGTACTTGGAAAATAATTATTATGAATAAAGTTAGTATTGCTCCACCTGCGATTATTAAATAGATGGAAATTCGACTATCGATAGGATATGAGTTGATGTATACTGCACCAAATACGATTTGAAGTATGGACACCAGAAAAATAACATGATCAAGAATATTGACAAGTATTTTTTATGAAAATTTGTTGAATAGGTTCTAGAAAGACCAGTTTCTTTGATTGAAGGCTATTTGATGTTATTTCTGCAGCATTAGATTCATTACTCATATTTACCTATGAGTCGCCGTTGGAACGTTCTTTTCCTTTCCACACAGATAAATCTTGATGATACGATTGCATCATTTAAGCAGTAAACTATCGTGTCAATTGAAATTGTAGGTGACATCGCGTTGCTTCAGATAGTGACAAAAAACAGAGAGCTAGTTTTGAGGCTGGAAACTGAATTTACTAATCAACAATCTTCCACTTAATCGTTTACTTAAACTTGTTTACCATGTTTAACAGAATGAGTAATTTTGAAACCTACATGTATGTCATGAAAATTGTGTGCATGACTTCGCTTTCGATTCGAGTGCATTTCTATTCAAAGATTTTCGTTTATGTTAATGCATTTCTTCCTCTCTCTCTCTCTCTCTGTACACACGCATATTTGACAAATAAACGAATTTCGACACGAGTATAAAAGAACAACAAAAATCGTCAAAATTAAATCAAAGAAGACAATATGAAACTGTACGTGTATGCTTTGATCTCTGCCTTTGTGGTCTTGGCTGCCACGGCTGCACCGGCTTTCTTGCAAAATGATCCCAAACGTCCAGTAGCTGACATCGCTCGTGACTTGGGAATCACAGCCGATCAATTTGTTGCCTGTTTCAACGGTGTAACACCAGCTCCTCGCGGCAGCAAACCAACAGATGATCAAGTGCATGCGAACAAACAACATCTTCTAAGCTGTCTTCAACAAGCTAATCCATCCATTACCAATGAGAAGTTGGATGCGGTTATGGATAAATACCGTCCAAGCTCTTAGAAAGTTTGACGATTTTTCTCTTCTCATAAAACAATTTCCTTAAACTCTATTCTAAACGTTCATTATCTTTTTCTTCTACCGAAACAATATGAAATAAAATTTACTTATAATTTGATTCATACTACTATATATACAAAATAGAACTCTCGATCGTCATCTCAGTTGTGTTCAGTAGGATACTCGAACTGTTACGAACGGGTTAAATAACACGCAATACGTTGTTCGACTTTCATCAGGTAAATTCAACGGCTGATAGTCCTTGTAAAAGCCTTATTCTTTACATACATAGATAAATGCGTATATTTTGTTGAGAACATACATGTATACGACTGCTTTCTCCTTTTTCTTCTTCTCTTCTTTGCTCGTTGTGTCTATCAACACATAATTTATCTATCGATTATGAAAGAATAACTGTTTGTACATCCATATTTCTCTCGCTCCATTTACAAAGGCGTATCCAGCCTGATATTAGTCCATGAGGGAAAAGGACAAATGTCGATGAGAGCACAGAAGCGAGAAAAAAAGCTATTAGAGAAAGTAATGTTGCGATTTTTCATTTCAAAGATATATTTTTGACTTCAAAACATGTCAACTAAAATATCACGAGAGCGAATCATAGTGTCATAATAAGATTAATCGTTCATTAGGACATATTTGATATTTTAAATGAATATTGTTAGTTTTCATTTTAAAATATAAGCTTCAATGTCATTGACAGTAAAACTTGTAGTACCGGTAAAAGTCTTATCACCCAGACCGGTTGAATCGACATATGAGCAAGGAAATCTTGTATTACTATATTTGTTCTCGTTACAACCATTGGCTATGAACAGATCACCACGGCGAGTACCCCATACGCTATCGTAACCATCGATAAAATTCGTCCAATCCAAACCGTCACCACCAAAACCAAAGAGATAGGTATCGTAAAGTTCCCCAAGATAACCAGCTCCAGAATGATATACAGCGTTGTTACTCTTCGATTTATCAATGCTAAATTTTGTCGGAGGGAGATCATGCGGATTGGTTAAAGTGAATAAAAATGCGTTTACATCTTGTCTAAAACCTCGAGTTCGACTCCAAATCAGTTGTGTGAATGCACCAAATAAAAAGTTGTCTTCTTTAGACTGAATAACGATCATGGTTGGTCCTTGTCCATCACAACGGCTATGGAATTTTTCGGTTGAGAAACCATGGTCTGTTGCTTTGTAGACTAATTCCCAAGTTTGATTACGATTTCCATAGAATTCATTGAGTTTTAATTGATGCTGCTTATCGGATAACAATGTACCTCCCACGAAAAGCGTCTGTGCATCGATATCGATGCTATGCGGTATAGGAACTATAATTCAAAGACGAAAACTATGTCAAATCGTAAAATTAACTTCTTAACTGTCACAAATGAATTTACCGTGTATTGGATATTTTACTTACCTACGTATAATGGTAGAAAACCCAGGCACATGTCATGGTTTGCTTTCAGACTGAAACAAGGAAAATATCTTCATGCTGAGAAACTTTCTGCATGGTAGATGATTACCGATCAATGAACTTTTCTTTAGTTATTTTCTCGACTTCTCTATCGTCGAATTTCATCATTGTTTTCACCATGAACGATGTTGAGCTGACATCAATACCTTTTAACTCAGCGACAGCTTCTAGGATTTGAAGCAAATCTTCGCTGCTGACATATTCTTGACCTGATGATGCGCACATTTGAAACGTCTATCAAAAGAATTGAAATAGTCGAATAGATCAGCATTCACAATAAAAAGAGTGTCGAATATATACTAATGTCAGCTGATGCTCGATATCACCTGGGACTGTTAAAGAAAGAGCCGTCATATATTCATCGAAGCTTAAAGTTCCACTTTGATTTTTATCGAGCACCTTGAAAGCGTAGTTGCAATATTGTTTCGGATCACCTCTAAAGATTACATGAAATATAGATTGCTTTAATCTTTGGAACCAGTAGATGTACTTAGGAAAGCGTTTTTGGAATTCATTGATGAAATCATTTTCGTCAATTTCACCTGAAGGACTAAAAAGGATTATTCGAAAAGTTTGTTAAGGGAAAGAAAAACATAGCGGGCATGAGTTTTTACTATGCAGCAATGAAGTTTGTGTGCAGAGTCTCGATATTTTTACTGGTCATCGCGGCCGTTAGCTTGTTTTCAGATCGAATCGCTCGAATTTGAATGGGTGTTAACGTTACTAAATAGAAAAAAACATTTCGATGTAAAACTTTTGTGACTCTCATATGGATCCTCGATCAGAAAACGTACCTAGCGAAGAACGATAGTAGTCGAATGATGTGATTTTTCCAAGATGTGCACGATAAATGACGCATTTTTCTAGTTTACCAGCCAAATCAGGAATTAAATCATGGTCAATTATACGAAATATTGTCTGGTTCGTTGCATTTGACAATTGATTCTTGTAGATGCTCCCGAATGTTCGAATCTGCTTGTACCAATTTTGTGGATCGTTCTCCTTCCACTCATTGGTTATGTGCAATAAGTATATTTCATTCTTGTGATGTTGATTGATGAACTGATCGATTGTTTTACCTTTCGGAAACAAAAGACTCAAGTCATGATGCGTTGTGTCAGTATTGTCGCCTTTTACAGCTTTCAAATGTTCATATATCTCATTCAACGAGTCAATTTTGATTTCGTTGCGCGAGTTCGCCTTCAGATACTTTCGCACAGATAACACTGAGCATGGGTTATTCCTCTCGAAATCAGTCAATAGCTCGGTCAGCTGTGTATCTTCACATTCACCCCGGCGCAATTGTCCAAGAACTGTTGAAAGTTGTCTCATTGTGTCAGTTTGGATATGATTCAATTCCGATTGTTTAACAATGATTGCTTCGATCCAATCAGAGGGAAGCCAATCTTTCCATGGTGAAACCTCGTTGAGAAAGTCGTTGATCATCCGTTTGCCTCTAATTATTTGTTCGTAAATATCTTCAAGTCGATTGGTCAATTGCAATGAGACGTTGTTGATTACTCTAAAACATAGGTGTACAGTTCGCGTTGGTCAGTGTTCAGTCGACGACTCGAGAGAAACATTACCGTTGTATGGTCATTTGATATTTGAATGTTTGTGCCATATGTTTCAGCGGATACAATTCGTATTCAAGTTGTTTTCCTTTTCCATCGTTGATTTTTTTCAGTTCAGATGGCACTGTTTTGAAAATACGGAGAACATCTTCGATTGTTTTTGGAACGTCTTGGATCAACATATCACCGGAGAAACTAATTTGCAAAGATCGTAACTTCGAATTGTTTTGATCATTATATTCCAATTTCACACTGCCGCCTTGTTCTTCAGAAGGTTTCGTCACACCACCTATCTCGATCTTTGGTGTGTTCAAAGCCGCTGAAAGAAGACCTTGAACTTCCTTGGCCGCTTCGGTAGTGCTCAGTGTTTGCTCAAACGTTGCCGCAACATTAGCACCCCAAGTGATTCCAATAATGCAATGTGTGGCATTCGAATTTTCGAACGCATCTGATGCGAAGTAGTCGCATAGGTCAGCCATGCTTATTTGCAAACGTTCACTTTTCGTTTTCATATGCAGTATATGGGTGACACGAACGGTACGACTATCCGTCTTTGTTTGCTGTAGATACTTTGCAGAGCCTTCAACTTTGAGTAGACCGGCCATCAAACTAAGTTTTAGCGATCCGTCTATATTTAGTTTATTAAATGTGTCTTTTTGGGATTCGTTTTCATCGTAGATGTAAGCTGAAAAGGCACAATCTTCTGATTTGATGTAAGAGGAAGGTAACTGGCGATTGAATAGATTTCGGCCTTCGAATTTATCAGTGCGGACGTCGTACAAACTTCCGATATCACCCAGCCGACCAATTGCTTGTCTGGTAATCTTTTCACTATCATCATACATGTTTAAATAAACTTTGTAAACAGAAGTACTTGGTAATAAATGAATATCTGAAATATATATCTATGATAGAAAAATTTTCAGGCAGAGTCGTTAGATATTTGAGGCCTTAACAGATATGTTATTCACCTTCGACAAATACGAGAAACAACAAGTTTGTTGATTCTCATTTTCTTTTCATTACTCGTAGAGCACGTACTTTACCAACGAGTTCTTCTATTGCGATGGTTTTATCGTGTAGTTTACATCAAACATTTTTGAATATAATGGTAGAATCTTGTAAAAGATAAATTAGAATCTTTTCGTGATTTTATCTATCCGTTCTTTTTCCTTCAGTGTTCACTTCATCCTTTGTTACTGTAGAAAAAACTTGTAATCTGAGATAAGAAGGAAAAAGCTCACTACAATGTATAGCTTCGTTTTGCATGATAGCGAAACTATGAGGATGAGAGACAAGATTCGACTGTCTAATTCATCTTACCGTATATATGTGCGTACTTTTTACCAAAAGAGTAAATCAAAAGGCATAGAAGGCTAACAGTTTGACTTTTCCGCAACTATAGTATCTTTTTCAATAATAAAGTGCTTTAGCATTAAGGTAAATACGTATATAGAGTCAGTTTACGACATAAACTCATCATCGTTTATCTACTTTGGTTGATAAGCGAGAAATACAACATTTTCTCTCACTTACATAGTCAAAGCATGATACGCATTTTTTCCTTTCTGGACAAACTTTCATAATAGTCAACGTTTACCTCAGAGATGTAGTCAAATTACACTTTTTGTTGTTATTATCGTTATTACGAAGCTAAAGATAATAGATTGATCTACTAATCAAAACGTGATTATTTAGCATATTTTTTCATTAACCTGATGAATTCTAGACAAAATGAATATATGTAATATAATCTTCTCTAGAGAAAAACAGAAAAAAGTCGAATAAGACAAATACTTCACTTCATTTCTTACTGATGAATAATCGACAAAAATACTTCTGTATGTACATAAAAGAAAGTGGATGTTATCTGTACGGCATGAATCCTACGATCACGATTATAGTGAATGAATTTTTGTAACCTTGGACCTTTATTAATAAAAGAAATCAATATAGCGAAAGATAAAATTGAATGAGTGCTGTTTATTTATATTGACTTTTCCTTTTCTCTACTCTTTGTGGATTCATAATTTATCATAGAAGATTTCTGTTCTTCATATAAACGCCATAATGCATCAACAAATATGATGAAATCAACTGTTTGGAGATGTTTGCCGTCAAATTTGCTGGAATAATTCGACGCGATTTGAACATATTCTTGACGATAGAATTGTTTCAAATGTCGAGCGTAGATAAGCAAGGCTGTTCCGGTCGAGAATTGTTCACCGATAAGTGTGAACAAATCACGATGAATACGATTATCATCGAACCATTTCTGTATATCCTTCGATGTCCAATTTTGAAAGGAATTTTCCTGTTGTTCAACTGTTTTTTGTATTGGTTTTACAGGTAAAACTAACTTCTTGTCGGAATGCACGATCGACAGTAGATCGTTCGCAGCATCGACGAATGGTTTTCGCCCGAAATGGACATATTTCTGTCCAGCAATTCGAATGCCCAGCCAACCATTCGCTCGGTACTGTTGATTAGGAGCATAGATCGGTAAAAGACGCTTTTTTAACGTATCACTTGCATATGAAAGTTCTTGTCGACAGGATTTCGATTCATAATAATCTTTCGACACAATCAAAACGATCATGATGGCTTTTTCCATGGCACCGGCAATATCTTCCCACAAATCATCTGAATGAATAGCATGCGAGTGTATTTGTTTATAATCCACCCAAATGGACACATGCTGTGATAAATGTTCGACAAGTTCATGACAAAACTTTGAGTCACTATGTGAATAACTGATCATAATCGATGATTCTTGTTGTTCTTGACATGATTTGTCTGTTGACGAAGGTAAATGTAAGAACTTCAAATTCCATAAAATTCCCTCGGCTGCTTTTTTCAATGAACACAAATCCAAGGGAAACGAAGGTTCTCGCGTAGTGACGTACAACGATGATGAATTTGCGAAATTCGACAATACATCCATTAGATTCGAATTCGATTGGAATTTCTCATGTGAAAATTGATGAAAGGAAATACTCCAGAAGAGATTCGTTAATGTGGTTAAAATTTCATCTCTCATCCATTGGAAGCTCATTGTTGACTCGGATATAGGCATTGCGAATCGAATTAAAAATTGAGATAGACAATCGAATAGTTCATTACTGTCTTTCAGACATTTCTTCAGGATATCATCGTTCACAAATAATTTGCTGAGAACAACGAGCGCTTCGGTTATATGAAAACCTCGATGAGTCAACAAATCGGACTTGATTGCATTGAATATCAATGAGACTAATTGTTCGAGAATATGGCACATTAGTTCATCAGCCAGAAGGTAATTTTCTTTGATTTCGTCAGCTTCGACAAGTAGCGCATATATAATCGATTGAATGAAATCAATAGTTGAATATTCATCTGCACTGTGATCTTTCTTCATCCGGTCTTTGCTATCACCAAGTGCTTTTATGCAATTCAATTGATTCAAAACATTGACACCGATCGTACATCGAGCCAGTTTTTGCACAATGTAACAAATATGAATATCTATATTGTACGAGGGTCTTCGACCAGGAAATGTTAACCATTGAACGCATGCTTGAGGCCATTCATGATAAACGATGGTTGGTACTAATTTTGGTTTTTTACAAAAGATTTTCATCGACATGAGTATCTGGTTGATAAGTTGCTCTCTCTCTGGAATTTGCCAATATTTTTTCGTAAATGCCAATGAATGCGATATGTAATCCGAAGGCAACTGGTCTTCGGGTATGTAAATAAAGACACTGGATATGACCATGATGTTTATTAGACAACTGGCAAGATAATCGTATTGTTTATCAGCAGAGAAATACTCTTCTTTGAGAAGAGAAACGTAGTTTTGAAAAATCACTTCCAAATGTGAGGAATTTTTCAGTGCCAAAAACAAATCCGTGATGCAAGTTACACGACAGGCATTGTACAAGGTTTCCAAGAACGCATTTGTCACATGTGATTCGGCATTTTGACTGGACAATTTCTTGTCGAAAACAGGAATGACTCGATATAGATTATCGATGAGTGAGAGACCAAATGGCTTGTCTTCCAATAATCCATTTGGTGTTGCATCTTTCAGATGAATAAGTAAACGTTCCATCGTTTGAATATAATCATTTTCGGATTGAGTCAACGATAAACTTTTCAAATCGTTTACAAACTCATTCGTAGTCATTTTGGGATGCAAATCGTTTTCTGATTCTTCTAAACATTCGTGTACATTCTTATATACTCAACTGTTTGATACGTCAATCTCATTCATTGAAAATATAACTTCGTAAATTGTCGTTTGATGACGACAAGAAAAGAAAGAAAAAAAAATGGATTTACCAATTTATGCTATTGTAGATTTCGATTCCAGTCGATGAATAATAACAGTTATTACTGTGGAATATATAATTATAGACAAACACGCATCGATCAAATAAAAATGCAATACATTGTATTAGACTCTTTCCTATGATATTTCGACTGGCGAATTTCATAATCGTCCTTGTTTTCGAGTGCCAATGTGAAGAGGACAATATGACGATCGCTAATGGATTATATACTAAATTGTCATCTACTGTTATTTTAACTATTTCTTCGTAGCATATGAAGAAAATCGTTTTGTAAGGCGAACAAGCAAATTTGCTGTAACGATAGAAAAAATTGCATTTTCTTTATTGACATCTGTAACGAAGTGTACGACGAGGTGAGAACATCTCCTTTCGAGATAAACACATCGCAGAATACTTCAAATGCTGTTTTTGTATCGTTGATTGATATGAATTGCTTCGAAAACTGTGCTGTGAAAATGTTAATCTATAATATTGCGACTCTTAGCGTTGATTACCAAGTAAAAATAGGTAGTTTACATTATATCTAGGTGTTGTCATTACTGTTATTGTTGCATATTGAAAATATGAAAAAAATTTTGTAAATTAAAGAATGACGTTCATGACTATACGCATCTAAGATCAAAAGAGAAAAGGAAAATCAACGAGTAAAGTCATTTGTTTGAGTTTTCAAACTCTACATAACATGAAGCATACAATTCTGCTGTTCACATTCATAACAATCATTTTACAAGTAGATTCACAAAATAGCAATGCATTGCTATTGTCTAAAATCGGTGATGTTCGATATCAATGTAATCAGACGAATTGTTCAACTTCGACGGTTGTTTCCAAGCCGAATCTGAGAGCGTGTCAAACGAGCTGTTTAATGGATACAAGCTGCCGTACATTAACGTTCGATCAAATCAATCATCAATGTGAACTGTTCGCTGACGGTCCAAATCAATATGGTAGTTTGATTGCACAAATAGGTGTGATGACTTTTATTGCTGTTAATCGACAATTATCAGCTTGTAAGTGTAGATTTGACGTATGTTTTCACAAGAAAGTGAAGCGGTAGCTGTGTGTAGAACTTATGTTATTAAGTTTCATGTCAGGTCATCTTGACTTAACATTATAGTTGATTCATGAAACTCAGATTTCTCATATACTTCTTTTAATACATACATATTGTTTTCTTTTCAGCTATGTCGACGAACGCAACGACATCCATGTGAGTTTAAATAATAGTAATTTGAATAAGAGAAAAACCTGAACAATATATATTCTCTCGATGTAATATAACTGGTTGTTTTTTGAGCTGTCTGACTAACATTTGGAAAATAGAAAGTTCGATAATCAAAACAAAGCTCTTCACTTACCGTGTCGCTTCCATTTTGCTGAATAGTTTGGATAGCAATGATATTCAATTTAATTATATAAATAACTAAAGAATATTTCTATATAGTTATATCAACTCTATTTCTAACACATTTTGAAAAATGAAATGATGCAATTTTTTAACATGGGGGTTTAGGAAGATTATTTCTTTTGATAAATATGCGTATATTATTGTTTGTTTCTGGTACTATTATTTATACATTGATACGTATAGAAAGACAACATCATCATCATCGACATCAACGTCATCCACGTCTACAACTACAACAGCCACAATAAGTGAGTAAATATCTTTATTGAAGAGATGTTCATCAGAGCAACGTTCATCTTGCTGTACTTCTTTAAGCAAAATTGTGCATTTTCAATTCGTTTAGTTAGTAGTAGAATAAATTCACTTCTTCTATATTATTTCGAATGATCTTTCATGTGTTGCATTGACAGATGAGTCACCTATCTGACTTGGTGAAGAATTTGCTAAAAAACATGCTATTCTTTCTTTGTCTATATTTAGTATGGAAAACGATAGCAAAAATGTATACCGGACGAGATACACACACAGCATCTGTATTATCAGATGGAAAAGTATTAGTTGTTGGTGGATCTAATGCTGGGTATGTTGCAACGGCTGAGTGGTATGATCCTTCGACAGGTAACTGGACAAAGTCAGCAAACCTAAATGTTGGACGATGGTATCACACGGCATCCACGTTATTAAATGGATCAGTGTTCGTTGTGGGTGGTGGAGGAAGTGCTGGTTATCTCAATAGTGGTCAATTATATAATCCTTTGACAGGCACTTGGACAACAATAGCGAATATGAATGTCGCACGATTCGGACATACAGCATCCGTGTTGTCCAACGGATTGGTTTTAGTCGTAGGTGGACAAAGCAGTAGTGGTTCTTATGTTAATAGTGTTGAATTATATAATCCATTGACCAATACTTGGACGCTGAAAGCAAATATGAATGTTGCACGATCTTATCATACTGCATCTACATTATCGAACGGAGCAGTATTGGTTACAGGTGGACAAACAACCGGTGATATTTATCTTAGTAGTGTTGAATTATATAATTCATCGACAAATACTTGGACAGTCCAAGCGAATATGAACGCCGCACGATATTCACACAAAGCATCTGTATTATCAAATGGGAAAGTATTAGTGGCTGGTGGATATAATGGATCTGTTGTTTTTAATTCTGCTCAGTTGTACGATCCGTTAACAAATACTTGGTCGTCAACAGGAAACATGAATACTGCACGATATAAATATGCAACATCTGTGCTATCTGATGGATCGGTGGTGGTTATCGGTGGAATAGATAATAGCAATACTTTTCTCGCTAGTGGCGAAAAATATAATCCGTCCACAAATACATGGGCAGTATTATCAGCAAGCATGAATGCCGTACGATGCAGTCATACGTCATCTTTATTGCCAAATGGACAAATATTGGTTGCTGGTGGCTATAATGGAACTGTTTCTAGCAATGCTGTTGAATTATATTAATATATACTATCACAAACACACTTCGTTTTTCGTTTGAAATATTCATTTACTTTCAATCACACTATTTTTAACTCATAAGAATACGTCAATTAAATATTGTAGCACTTTCATTTATTCTAATTCTGTTAACTTCACATACTTATTTTAAAATGAGGAAAAGATTGTTCGATCAATGCAAGTCCAAAATACATTACCCTCTCACGCATCGTCACCCTTAGTTATGACCTTATCATGTATTATGTGATCACAGAGACAAACTTTGTTCCGACAAGTCGCGTTACAACGTCATTTATATTTAGTAAATAAGAATCTGTGCATCACTGGAACGCATGATCAAAACTAGATATAGACTAGTTTAAACATCTCTTTCAATTTTCTCCAGTTGACTTAATCCAATAGCTTTCTAACGGATACTTTGTACACTTTTGATGAAGTGAAACCTTTTATCTTAATTTAAATATATAGCGATCCATTCTTCTAAAAAAAATGCGTGCGTGACGTCAAACTGTTCTTGCTTCGGTTGAATATCATGTGATACTTTAAAATGGGATTCTATCTAATCTTTGTTTCTAATTGAGCTTTTCTTCATTACTTTTTACGTCCGTTGCGTATACATTGACTGAAAAGGTCGGAACCATGACATTATTATACGATGCTCAACAGTTTACACTCTATGCTGGTTACTTTCTGCTGATCGCCGGCGTCATTGGGAATGGAATTAATATTTTCATCTTTCTAAAAAAACGAGTATATCGTACAAATCCATGTACGTTCTATTTTCTTCTTGGTTCAATGGTTAATATCTTTTATATATTACTTAACCTTAGCATTCGTATTCTAACAATTGGTTATAATGTTAATGTAGTTGGAACATCAACTGCCTGGTGTAAAATACGACAATATCTTCTTGTTATTCCTTCTATACTGTCTATAACACTCTCCTGCTTGGCTACCATTGATCAATTTTTAATTACATCAAAAAGTGCCTACTTGCGAAAATGTAGTCAGATTCAATATGCTCATCGAATTTCTCTTGTAGCCCTTTTGATCTGGTGTTTGCATGGAATTCCTATTTTACTATTCTATCAAGTTTCGCCAATTACAAAAACTTGTATCGATACAAATGCTGACTTTGCAATTTATGCATTAATATACGTCATCGGTATTGCCTGCACAATACCAGTTTCAATTATGATCGTCTTCGGGTGGTTAACTTATCGGAATATTCATCAAACGAGAAATCTGACTGAATTACACATCGATCGACAATTAATAAGAATGACGCTGATTCATATAGTATTGGTTACTGTTAGTTTATTCCCGTTTGGTGTTTATAATATCTACGACTTGATTACAAGTACCACTCCCAAAGGTTATGATCGGCAGTTAAAAGAATATCTCGCTTCTTCAGTTCTTAGTATGGCGACATACCTGTACTATGTTGTATGTTATTTCATTTTTCATCAAATACGTTCATATGTCTTTATTTGATCTTCTAGGGAAGTTGCTATACGTTTCTGGTTGCATCGAAGCGTTTTCGTCAAACAGTTAAAGATCAATTCCTTTCGAAGCGAATACATAATGAAGTAACACCATTTTGAAATCCTTTTATACAAAAAGGTCATGTTAATCAAAAAACAACTCTTATTTTAATGAATGTTGTCTTTATTTTTATGTGCACATGCGTGATATTCTCGACAATAGTTTGACAGGCAAAGACAACTCCAGTCTGAATTTATAAGAAATTACTCATAGAGAGACGTCCTGAAAATGATAAAAAAAGCTTTAAGACTGGATCCATTCGTGTGCGATAAAGCCGGGGAGAAGTCATATCGGAAAGCACAATATTGATCTTTTATCTCAACCTACAGCTGAGACAGATTTATCTCTAAAGTAAAAGAACTGTCTACATGATTGGTACCGCATTAGGCATGTGAATAATATCTTAACCAAACTCGAGAGATGCTTTAAATAAAGTGAACAAAACTGCAGAATCATACGATGAAATTTGTTTATCATTATTTGTTTTTGCTGATAATTTTCATGAACACCATTTTTTGTTGTCGAGAAACATGTAGCAGGAAAACGGACGGAAAACAGATGTGGTTGAATTTTACCTGATAAGCGAGTATATCATGTTTTTTTCCAAAAAGAAATGAATGAAGAGAACAAAGTTATTTCTATTTGAATCGATTCAGTTTCATATAGAAATGATACAAGCATTCATTCTGCTTCTGACATGTATGATGTGCTATTCCCGTTATTTGTTCTATCATACGAGTAATGAACAAGTATTCGATTGTTTATATGCACATATACAATATTCATTGGAAATGAAGACTGGCGGAGCTTACCTATTACTCTATCATATTATTCCTTATTGTCAACGATCGAATGAAAATAGAGAATCGATGTTCATATCAGATGAGAATATACAAAATAAGATAAGTTTTAAAGAATTGTATCGTAATGGTGTCACAAGTTCTCAGCTATTAGATTGGTTCGCTCCAATTGATATTGCAGAAGAGTATGAAAGCAATGGTAGAAACTCCGACGAGTTCTTTTACAACTGTTCTTTGCCCTGTTTTGGTACAAGATGTCAATATCGATTAATTATTGATCGACAAGTTCCATTTGGTATACTTGTTCGTGAAACTTTTCTTGAACGTGAATCACCATCATTGACTATTAACTTCTCTGTTGGCGCATGTTATTTATTTTTAAATACGTGTATTCGTGGTCCCTCACCAATGTGTCTCGATTGGCGTGAAATCTGTAATGGTGTTTATGATTGTGTTAATGGAGAAGATGAACAATTCTGTTATTTATTGGAACAAAATCAATGTTCGAGCGACGAATTTCAGTGTCTTAGAAGCAAAGAATGTATTTCGCAGACATTCTTCAAAGATTTCGAAGCAAGTTTTGAATGTCTTGACACTAGTGATGAGAATGGCGAATTGGCAGGAGAATTTGGAGAACGTTGCATCTCATTTCCAACCTTTGAATGTGAAGAAGTGGCACGTGGGCTTCGCGATCGCTTCTCATGCGGTGATGGTGAAACTCAGCCGGGCATATTCCCTCGTTTTCATACCTTTTGTCAAAGTTTACGAGATCACTACATGACTAAGACTCTATTTACTTCGTTTGACTATATTTCAAACTTTGCATGTCGGCAACTTCTTATATGTTTCATTCGTCCACATCGAGTCCCTAATCTCTCATATTTATACAATGAAACTCAATGTGAACTACCTTCTGAACGATGCTCATTCGACTGGCTCGTTTTTCCTGAATACCCGATACTTTATTCATTTTTTCAATTTGTTTATTTTACAAACCGATCGATATCCTTATCTAAAAATGATTTCACACCGAATTTCATCTGTTTCAATGCAACACGATGTCCAAAATATCTCTTCTGTTCAGTAGATATCGGAATGCAAAACGGACTTCATTGCTGCCACGCTCGTCACATAACTCGTCAAGACATCGATAAATGGTATTCGCTCCAGGGTATTTTCGTAAATATTTTCAGCGGCTGTTTTCCAACCACTCGGAACGAAAAATATATATCGTCTAACAGAGAGACACAGTCGTCTCTAAGCGTTGATAATCGATGGATCGATTCACATAAAACGTTTGCATTTGCACGCTTATGTGATGATCATTTGGATATAGAAGACAATACTGAAACGAACGATACCGATGAAAGCGATTGTCATTTCTGGCCATGTAATAATCCATATACTCGATGCAACAGATACTTGCATTGCTTAAACGGTATAGATGAAGTCAATTGTCCGCATAAACTATGTTCGTTCAATGAACTTACTTGTGACAATTATTTGCCTCATGTTATCTATTGTCTACCAATATCACTTCTAGCAGATGATCATGCACGGTTTAATCCACATAGAAGTCCGTCTCGTGTTTTATATTTAGTCAACGAAACAATTGGTAATGTGAAAAATTATTTGGCTTGGAATCAAAGCAAGTGTCTCGACATCGATTATTTTAATCGAAGTAAATTGGTGCTAGTGGGTAATAATGGCGATCCTTGTTTAGTACCAAAACATCTCCCATCCCAAACTGCGAAATCAGTTTCATTTTTTAGAAACAATACGGAGATATGTACACTTACTACAGTTGCTGGACATAATATTCAGCAGCATCCATTCGCTCAATCGTTACGTTTAGGTTATTTCCCACCGATTATTTCTCAAGCTTCTCCTCGATCAACAGAAATTCAATCGAATGAACAGATTCCTGTAAATCTTAAGTCAGACGATTTTATTCATTGGCATTGCAATCGAGGATTTCTCATTCTTTACCAAGATAATCAAACTGTCAGGTGTCTGTGCCCTCCAAGCTATTTCGGTCCACGATGTCAATGGCAAAATCAACGTGTTAGTTTATCATTTCAATTGAAATATTTCAGTTTTACATATCAAATGCCCATTTTTCAAGTCATTATTATGCTCATTGATGACCAAGGACAAATCACACCGTACCATGAACAGACTATTCACATGCCTAAACGTGATTGCGGAACGAGATATCATATGTACTTACTTTATCCATCTCAACCAAAGAATTCTTCGATCGATTACGCCGTTCGTATTGATATCTTCAATCGTATGACATTGACTCATTGGGCAAGTTGGCTTTTACCCATTTCATTTCCATTTCTTCCTGTGAATCGTATCGCTATGGAGTTTCTTATTCCTCTAAATCCACAACGAACAGACGTATCATGTCCATTACCATGTGGAAAACATGGAAAATGTCTGAAATATGTAAACAAAAATGCATCGTACTTCTGTCAGTGTGATTCGGGTTATTCTGGGTTAAATTGTCAATTTAAACACAATTGCTCTTGTTCATCTGATTCATTTAGCCGTAGTTCATCGATTTGCGTCTGTCCTTTATATCGATTTGGCCCGAAGTGTTACTTAAAACATACCGCGTGCCAAACATCAACAGATCCTTGTCGAAATGATGCACAGTGTGTACCAATTGATGATCGTGTTGCTCAGAATAGCTTCACATGCATTTGTAAAGAAAACTTTTTTGGAGCTCGATGTGAACATATCCAAAATCGAATCGATATTGAGTTTAATGATCACCTAAAGACAACAACAACTGTGCCCATTTTGATTCATCTAATAACAATTTATAATACATCGAATCATCTACAAAGTAAAATCTTGAAACAAATTAAATATGGCCAGAATGAAGTCACTATTCTTACAACAACTCCGTTTCATCTGGTGTTCGTCGCGTACTTCCACGAGGAGTTCTATTTGATTGTCAGACGTGAACAATTCATTGAATCAGAACATATTCAAGCAAAAATATTACCCGACTATCGATGTTTGTTCGTCAATGAATTATTAAATGAAACATTGACTTCTTTTCATTATCTTCGTCGTATCAAATATTATCCATTGTTATGTCGACAGCAACGACAACTGATGTGTTTCTATGATGAGATCTACATGTGTGCATGCGATCAGGATCGGTTTTCCAATTGTTTCTCATTCAATCGAACTACGACTGACAATTGCGATCAAAAAGAAAATCCTTGTGAAAACAATGGAAAATGCTTCATAGCAAATCAAACCTGTTCAAGTTCAATCAAATGTCTTTGTTCAGGTTGCTTCTACGGTACAAAATGTCAGTTTACAACTGAAGGCTTCGTTCTATCACTTGATTATATTCTTAGTTATCATATTAAACCGAATCTGTCATTTTCTCAACAACCATTTATTGTAAAAATGAGTGCATCGATCGTTGTAGTCATGTTTCTTATTGGGTTTATTGGTGGCTTTTTGTCAATTGTAACATTCCGCGTGAGAAAAACGCGCACAACTGGGTGTGGATTTTATTTATTAGTATCCGGCTGGACTTCAATATTAATTGTATCTGTATTAGTAGTGAAATTCATCCAATTGCTGTTGTTGCAAATGAAAATTTATAATGATTGGTCGGTTCATCGTTTGAATTGTATTCTATTAGATGTATTAATTAAAATTCTTTTAGCGATAAATGATTGGCTTGATGGATGTGTTTCCATTGAACGTGTTATCACAGTGACACAAGGTGTAAAATTTAATAAAACCAAAAGTAGACAAGTATCTAAATGGATAACTTTAATTATTTCTTTGATTATAATTTTGACTCATCTTCATGATCCATTTCATCGTCAATTAATTGAAGATATTGACATCGACGAAGAGCGAACATGGTGTATCGTTCAATATTCAATGTCTTTCAATATTTATAATTCATTCATAACTTTATTTCATTTTCTTGCACCATTTACAATCAATTTCCTCTCAACGATAATCATTATTATTACAATAGCTCGGAATCGTTCGACCATCCAGTTGGGTTTATCATATTCGGAACATTTAAAATTACAATTAATTCAGCGCAAACATCAGTTTATGGCCTCATTGATTTTAGTGCTATTAGGACTACCTCGTCTTGTTATCTCATTTATAAATGGATGTATGAAGTCACCGCATCATTCGTGGTTATTTTTGACCGGATATTTAGTTTCATTTTTACCCTCAATGATGACATTTGTTATATACGTATTACCATCGAAAATGTTTAAAGATGAATTTGATCAAGTTGTGCGAGAAACAATTCGACGTTTCCGCAATTAGACTCATGAGTTTTTCGCTTATAGATTCTTACAAACATAATTTGTCTGCTTGCTTGCTTACGTATTCCTTATTCGCTGACGGGTCAACAAATAAAATGAAATTGAAACGTGTTCTGTTTTTTTTCCAAAGCTTGACCGAAGTGTTAGGGTGGAACTTTGTTTCATTTATTGAAACATTAATCATGTAGAAATCCGTAAAAACACTACACATCGATGTAACTGTGTCATCCGAGAATAGCTATGAATCTATTCGAATTTCAATTATCGGCTTTTTCAAAAAGGTCAATTCATTATGATTAATTACTGCTGTCTAAAGTTAGGAGTGCTCAAAGATGCCGAACGCACTATAATACGTGTCATATAACTACCTCAAATTTACGTCAGGCTAATATTATCTTTATATAACCTCAAACTTGTTTATGAGACTATTCTCCGTTTAACTTTCTCATACATTTGCGAAGAATCTGCTGAGAAGAACTCAAGATAAAGGCACTTACGATGATGATCGTAGACGATGCTCAACAACTGGCATTTTATCTTGGTATTTGTCTCTTCATCGCCTGTCTAATTGGAAATGGTATCAATATTCTCGTCTTTTCCAAAGCTCGCACTTATCGAACAAATCCTTGTACCTTCTATTTTCTCATGGGTTCAATCGATAACATGTTCTACGTCTTACTCAATCTTACCATTCGTATCTTAAGTGACACTTATAAAATTGATATATACAGAGCATCTGACGTGTGGTGTAAAATACGACAGTTTTTTCTCTTTGTTCCTGCTCTTATCTCTGTGACTTTCTCATGCTCAGCCATCATCGATCAGTTTCCAATCACATCAAGAAATGTCCAACTTCGAAATTCAAGTGAAACTAAATGTTTAGGTGAATAAAAACTTGTTCGGATACTCGATGATTTTGCAGCACTATCTCAATTGAAAATTATGATTGAGCAAATGCAAAATCTTGAAAATAGAAGGTGCTGAATATCATCAACGCACACAGATAGGAAACTTTATATCAGCTCATATTTCTACACAACCACTACTCAAATAGATCAGTGTGTTAGGGTTGATTGGACCAGTAGGTGAGTATTAGAGACAAGAAGATTTGTGTTATCGGAACTTCTTAGTTTATTGTGAAAATGTAAAGTTACACGCGTGGAAAAACACTCCTCTCGATGCTCTCTCTTCACACTATCACACGTACATATTTATATGCCAGCGTACAAAGAAAAGTGAATAGATATCACAGGAACAAAAGAAGATATCACTAATACAAAAGATCTAGGGAGATAGAAGGTATAACAATTGATCTAGGCAGAGAGAGAGAGAGAGAGAGAGAGAGAGATGTCGCCTATAACAGTCGACCCTTAACGAGAAAGTTGTGTGTCCGCACACATATCTGACAGAACGAAAGAAAAAGTTTAACAATGAACATGATGAGGAAATGCAAAAAACGAAAGGAAAAGAAAAATGTATATATATATGTTTCGTACATGTATGTTTATTGATAGAAAGAACGGAAAAAAAAAGAAACACGCGCACACACATGTTCAAAAATAGTCTAGACAGGAAAGGAAAAAACTTATATATGTATGTCTTGAACATACCTAGTAGCGTCTCTTCGTTCTCTTCTTCTTGATCATCTTCATCTTCGTGTTCATGTAATGGTGGTAATGTTCTTCAGTAAACATTCGACGATGCAGGATTTGTTCAAGTTCATCGGCTGCTTCTGGACTTTTGACACCAATGTATAATTGACCGTTTCTGACGTTGACGTTCAGGACCTTGATGTTGATTGCGCTGAATATTTCTTTGATATGGTCGTAGTTGAATGCTTCATAGATTGGTCGAATAACTTCTGATCTATAACGATTTGATCGGCGTCGAAGACTGCTTTCTTGATTTTTGGTCGCGTTTTCACCTAAATTCAAATGAGGACCTAGATAATAAGAACGTCTTACTTTCTTTGGTTCATCCTGTTCATGAACTCGAGGTTCATCTAATGTTCGTTTTTCTGATGGAGGTGGTAAATGAAGCTTCATGTATTCCGGTAATTCATCATCACTAATTGGTTCTAATTCATCGTAATGCGATGTTTCATTGTAATTTGATAACGTTGGATCACATTGTAATGATGATTCGAATGGCTCTTGTTCTGCTGAAGCTTGTAATGATGAATCATTATTGTTGTCTTCGGCTGGAGTAGCGTCTTCGTAATCGAAGATACTTCTTTCATTATCGATTGGTGGTAAGTCGATATCGATGATTAATTCGTCGTCATAGCCATATGATTCATCTATATCATGAACTCGAGGTTCATCTTCGGGTGGTTCTAATTCGATTGGCTGTTCTTGAATCGGTTCATCGTAGACATGGCGGACATCTGCTGGTTCTTCTTCACGTGCTGTGGTTGGTGGTGTTGTTAACCATTTAATTAATTTCATATCACGTGCGATCTTGGTAACAGCGAACACGTCGTTGATTGCATATTGTTGTAACATGCGTCGATAGTCTTTTTCGTCCTGTTCACGTTGTCGATATTCTTCGCCATGTACATGTCGTGGCCTATATGTACCTAAACAGAAATCGATACCACATGACCATTCAGCTAAAGTTGCGGTCTTATCCAAATATTGCCGATATGTGGATTCGATCACGGACTGTAAGCCGCATTTATCATATGGATCGTATTTCTTTTGTACATCGACGGCATCTACTTTGAATCCTCCCGTGAATAAGTCCAAGTTCATGAACGATTTTAATTCGTCGTCGATGTCGCCCCATGAGAAAATCGTGTTGTTCGACGATAATATTATCGAACATAGTTGTTTGATTTTTGTGAATAAAAGCGAAGTGATTGGTGGGAGATAATTCACCTCGATCACGATGACTGTTGTTGGTGCGTCTGGACGAACAAATTCGATCTGGATTGTGCCTGGGAGATGTTTGATTGGGTCGCCTTCTGTATCGAGTGTGTAATGGATTGTTTGTTTTGCTTCATCGATCAATTGGTCCATTGTGAACATGCTTGTTTGTTCGTGAATAAAATAACATCGATAATCCTTCGGCTGTTCGAATGGTTTTAATTTGCCTTGTCGACATAATTCTTGTAATTGCCGTTCTTGTTTTGCTTTTTTTGGTTTCCATCGTTCGGTTCGTTCTAATAACCGTTGCATTGGTGATACATATCGGTATCGCCTTGAACATGAATTCGTACGATTCATCTTATTAATGTTGAATATAAAAGCGTAATAATACTAAATACAAAGAAGAAAAAGAAGAAGAAGAGAGACTTTGCCTGATGTTGTCTGTTGCTGTGTGTGTTGGTATTGGGAGTTAATGCGATAATTAATGAGAAAATCTGAAGTGAAAACATTCGATATGATCAGGATTTACATCATGAATCCTCTGCCATCGTTTCATCTATGAATGCTGCTTTCTAAATAAGTGGTCATTCATCCGATTGTTTCTTCTTTTTTTTTTTTTTGTTTTGTTTTGTTTTCATTCGACGGTGCACGTCGTGTTTACTAGTGTTATGGATAGATATAAGTATGTGTAAGAGAGGGATAGAGAACCACGTACATAATCGAATGGTGAACTGGCATGAAAGGAAAGATAAAGGAGTCTGGTATGGAAAATAAAGGTTAAGATAAACGTAAAGAATGGAAAGAGACATATATGTGCATATGCGTATAGTGGAACGGAAGGAGAGAAAAGAAAGAAACTGTAAAAGCGGTCTATGAGCACGTGTTTTATACATACGTTCAAGTAATATGCATGTATAGTTCGATTNCGTCTTGTCACGGAAATGTTCACTAGTGATGCACCTGTTTCCTCATTCGACAATCAAACATCGACATGGTCGCTTCGTTTCCGACCTCGACGGTATTATTCAAACTCCTGTTCATGTGCATTGTCAAATCGATGTACACGTCCAACAGGATTTTATTATCAATCTGATAAAGTTAATTCTTCACCTAATATCACTGTACCCGGCTTAGTTCTCGGCTGTTATCCCATCGATTCGTTTCTATTGTCAACATTAGAATGTTTCTACAGTCGAGAGTGTCTGAAACTTATTGTAGACATGTATGACTTTGATGTCATTGGTTTAGTTTTGCCATTAGATAAACGAGCCATGAATGTGCCACCATTGAATAGTGAGAATAGTCGTTTTCATCCGAATAGTACGATAGAAGAAATTTTCTCGCAATTATTTATCGAGGAATGGATTACTTCGCATAACTATACGGATTATTTTGCGCGTTGTGCACCGAAACAATGTACGTATAGTGTTATGCAACGCTTTGATATGCCATATATGCTAACGATGATGCTCGGCTTTGGCGGCGGGTTAAGTGTCGTTTTGGAAGTAATTCTACCACCGATAGTTAAATTGCTGAGACGATGGTTAAGAAAACGAGAACGACGTCAGGAAAGAGATGGTGATACAACAATAAGTAAGAGAGATTTGAGTGATTTCTATCTTTATGAAAATATCTTTCTTTAGATACCGCTGTTAATCCCAGTAATCGAGATTACCAGCGAGTTTTTTTGACTGTTAATTTCTTTGAAACTGAAATATCGGCAACTAACAAACGATTCGAATATGAAGAAATTATTGCTACTCGCATCTATATTTTCCTCTTTGTCCTCTGCCTTGTCGCCGCCTTTCTTTACGCTGGTCCATTTACCGATGAAATCAAAACGACAACAATCGCATACCCAACATCCGACATTGTCAATGACTTGCATTCTAGACAACTGCTAACTCTCTCTTGCCCATGTTCGACTACAGCAATCAATTATTCGACTTTTCTGAAAATCAGCCCGCATTATTATCAAATCTGTTCAAGTGAATTCGTATCGTCTGCTTATTGGACTTTTCTATTCGAAAAAGACGATAATATTTCTTTAGCACTCAGTGCTCATTATCGACTATTAGCATCGTTATGCGATGTTGCTCGACGAACGATTGACAACAAGAAGGAACTATTCGAGACTCGTGAATTGATCAATGTAGAAGCAATTACGCGCTCATCGTTCGAAACTCAAATTAATGCACTTGTCTCAACATTTATTACGCAAATTCCTGCTGATTTCCGTCGGATACTTTCATTCACAATCGGTTCGTTCGAAGTCAATCAGCTATTGAACGCTTTTACTACCAATTGGCATGTGGATTTTGCGACTGAAAACGAATATTATATGATCAATACTCGTCCACGTCGTTTCTCATCATCGAATTGCACTTGTGCAACATCGTCTAATTGTATCGAACAACTGACAGAAAATACCTATATCGGCTGCTTCCCATTTGATGGACTTCGATTATCGACATATGAAAATCTCTCCATAAATTATTTAACTCAAAAACTCTTTGTAGAAACATGGCAAAATGAAAGTAATTACACGACATATTTCGAAACTTGTCGACCATTGGAATGCCAATATACACTACCTGATAGAAGCAATTTCCTGTATATATTAACAACTGTTTTAGGGCTATACGGAGGTAAAGTGAAGAATAATTCGTCTTCGTAGTATCGATGTTTGAATTTGATTTAGGCTTGAGATACATTCTTCGTCTTATTATTGGACAAAGTTTATTGGCTTATCGTTGGTGGATGAAACATATTCGACGACAACAAATAGATGCTATCGCATCTAACCCAGTGAATCTTTAAAAATCATATAAAATACTTCCTTTTTTACAATAAATGATAAACAAACGTGAATCATGACTATCGGATATCTCTTCTTCGAGTTCATGTTTATTTTGTTGTCAAAAAAGATAAAAAAACATATAAATAGAGGGAAATGCTGCAGAATGAAAGTTATCGAGAAATTAAGGTACACTCTTTTAAAGTTATTATTTCGCAAAGCGTGTGGGCCAATGTGGAGTGTATTTAACGATATTTCTTGGATTTACTGCGATAGTCTTAACAATAACAGGTAGTATCATGTTTGGGATACAGCGTCACAAAGAAAATTATTTTGTGGAAAATAACTGTTTGGTGTTGAAAGGGGAAGCGATTGCACATTCATGTTCGGATCATGCGATCTGTTATGTACCGATATGGACTGTTCAATATGATAGAAAGTTGGTTACGATGAGCAATAGTACAGCACTTGCTCGAATCATGGGTTCGTATTTCTATAGATATGTGGATGCATTGGATGAATTAGAACTGCATCCCGTAAGAATGCAGACCTAAAGTATTTTGTTTATTCTCTATATGTAGATTGTTTTTCTTTGTTCGTAGGTCAACTCTAGACACAAGTGTTACCATGACAAACGAACAAGCGAGAATACCGCTCAATGGGACAAGCCTAATTCGACAAATGGTTTAATTGTTCTTGTCGTTGGATGTGCCTTGATATTCACTACTATTGTTGGATGCTTTATTATGTTCTGCATGCACATATAACTGATAAATCATCTTTCGTATCACAGCATATACACATATTGCTAAAAGAAATTTGTCACAATAAAATCAACCAGTCTGAATAGAAAAAGAACAAAATGTATACAAATACTTTAGGCTTTCTACCAGGATCAGGAAAAGTCTATCTAGTTATTTAAAGGTGTTCCATCTTCGGGAACGATTTGATGTTCTTTAGTGGATGCTGCATTGTTCAGCACACGATGAAGTTTAAGGCGATTCTTGAAGAATTTTTTCAGTTCTTTCCTGAAAGCTGCTGATGTAATCAGATTCGAATACATTGCTGTTGAAGTGTTCATGTATTGTAATACTGAACCGGCAAGAAACGACAAAAAATCGTCAACTGCTGCTCGATCTTTACTTTTGATTACATTCACTGTCACGGCTGCGTAGACAGTATTGATCGGAAATGGTAATATCGAAGCGCAATAGATCATGACTTCCACAGAAAGCATCTAATCATATAGAATTCAACATTAGCAATATTACAGAAGCATATACTGACCTTCATGATTTTATAGTCGGTTCTTTTAATACGTGTCTGTCGTCTTTGATCGCTGTTCGTCGGTTGAATTCGTCGTTGCATGTAACGAAGATTCCGATATGCTAATAAACCAAAAATAGCCATAGAAAATGGCGGAAGAATACTCGCACAAATAATAGCATACACAGCATACAAAATACGATATACTCCTGGCACAATACATTGATTTCCTTCGATTGTATTAAAAATCGCGATGTGTATAGGTAAACAAATCCAAATCAGAATAACTAGTGGAATAAGTCGAAATGCATTTTGACTGCGACTGAACGCCCGTATACGAACATCCGGCGAACAAAGAGCATGGCGGTCGGCACACGCTAGTACAATGTTTGTTCGAGAAATCATAAAAAGTGAACTAATCAAATACGGCCGGACCTTACAATAGACTGTGGAATACGCTAGAGGATCTCTGTTAGTCACTGAGCACAAATTCGTTGACATGGCCCATACTAATAACATCGTATGTGAGAAAGATTATGCAATAACATAGATACTACAACTATTTAAGCGTAGGTTTTTTTGGAAGGAAAATTCCACAGTTAATCATGTTGCCACTAACTCCGAAGAATAATACCAATGGCAATCCATATAATGCCATATATTTTTGACTATTCACAAGTGTCGATGATAGTCGTATGTCGAAGACGGACGCGCTCTTAAATTAATGATCGAGTTATGAAATTTTTAGATTTTAGCGTGTAGATCTTCGTTGCTATGCTATAAACTACAACGAAATAGGAAAAGACGGATGTCGTCATATCATTTTCAACATCTCTTTATTATGTAAAATTGAAAAATCGACGCTTTTCTTTCTTGTTGACATCAAAACTTCGAAACTATACATATGTTAAATAGAGAAATTGTTATTCGAGGAGTAGATGGTAAAGTTCAAGATGTTCGTGTTTTCTTTAGTTTTACTTTTCCAGACCAGAAAAGCATTTCTTTCTCTTTCCTCTTACACGGCCTACACAAATGTAAAAACAACCACATCAACTGACAGAATATGATTTTTATTTCGTTAATACTAAACGACGCTGGTCAATTTCTCATTTGAGTTGGAAAAGAAAACGTTTCATGTATTTAATATGACATTCATGTGAAAAATACGTGTCATGACGAAGTCGTACGATGACAATAGTAATCTTATTCTTCTCCTGTGAACAGATGGTGAACCATCGAACAAAAAAATTCTGTTATTCACACCTATATGGATATCGTTGCAATCAATGGAAAAAGAGTGGATTCATTTTGAGAAATGCATACTCAAAAAAGTATGGTCCAGCGTGAAGATTATTCTCTTTGATCGCGATGACATAATTGTTTGTTCGTAGGAGGTCGAAGAAGCCTTGAATAATAGTAATATTTGTTGGATGAACTTCGACGAGAATTTGTCGTGGGAAAGTCCTTTTATCAGATTGAAATAAATGAGGGAAAAACGAATATTCCGCTCCTTCGATATCAATTTTAAGTATGTCAATCGTTTTAGCTGTATGATTCAGTTCTTGAAGAATACTAGGCCAACTTCGTGAATTGTTAGGTACAATACCATCGCCGAAAGTGATCGCATGAAACGTGCATACGTTCGTCGGACACGAATACACTTTTTTATCGAATGCATGAACTTCACAGTGGGGTATGAGTTGCTTTATTTCTGTTTCGAATGAGAAATCCCCATTAGAGCCAACGCTATAAATGAGACAATTTGCTTGGGATTTTAATCGATATGAATCGCACACCCATTTGCCACCATCGCCTCGTATACCTATGCGTCGCGTACTCGAACAATGAAACGTCGATTCCCAATTCGTTGAAAAGAACACCGGATCAGGATGTCGTATGGCATTCAAATCATCTTGAGCACGATGGATCTGTTTACGTTCATTCCATACGGCTTTGGATTCACAAATAAAGCCATCACTTTCAAGAAGTGATTGTTCGCAATCGTTATTAGCCAAAGAAGAGTCTAATTTTGCACACGATTGATAGATTCGATGAAGTACGAACAATAATATAACAGCACACAACAAGGTCACTGCATGTACACTCGATAGTTTTTTCATATGTATAAAACTTGTTATAATCGATAAAATCTCGACGATGATAATGTGTAACTAAATAGTACAGAATTAAGCATAAATCAACTAAGAAGGAGAACGGTGAAAGAAGGAGAGACAATTGAGCAAATACTTAGAAGGTGTAGTAAAAGTATAGAGCTTTTCTCGTATGATCATAAGGGAGAAAATAAATTTCACGGGTGTGGATATTCAAAGTAATATTTAATGCGTAAAGCTATAGGCACAAGAGAGAATTTTTTGAGACAAAAAATTGTAAAATGACGCGTCTTGTGAACAAAAAAAAACGAGTGCTTCTTTCTTTTTTGTTAAAGGGATTTTAATATTGTTAGAAAATTTGCTTGTCAAAGTTGTCTTTCTGAATTGTGCTTCATGAAACGCAAGAAAAAAGAACAAAATGCGCTCTGGCAGTGTAATAACACTACATTTCAAACAATCGTGTCTACAGTCCTTTCTTCTCCTATAATTCTTTCACTAAAGTAAAAGAGGAAGCCAGTAAAGAATTGGTAACGAAACAGCAGAAAGAAAATGTAAATAAACTTGTTTGAGTCGATTGTGACAATCGTTTTCGCATGCTATTTTTGTCCCTACTTCTGTGCATTTTTTGTGTACTTTGGCTTTATCCTTCCTTCCTTTCTATCGAGAGAAGGATATATAAACGTGTATTCTGTATTAGAACGATGCGATTGATGATAGGAAGAAATAAAGAAAGACATGATTCGATCGGGATACACATCTCTTCCATAAGAATTCGTCACATCGATGAAATCTTTTTTTTATTATTCTGAATAGTTACTCTCTTTCTCAGAATAATCAATGAACTGAAAACAGTATTGATGATGTCTTTGAGTAAGTTTCTCCATCAAGTATACAACACAGCAGTTGATATTATTTTTGCGATTGTTTTTGCTTAACCAAACGATGCATAAATCATGTGCGTGAAATATTTGTACATAAAGCAACGCTGTTTCTTTTATATCACATTATGCACAAATCGATGATATCGAAAATAAAGAGTAGCTTGACTTTGTACCTACCTGGTCGCTCACATTTTCGTTTCGCATTCATTGAAGAACATTTAATAATCCAACACTCTTGAAAAGAAGATCAGTTTTCCTAAAGAATACGATTATCTTGATTTCTTTTTCAGTTTAATTTTGCATCAACATAGACATACACGCATAGCACGTGTTGAAGATGAAAGGATGAACGTACATGATTAAAATCCGATCTGTATATATTGTTGATCTATCTATTGCTTCGATGCGTCAGATTCGCGTCGATCAGTACTCAAGAATGTCAATAAGAAATGTCCTGGAAACAGTTTTTTGCCAAGTATTGTAATAACAAGAATAACACTCGTAACTGATGACTCAGTAAAACGTAGCTTCCTAACCTTCATTTCCTCTGTATGTATTCCAAAATCTTTTGCACGAATAATCATGATCAATCATTTTTCCGTATGCTTCGAAACAAGCAAAAGTCTTGAGAACGTGTCCCACTCGAAGACTATATTAAAGCGCTTCAGACTGAACATGACGCCTTTATTTCGAAACAGGATGAAAACTCGCAAGATAAGTTTATTATTAACGTTGGTGCACTTCATCCAGGCGAGCAATGCGAAATTGTGATCTTCTATGTAGTCGAATTAAACCTCGTTTTACAACCCTCTGAAATGTCGTATTACTTTACCAGCTGGAACCGGTGCAAAGTACGTTCAATCTGTTTCATATGCGTTGGATTTTCATTGTCAAGTGGAGAAAGCGAATATCGGTGCAATCAGTTGTCTATCACATGCCACTCGAATAGGCTTAGATCTAGTCGATGTTTATATGATTACATTTGCACAGCAGAATACTAATTTAGATCATGGCATTATCAGCTTAGCGAGAATAGCACAGTTATGACATTGTTTCTACCCAGCGAAGGAGATTGTCACCGGCTTACGGACAAGGCGAGGGTGACAAATGAACTTCTTTTTGTATTGTCAGTTGTAGTGTTTGCTGAAAACAAAATCGAATTGGTACGACCAAACTGAGCCAGTGAGTACATATTTAGATGATAAATATTTGTAAATTTATTTATTAAAAATAACTTTTTCCGTAGTTGAATCTCTTGAAATGGATCTACGAAAAGCATTACAATCGTATATAACTGCTGTGAAAGTCAAGTGGTATTTAGATACTACAGATATCATTACTGTTCCGACTAGACTAACACCTTTCTATGCAAACGGCCGCTTGGTTGTTTACGCATTAGTAGCTGGTTTAGCACTTAGACGAAGCAAAATTCAGCCAAATGCCGTAGGTAACTAATAATAGAGCTATTGCTCGTTTAGCTGCCAAAGCACTGATTCTCGAAACAGGAGAGCAGTATTAGATCCTAAGCCCATACACGGCTTTTGTCGGTGCTGAGAAACGAGCGAATATGAACAATGTCGATAGGGTCCTGCTTGGAAAGCCGCTCGTTATGTTTCAACACAGCGCGGAGTGAAATACTTATCACTGTGATCGTTATGTCAGCACTTGATAGACAACTCGATCTTCTTGATAAAAATACGATCCAGATTCAAACATTGTTTGAAAATATTCGTAAACAACTTTCATACTTTATACAATTTTTCGAATAGAATTGCTCATTTTCTATCCGAAAAAAACAAACCATATTTATCCATTAAAAATCAATTACCCCATAACATTTTCGACCATGTGTAAATATGATGATTATTCTGATTGCACTCGTCAGTTTCATTTCTTTTTCTCTCTCGAATGTCTTTTGCATTATACGCGCAGTTTACTTCGGGCTCATTTCTTTTCGTTATTTAGTCAAAATGAGTAAAATATTACACAGTAAAAATAATCCTACCACGGCAAGCGATGATACACGTATAACACTAATTCGCGAATCGTCAAGCATTGAACACCGTGTAAAAGTGCCATTTCTTCTTAGTGATACCTTATTAACGATTCTTCTTGGTATTATCGCTCTATTATTTATTTTAATTATTATCTTGACAATTCTATATGCTCGACAAAATGTGCTGCCAATAATCAAGTAGGAATATATTCATTTGTTGATGATAGATTCGTTTACTTTCGTCAAATTAGACATACATCTGCAGTGCACAGTACTAGCACAACATCCATCGAAGATTTCACATCTACGACACTTGTTTGGCCTCCACAAATAAAACAAGAAGCTGCTTTTTCAAAAGCTGTGCACATCGAAGAGGGTTTCATCGCGGCTGCCGATGATTAAAACTTCATAAACTAGTTTTTACTTTATTAACCAACAGTCTTAGAATTATATCTGTCATAACATTGACTCTGTAGTGGACTCTTCGACTTTCACATTTTCGGGATGCCTTGCCAACCATCGATAGATATGTAGTGATTGATGAATCATCAACCGTAACATACAAATCAAACCTAAACATCAATAAAAAAAACGATTCTTTTTCTACTGAACTTTATGTCTTACCTCCATATAATCCTAGAGCCGTCATAAGCATATAAACGGCATTGTTGCGATCCGGTAGAGTATATCGACATTCCAAGGGATGACATGTTTGAAAGTAAGCCGTATAATTACTCTCATTGTGCCATTGTGTGACGAAAAGATTATCATTCAATTCGCCCAATGACGAATTTTCATAGGTTGATAAACGAAATCCATCGAAAGGAAAACAACCACTGACAACATCTTCAGTAATTGACTCGGTACAATTGAATGATGTTGCGCAGGTACAATTCGAAGCAGGAAAACGACGTGGGAAAGTAGCAAGAATATGTTCTTGTTCTTCATCAGTGAATTCCGGTTTCCAATTGCTGGTAAATATGTTAAATAGATGGTTGACACTGAACGAACGCATGATATAGTGTAGAGTACGACGGTAATCAGCTGGAATTTGTGCAATAAACGTTGATACGAGTGCTTCTGTTTGAATGGCAAATGACGAACGCGACATTGGTTCGATGGAGACTAATTCTTGTGCGTTGAAAACATTTTGAGCGATATGAATAGTACGATTAGCTATTTGACAAAACGATGACACCAATCGATAGTGAGCAGTTAGCAATAGTGACGCTTTGTCTGTCTTTTTTGAAAGTTCAATCCAGTGTACTGGTGTAGCATAGATACTCGAACAGATCGGATGATAATGTGGAGTGATTGATAGGAATTCCGAGTGTTGAACAGCGGCTGTTGAACAGGGACACGATAGAGTAGAGATATTTTTCAAATAAAGATTGTTAACATCATCGGACGATGGTGATTTGATCACTGTTGTTTTTATTTCTTCACTGAACGGACCCGCGTACAGAAGAGCTGCGATAACAATTATTAGGAAAAAGATTGCATACAATCGAGTAGCAACAATTTCCTGATGTTCGAAGCGATTATCTTCTGCCGTTTGATTTGTAGAAAACAAATTCCATGAACGAATAGATTGACGAATCTCATTAAATGAGCGACGACTTGGATTTTCTACAATACAACGATGTGTGTAAAAGGATTTCAATCGAAAATCTTTCACCTGTTGTTATTCTTGATGGTGGTGACGGCGATTCTTTCTGTACTTTTGTTTTTTTCCATTGTTGTCGTAGAACTCGAACACACGATGGTAAAACAATTTCTAGAATTGCGCTCAATCCACTATAAAAACCTAACATTATGGCGATCATATAAGCCGTATCGAAACGTCGGCGTAAGGTATAAATACATTCTTTCGGAGCACATCGATGATAGTAGGCAGTGAAATTATTCGACGTTCGCCAATCTTCTATGAAAAGTTCCGACATGATCGATTGTAGAGTTGTATTTGGTTGAAAACGACTATTGTTTCGTCGTAGTGGCTGAACTTTTGTCACGCGCTTGTTCATCGGATGGAATAAACCGCTCGCATTGAAATGGCGCATGCCAATTATAAATTTTAAACATTTCTTTTCAAATAAACATTCGAGTGTTGAAAAAAGAAGGGAGTCGATGGTGTAACAGCCGAGAACAAGACCTGGAATGATTGTTTGCGGTTCTGCATTCAAAAGATCTAATTGTAAATAGAATCCTTGTGGACGTGTACATTCTGAATTTATTGCACATGAACAATTGCCAATATTTCTCGAATAGAATCTCGGTGAATATGTCATTGTCTGCTTGTTTAATAGAAGCGAAAATCCAGTTGTTGTTAACAGATCTGTGACTAGCCGGTTGGTTTGAATCGACGAACGAACCAACTCAAGAAGATGTGTAAAAGACGAAACAGTTCGTTGCTGAAATTGATTTAAACGAGTTTGGATTTCTTGATGAAATTCACTTCGTGATAGTGTATTGATTGAGATTAGCCGACGCGATCGAAATAGGTGAATTGCATTAGTTACTGTTTCTTCTGATGTTTGACATAGGACACGTAAGAGATCAAAGAATGACTGCCCACCAAAACGAAAGTCGACGGGAGGGAAGAACGTTGTATTTGCAGTGATTTCTTGTATGTCGAAATAGGCCAACCAGGATGACTTCAGAAACGCACTCGAACATATCTGATTATACCGAGGTGAGATGGAGACAATTCGATTGTAGGACATGGAAAATCGTGTGCATGAACAAATCAATGTTGAGGAATAAAGAGTTTGTAATCGTTCGTATTCTGCTAGAGAGGGAGCTTGAACAGTAACTTGTTGGGTACGCTCAGATAGGAAAGTATAACAGCCAAGGACAAGAAAACCTAGAAGAAGTAAGAAGAAATATAGGCGAGTAGCAATGATGCCAACACGTTGTTCTTCTTGATCATTTTCGTCATCCGGTGGGAACAGATTAAGTGTGCGAATGGTTCGGTGTACGTGCTTTGTAACAACTAAATCGAAAACTTGTAAACATCAGACGATGGTTTTCATTCTACAAACCTTCATTTATTGGTGGAATTGATGTGTTTGAAGCATCTCGTTTTCGTTCGATCAATGTCCACAAATGAACGATCGCTGGTGTGATCATTTGCCAAGCAATAACTAGACCACCAAAAGCACTAACACAAATTGTAATGATTGCTGGCAGACGAGAACGACCTTGATAAGTATATGTTAATGATCGCGGTGAACATATGGCAAAATAATCTTCAAAACTCGTCTTTGGTTGCCATGATTCAACGAAGAGTGACTTATCAAACATCATACCGATTGTTGTCTCCAAAGAGAATTTCGATGATGCGGATTTTTGTAAAGCTTTCGGATGGAAAATCTCCGGTTGAATTGCTAGAATATCCACACATGATTGATCATGAAGACATTCTAATGTGGAACGTCGAAGTGATTCAAGAGGTAAACAGCCAGCCATCAAGCCAGGTATTTGAACTGGCGGTAATGGATGGGCATCCGTTGGTTCATCTAGCAAGCGCGTTGTCCAATTATAAAAAGCACCGGCGGGATGAAAACATTCAGTAGTTTCCAGTGGACATCGACACGCTGTGCGATTTTTCTTGTAATAGTATCCATTGTAAGCAATGTAAATATGGGATAGATAGATCGATCGGATATAAACATTTGTACGTAATGCAGATATGATTCGGTTTTGTGCGATATTCATTGACACAATACTTGCTGTGCGATTTTCATTAGCGACGATATTGTTTTGTAGGTTTGTGAGAAGACCATCAACTATTTCGTTGAATTCAGCACGTGAAAAAAGATAATTTGTCACTAAGTTTGTTGAATTGAACGTTTGGTAGCCGTCGAAAACGGCCTGTTTGGATGTATGGCAAAGTAAAGCCAGCGCTTGAAACTGTGCGAAAGAGAACGTATGAAAATCATAAGCATTGTAGGAAGTGGCGTTGGGAAGGAAAATCGAAGAAATCCAGGAGTCATCTATGAACGAACTCGAACAGATTTGATGAAAATTTGGCTGCAGTTTGATGAATCGATGGTAAGGAATCGAAACTTGTGTACAGGGGATGTTGATTGTTGTCGGATAACGAGCTTGAAGGGATTCGATTGTCGAAAGCGAGAATTTTTCAAGTATAACAGTATGTGTTTGAACAATAAGGCTAGCGTAAATAATAACGATGAATAGAGAAATGGAAATAAAGAATACAAATAGACGAGTACTGAGAATTTGTTCTGATAATTTCAGAGTTGGCGTCCACAATGGATCACTGGAGAACAGATTTAATTCACGTAGATTACGAAGAAGTGCTAAACGAGCCGAAGTTAATAGTCTTTCGGACGACTTTCTACTCATGATTATAATTCTTCAGCTAGAACTTATTTACGATACTATCGGCAGAAATAATTAGTATGTCGACATATATTTCTTTCCTTGCTGTCGAACCGATACTTATAAAATACGGAAAGAGAAACGCATGGATAACGGGACAAGCGAACGACAGAAGAAAATATTTATATTAGTTTAGATTATCAGCAGTATTTTCCATTTGCCACTCGACATTATTTGATTAATTTCCCTTTTTTGTACTACCTTGAGGATTTCATACAATAACAAGAATATATTTCTCGCGAGAAAATAAAAGCGCATTTCATCAGTTTTCTTTAGCTGCCATACTGACCATGAGCTTTTTGAAAAATTCTGCTACAATCTGTCCTGTATTACCAGGTCCGATGAATACATCGAGATTTCTCGCTGATTCATCGGCTGACTGCGCAGCTCGAGTGCACATCTTTTCTTCATAGTCTTTTATTGATTGCTCGAGATCATCTGCATTGATGATTGCCAGTGCCAAGTCTGCTGCATCGAACATAGCTAAATTTACTCCTTCACCAGCAAATGGAGACATTAGATGAGCAGCATCGCCGAGCAGTGTTACACCAGGTTTGGAGTCCCATCGATGGCCAACAGGTAACGCGTACAATCTACGTGGGACAAAACTGTCGTCACAAGAGTGAATGAAGTTTAAAAGACTTGAATTCCAGTCGGAAAACAAATCCAGTAAACGTGCACGAGCTTGTTCTGGCTGATCAAAGGGAATTTTCGATTCAACAATCCAATTCTCGGAAACACGGAGTGTAATATAGACACGAATTCGATTGTAACCACTACGTTGAGCAATAAGACCTTTGTTATCCGATAGAGCAGATAAAGTTCCACGACCTACGAGTTTCGATATTTCAGGATGTCGATTATCAACATCTGAAAATTGTACTTCTACCATTGACACACCACAATATTCAGGCTTTGCATTAGATACCAGCGAACGAACACGTGACCTGTAAAAAATGCTTACTTCTAAACCGTATGAGAATCCACGAAAATCAAACTTACCATGCGCCATCTGCTCCAACAACCAAGTCAACAATATCTGTTACACCATTGTCAAAGATTAGCTTATGCTGACCATTGCCTAAAGATTCAATACTACGTAAAACATGACCTTGTGCAATCGTGTCTGGTTTTAATGAATCGAGAAGTATTTGTCGAAGATCTTGTCGATCAATTTCTGGTCGATTTAAATCATGTCCAGCATCGACTTCTTCATAATGAACAGTACCAGTTTTATCAAGAATAATTGTATCTTCTCCTTCGGGACGACACAGTGCTTGAAATTTGTCATACAACTCTGCTAGTCGAAGTGCATATTGTCCCGATTCAGCATGCAAATCCAATGTTCCGCCTTGAGATCGAACATCGATTGAAGCTTCGCGTTCATAAATTTTGACTTCTATGCCTTTCAATTGAAGAATACGAGCTAATGTTAATCCACCTGGACCTGCGCCAATGATTGTGACACGATCAATCTTGTTTTTCAACATGTTATGTTCTTGTACGTATTTGCGCGGTTAACAAACTATACTCCAGAGAAAAATAATTCTCTTATTCTTACTTTTCTAAATGAATGCTGCTCTGATTTTTCTTTTGAGTATATATAATCAAGGTGAAACTTTTTCTTTCTTTTTCATCCTTAAACATGAGTAAAGGTGCATTTATAACGCACTTTGCTGCCGTTTCGTACGACTCAATCTTTATATCTCGATGATGACAGTATCTGTGATTATAGTATGTGTCATTCTCTGCATCTGATTTAGAAAACGCGCAAAAAAATGTAAAACTATAGAAATAAACGTAATCTTGATCAATGTCACAATAACCTGTCGGATAACGCAACAAAATCCCATCGTTTAATAACAGTTTTTTTGCGTATAGCAGATGTTAACTTCTTGTACATCGATATGATTATTGTGAATAGCAAGAACTGCGCCATATGGGTAGCTGTACGACAAACATGTACTAGCAGATTTGTTACTTCGGTCTGTATCGGCAACATAATCAAATAAGGTATTTCAAAAACGGATCGACTTGTCAACTCATTGACACGAACAATTGTTCGATACAGATAACCTTCATTGTTCACACACGAACTTATAGTTGCGGTGTGCTGCATCTGTTTGCTATCTGTTGGTCATCACACAGTCCACAACGTTGAAGTGATGCTCGCGTACACGATTCGGGACCGATGATGAATTAAGAATATACCATAGCACTCCAAGTACGTAATCTGATGTAATTTGTTCAATGCGACGACGGTCTTCAACAGTTCTATTGGTATAGCGTTTATTTAAGTTAACTGCGTCTGCATTAAATGCATTTCGACCAGCTCCACATATATCAAGAGTGTCACCGCGGGAGGATAACCTTTGTATTTACTCATACGAATAAGCAGCAGCCCGATTGACGGTTCGGATGGATAAGTATCAGACGCTATTGAAGATACGACATATGATTCTAGCGCACAAGCGATACAAATAATCCATTAGATTCAAATCCACCGAATCAGCCGGGCAGAGTTTTTCCGATGAGACAAATAAAATTACCGGTCCATTGTCGAATGTTGCTTTTACAGGAAAACTAGGTAAAAAATTACTGGTTGTTTGATAAGGCAAAATTCCTGCAAATAATTCATTGCACTGATTCGATGATTCTCGAGCGTAAGTATACGATGCGTCAGAGAAACGAGTAAGATCACCAAGCATATTCAAGAAGATTCTTATCGACATTGAAAATACTTTCTTTTCAAATAATACATTCAAGTAAAGGTAAGCATCTCTGCTATTCGTTTTATTTCTCGCAATGTACACTTAAAATATGATCAAAATCACACACATGGCACTTGTTTGGAGCATTTATAAAAGAAACAATTCCCACATGTCAAAGTCCTGTATGTTCTTAACTTGTTTCTTCTCGAGAATTTTCATCGTGTCAAATTCTACCAAAAGAGTCCAATACGTATCGGAAAACGTGGAATCGTTTTCATGATGAATAAAGAACAGAATCTGTCGTGTAGTTTCATTGTAAACAGCTTGAATATCTTGTACCACTAATCCTGCGGGTGTAGGGAAAAGAAGTGTTTCATTTCGAAATTCACCTGTGTAAGGGTTCATATAAAGCATAATAAGATCTTGATCGATGGATCCATGTTGCCATGTTGCAAACACGTTTTTCGTTTTCATGTCATAAGTCATGCTGCAGAGATTATGAACTTCGGGCATATGATGAAAATCGACAACAATATCGCCCTTTTTACCGACAAGATTCAAATCCATTTTAATATAATACGCTTCTACAGATGGATTTTCAAATCGTGTTCGAACTTCTACAATCCAGTTTTCTTCATAGTCAAAGATATAACAATTCGCATACGAAAAAGCGTATTGTTCGCCGTCTTGTTTAGTGTACTGTTTTATAGCTTCTAATGTGTGCAAATCATACTCTTCGATTATCAGTGTAAATGTACTAACTGAATATAAACCGAATAATCTTTGACGAAGAGGGTCGTAGAAAAGATAATGGAAAAATCCATTGTGTGATATCCAATGACTCTGTTGATAAGTCTTTGTCTTCAAATCAAATGAAAGTAGAAATAAACGTTCAAATGCCGTACCGCATTGCATAGGCATGTAGAACACGGACGAATTCTGACCGATGGTAGCAACAGGACCGGATTCAAAATAGTATAAATCGATGTCTTTATCGTCGATATGAAATGAAAAGTTCATGTAGAACTGAAATTTCATTGATGTCGATTCGTAGGTGTACACGCTTCCATACAACGGGTTCCTACAATAAAAGACTTTGATTTAATCATTTTCGGAACAAATATCAATTGACGTGTACGTATTAAAGGGTGCTATAGCATAATATGTTGATGCAGAAACAGCAGTTGTACAGATGATAAATATGAATGTAATCAGCATGATGGTGGGTGAAATATGAAATGCGATGTGTAATTCTTATCTTGACAAAACGTTTTTCTTTATTTTATTTGTGAGCGAAATGTGTCATTTGGCAAAAAGAGCTGATTAGTATATTTGCTGATCAAATTGTTAGGTAGAATTTTGATGTACACAAATGAGCGATATCATTATGTGAATCAACGCTAGAAGTGGAAGACTGCTGAAGCGAGTCTTTCGCCAATGAAATGGCTGTGAAAACAGTACTCAAGTACAATACATTGACCTAGTAGGATAATAAGACTTTCGTATGGACCAGTCGCATGTGATAAATTGCAAGGGATTTGTTTCTGTATGAAGACTCGAGGAGAAAATCAATATTAGTCCACATTTCAGCTACTTCTTCGAGATTTCTCAGTTTGCAAACCAGATAACCCCCATATCTTTCTTTTCGAAAGTAGATGTAAAGGAGAAAACCTATTCTATGATTCAGCGTATACTACGCATTAAACGTTATCTTTCACTTTGTCTCGGAAGACGAAGAGACAATATGGTTGCACGATGGAGATTAAATGAGAAGAACCATATTCATAGATGGACAGTAAAATTGATAAGAAAAAGTCGAAAAAGAGTAAGCTAGCTCGAATCTTCAGATTCAAACGATTGCGTAATTACTTTCAACATCCGACATCTGAACAATCTCAAGTTCAGACCAACAATACAAGAGCCTATCAAAAAGAAGATGCGAGCTCGAGTGATCAGAAAACATCAGTCGATGTGTGTAAGCGTCGTCGACAAAAATTGATCATGCGAGAACCAAAAACAATTGCTCAAACTTCTAATCATCAACAACATATCAGTATTGTAAATAGACCATGTACTTGTGCCTTGGCGAGAGCTCGTATTCAAGCAACTAGTTATCAGAAGCCAGATGTACTATGCACTGGTGCTTCACGCTCAACAATGAAGATCCCGTTAGCGCGCAGCGAGTATGACGATGTTGCATACAGATCTTTGGTTTACAAGATTGTCGAGTCTGAGTTTATTGATTTATCGGTTCTAGAATGTCTCGTATGTTTAATCAATGGAATATTAATCAAAGTGTTTGATTTAGACCGTTACTCATTTTTGTTACTCGGATTCGTGAGTTTTTATCTTTCTAGAAGATATCTCATGGAAACTTTCCTGCTGTCGATGAATATTTTCAGTTGTTATTCTATCGTCAAAACGTTGTTCTCTCTAATTACGTTCGATATTAGTCTTTACACAACACTGTCAGCCATACTGCTGAGCTGTATAGCAACACGTACTTATCATACACAAGATAAAAAGGACGCTTATGCAGGATTTCTTGTTGGGATATGCGTCGGTGATATTATTGTTCGAGGGATGGCAATTAATTTATATTGTTTTATAATAATTGGTCTTAGTATCGTAGCGACACCTATACTATTCGGAGTGTATATGTTGCATCGTTTCGTTAAGTTTTTGGATAAAAAGCGTGAAGGAAACTTCTCCCGTCCGCAACCTGTACCAGAGACGATATTGCAAAGAATTGGAAGATGGCTCAAATGACAACGAAGCTATGTTAACGATGTATGCTTTTGAGTATATAGGCAAAGAAGATCGACGCTTTTGTCTTCAAGATTCACATTTTGTTCCGTGAATATTTAATTTTTGATAAAACAGCCTTTTACTTGATCGTACGTTTGTAATCTAACGATGCAAACCAAAAACCTTTGGAACGAGCGACAGCCAAATTGAAAGACGGCAGGATATGCGTTGAATTGGAGAATATCTACTAATCTGTGGAAATCACAATTATCTAATGTAATACGAAGATAAGTGACATTAGGAAATACAACTGATAGCAGAAGTTGTTTAGGACACAATTGGAACGAAAATGAATTGGTAAAAGTTAAATGACGAACATGTGAATTTCTGAGTAACATTGAAGCAGATGAGTTGTCTATTAGAGCTATTAGATAATTGACTAGATGTGACCAGGAAAAGCGCAGTTAATTTGCAAAGAATATCGCCACAGTGTTGATGGAGAAGAAACATGCGTTATAAGTGAGAATGATTCTCAGGAGTATTACTTTTCGTATTAATCATTTTCATATAAAGTCAAATGAGGAACTCGAAGATTGATTAATGAGTGTGGATCAATTTTTGCCGATTCGAGAGAAAAACGATTGAAATCAGAAAGCGAATCACTGGAGTCACCGTTGTCTGTAGCCGTGATACGAATGTGAGTGGAATGCACAATTCTATAGATATAACGATTCAGATTACACTAAATCGTCAGATGGATTCTTGGGTTGAAGAAAGGAGAATATGTACAATAGTAATTCATCGAGATGATCTTCCGTACTAATTGCTGAAAAGAATCTATTTGAAGTAAGATAGTCGAGAAGAGGTAAAGTTATATAACGAAATCAACCATCAACTCAGTTAAGAATGAGTTGACGAATGGCGTGTCTAGGAATGTCACAATCATCAATTGTGGGCTCATCACGCAGTTCCTTTCTGACATCGGCTGTAGAATGGGACGTCTTCTTTATCTGAAATTTTACCTTTCAATAGCTCGGCGATGTCGTCTCATGTACCATTTATCGATAGCGTTTTACCGATGAAAGTTTTTAAAAAATTTGAAAGTTAATTTCTTGTTCGAGTAGCTTCAGCTCACTGGTCTGGTCGTTTCCGACACTTTTCTCTAGGGCTTCATAAATCAACAGACTATATCTAAAGAACTAAACCAATGAATTTCTAGTAACTTATTTGCATAAGATGCCAGCTATCTTTGTAATAAGTTCAGATTATTATCTACAATAACAAAATGGATGGGATAGACATTTTCCCAAGAGTCTGGTTGATCCACAGGCGAGGCAGTGACGTGAATACTAAATATAAAAATGCTAGAATATAAGATCAAACATGAATCTAGCGTTGTTGATTGAGAATTACCGTCAGAGAAACTTCAGTCAGCTTCCGAATCTACCTTTAACATGCACTGTACAATATCTGTACGACCAAGTAAACACACATGGTGATAAGCAGTTTACGTCTCTTGATGAAGTGCTGACCATTTGGAAGTGAATAGATTGCGTTGTTGACATGAATATTGACTCTCATATTTTGAAACGCCATTCGTTTCAAATAGTATAAAAAATCGTATCCAATTTAGAGACTTTTATTCATCAAGATATTACACAATCCTTTACAACGTAGTTCTTCCAAAGATGAACTTTGTCGACAATGTTTAATGAGAGACTGAATATGATGTAGTTTTACTCACGAAATTCGAAAAACCTATGGCCAATAGAACAACGACAAAGAATTGAATATCGATTGAAATGTTATTTTAAGCTTGTTTTCAGAACATCAGCTATTGTAACTTTACCTTGGATTCGAGTAACTTTTTCATCTGTGGTCCAATGTATGGTATTATCGTCGAAGCTTTTGACCATTTCAATCCAATTGTCGACTGTTGTTTTAGGCCATGCATGTTTACTTAAAATTCCACGTATATGATCGTCAGTCAGTGGAGCTGCTGCAACTGACTTTCCTAAAACATCCCCAACTGCCTTCGCAATATCGTTCGGACTGTACGGTTCTGGTCCCTCTAGCTGGACCACCGTTAGTTTATCGACTTCATTGTTCGGTTTCAACATATATTCGCTTACAATTCGACCGATATCATTTGTCGCAACATGTGGAATCTTTCGATCTAATTTCTGTAACATTGAACCCAGAACTGGTGTATGTCCCGCTTTCACTGCTGAAGCGGCACTTAACCAATTTTCAGTAAACCATGCACATCGAACTATGACAACTTGTGGTGCACTTTCTTTCAATGCTTCTTCAAGTGTGTGTGTTGTTAGAATACATCCTGTTTTCGCACTTAATTCTGCACCAACTGAACTCAATACAACAACGCGTTCGACTTTTGCTGCTTGAATAGCTGTTGCCAACGCTTGACTAACGTTTGCTGCTGCCAATTGCAAATCAGGTTTCTCATAGCCTGGTGGATTCATGGCAAAAACAGCTTTCGCACCTTGAAATACTTTCGTCAATACTTCGACATCGGTCAAATCAGCAATCGTCACTTGAATATTACGCGATCGAAATGCTTGTGCTTTATCCTCCGAACGTATGATGACATGAACAGAAACCGATTTTGCAAGAAGATAATCAACAACAGCAGAACCAACTTGACCAGTTGCACCAGTTACCACATACGACATATTGAGTTCGTTTGATGTTTATAAAGCTGTACACATTGCCTTTTCTTTATATAGGAGATGTGTTTTTCTGTTCTTTCACAACATTACCTCCAATTTTTTTTTCAGTAACGTAAAAAAGAACGAAGAAGAACATTTGTTACATACTTCACTGTGATATTTAAAAAAGAAATCTAATGACACACTTGATTTCCTAGGTATCGTTCGTAGTTGTTCTGCTCCAAAACAACAGCATGTGGCTTCAACGACATTCCGTTGGCATATTTATTTGAATAGGATTGTTACATCTTTCAAATAAATGTAAAATTCGCAGCAGTAATGTGACATGCACCGATCTACATGGATATATGAGTAAATAAGTCGAATAATGAGTATTTAGTAACGAAAAAAACAGTACACAAACTAGTGGTTAGTTTTTTTTGGTATATTAACGAAAAATTTGAAAAGTTTCTGAAAAGACCAGAGATTATACGAAGTTCAGAGAAGTATGAAATTTTTCATTGATTGATGCTTGCAGTATTTTGAAATAAATTGTTGTATTACGCGAATCGAATTCATCTTTCATGGTGCCATAGTAATCGTTTCCATAATATAAATACTGCGAATAATTAAAAAACACCGAGATCAATATTGGCAGAGTAAGGAGAGTAAATGGAAACATGAGAACAATAGACGCTATTGGACGATCTTCTTCCGGAAGTACTTTTACTGTACCAAGTAGGATTGGACCAATGATCGGGATAAATGAAACAATTACACAAAAGACTAGGGCAGCCAACCATAAAACTATGTAGATGATGATCATAAATACATAAGTGGCAGCCATTGGTATTACATTGGTAAAAATATATGGAACTAAAGGAAGACCAACAACGATGATCGTAAGAAGCGATGGCCATAGACCAATGTGATGCTCGATTGTCTTCCTCAACGATTCCTTATGTACTTTCTGCACATGTTGTCGCACCCGAAAGTATACGTACAGCTTAGTAACAACAAGCCAGAAGAAAGCACAATATGGAACAAAGATATAATTGTACAATCGATAACCGAATGCATTATAACAATTCCATTCGTTGGCTTTTTCTGCTCCTATACACGATGACTGTATGTAGAAGTACCAAATCGTATGTGCGAATAAAGGTAAAGAGTGAATAAGTAGGTCGAACAGATCGAACTTTAATTTGCCATAGAGAAGATCAAGAGCTCTTTGAGCTTTTTCAAGTTCTATCATAAGTATATTCTCTTGATGTGCTTGACGTGCTTGATGTTCACGTAGAGAATTAGTAGTCCAGAAGCGGGGACGTATCAATGACCCAGGAGTAACCAATGCGTCTTGAAAAGACTTCATTCTCACATAACGAGGATCCCGGCGTTGTCTTCCCCTCAGTTGATGTTGAAATTGTCTATTTAGTTCCAGTACTTCCTGGATTTTAGCTCGTTTTTTACGTAATATATAGTGACCAGCTGCAATCTCTTGTGTAGTGGACCATGTGCCATAGCGTATTCGATTCCAAATACGCTGAAAAATAATATCTTTTAAAATCAATTGTACGATCATGATCCAATACGGCTGAATATTCATGTGCTCTTGAGGTAAGGTAAATAGAAGTGGATTTGCATTTTGTATCCGTATTGGCACTGGTCCAGTAAAGTCTTCATTGTTACTACTTTCTCCGGCACCCATGTTTGTCTTGGACTGAGATAGACAGATGGCAAAAGATTCAAATTCAACTTACGTGTATCTTTGCTTATCGTAATCAATCAATGAAAACCAAATACCCGTTGTGTGTTCTTCCTCGATACTTTTTGAGAGATATGACGAATTGGCGTTTCGTTTTGTTAAGCATGTGTAAGAAAAGGAAGTACCTTTTCGAGTTACTCCACCGTAAACCTATACTACATTGTGTCGTCAATATAGATGACCAGGTTCTTGCGCGTGGTTTTATTTGTTTTCTTTCTATACAGGTATCTAGCAAAAACTACTGTTTACCGGGTACTTCCTCACCTTGATTTCAAAAAGCATTGATCAGTCTTTCCTAACAGTTTAATAACGAACAAATCGAACGGTCACGCATTTCAATATGTTGGAAACCTATGAGCAACCTTCATACCGGTGTAGACGTAGATGGGGTAAAAGAAGATAGTATATCATTGAGGACATAACGTTATGTAGAGAATCGTACTCAAAAAGAAAGGTAGAAAAAAAAACAGGCGTAAATGAAGCATTCAATAGTCTGTTCGCCTCGTATTTATATTCACACTGACTCTAATCAGATAAAATTTGAATAATATCCTTCGTCGCCAAAGACTCCAATAAGCAAAATCATAACTACATGAAATGACTAATGAAACTCCTTTCATATTCTCAGTTATATCTTGTAAGCATCTTGGCAATAAAAAACCAAGAAAAAACATTACTTTTATGTATTCGAAATTGTTACTGATGATTATAGCTTACACAAAAATTACGAGAAAAAATATAATTATAAAGCATCATTAATTGGTTGCTAACGTTTGCCGTCGTTCTTCTTTCATTTTAGTCTGATTAAATTCAAGATCTATTGTCATAATTGTCGAAATGAAACCAATGGCAACATGTCAAGAAATAAAAGTAACTTCTCACCAGATTTTGTTGTAACGCATCATCGAAATACTTCATCCCAACATCTCCAATACAATTCCTATCCGGCAACAATTTGGTCAATGCCCACATGAAAGCATCGAAGCGAAGATACAAGTAAGAAAAGAAGTTTTACAGCGTTAGTAGCCAAAGCAATGGCTATGTATGTCATTTTCACATGTCCGATTTTATCCTAATGTAGACTCAAAATAACTATTACCTATATAAAAACTATAGATAATAAATAACCAAACGAACAGATATCATCAGCTACTATGTTGTTGTAGAGCGAAGCAGCCAGGCGTCGAGCCCCTGTGTCTCCAATTTAGTAGACGAACAGATCTAATGTATCGAAACCCTATCGGTAGAAGATAATTGATGATCTGCACATTAATAATCAATGCGAAAACTATTCGTGCATTTTTACACAGATTGAATACGTGTCACACTTGAGAGTTCTCTTCCCGCAATGAAATTATTCAGTGATTCATTGGTTCTCCTCGTTTTCCATATTTTTGGTATTGCCAATGAAGAAAAAAGAATTGATGTTCTTTTCCTTTAATCAATCTTTAAAATAACAAAAAAGAAACAAATCAACGTAGACTAGAGAAGAAAACAAAACATTTCGGTACTAATTCGTTGTGGAATCGTCGATAGGTAAGTCTTCTTGTTTTCTCATTTGAACACGATAAATTGTAGTTCCCAACGATCTCATTTTCCGTAATACCGCTTTTGCTGCGTTGAGAATCGATCGACGAGATCGTAATTTGGAAAATGTACTCTTCTCTGCGCGTAGTTTCTTCGCGAATTGTTTCGTCACGTTCATTATCTCTTTTTTTCCATCAACAACAGATGTTACACTCGATAAATCGATACGTTCTCTTATGTTTTTTGTTTTATTCAGACTTTCGGTAACAGACAAATGAAATCTGGCTAGTGTCGCAACATTCGCTGTTTTCCGTAATAGCGTGCGAAATGCATCCAAAGCCTGGAGAAAGAGAAAGAAAATAATGGTATAAGAGGAAAATAAAAACACCTACGGGACGAAATGTCTTCAACTGTATCTTGGTGATTTCATCAAGTGCAGATGGAAGGTCGGAAGTTAACGGTTTCACCGAACTTCTTCTATTGTTTTCTTTAGCTTTTGGTTTAATATCTGATACATTGGAATTCTTCACAACTTTCATCCACCGATTACGAATAATCTTCAAATAAAAGGTCACGACTTTCTTTATCCATTATAAAATGATATATTTACCCTGACATTGTTATAGAACTGAAAAAACGAACTTCGAAGTTCTACGTAAGCTTTCAGATGACGAAATTTTTCAATACTTCCATGAATTAACGAATTAGTCGAAACAAATATATCGTAGATATTGTTTAAGTTATTCAAATACAGTGTTGCTTCGGTTTCATTCGACTGTTGTTGCAATGGAACAATGATCGAAAAGACATAACCGTTGATCAAACATAGGTTTTCGAATAGTTTGGTTAGAACTTTTTCGGAAGAGTTCTGCGCGATCAATTCACGAATGATTTTCAGCATTTCATTAATTGCATGGACAAATGAATACTCTACAACAGCAAAAAAAAGCATCCATTGGTTTGTTATTAACAGTAAAAGAGGTCAATTACCCATCGTCGATGGTGTTGATTCGGCTATTGGCTCCTCTGCTGGTTCACTTTTCACAACGGAAAGTGAATTATTATGTGTATTGCTATCTTCGCTCTCAATCTTTATTTCAGGCGGAGGATCGATTTTAACCTCCGATGTGCATAAATATACAATGGTACTATTTCTGTTGAATCGATATTTATCCATGTAGTTCGCTAATGTTTTGAATTTTTTCACATCGAGCGGCTGAAGCTGGAAATCGTACAGCACTGTTTGTTGTTTCTGATCGGCTGAAACGAAAAATCGGTCGGAAACTTTCAACGATCGAAGTTTTCTCTTACGAAGAGAGTAAATGGTGAGAAGTAGATTATGAACATCATCGAATGTCATTTGCTCATCACTGCAATCGCACGTTCTTGTACCACCACCGCCTCCTAACTCGACTTTTTTCACTCGACCATCTCGAGTTAATAACAAACGACCACAACGGAATTTCTTGCTCATTTTTATCCTTTAAAAATCAATATGGTTTAAAATCGAGTTTCGATTGATTCGAACAACAATTGGCTCAAACTTGTTTGCAATCGTAAGGAGGAATTAACAAAAGAGAGATAGATGGCGTTCGACGTCGACAATCTACAAGGAGAAAGATATGTTAATCATTGTGACAATAACTATCAGAATTTACTTTTCGTTAGGCAATTTTATTACTATCGTTGAGACTACGCTGCTCTATGATCTACTGAGGAGAATGAAATTTGAAAACTTAAACGTCATTTACTATTCACACATGTGGCATTTTCATGTAAAAAAAACGAATTTTGCATTCTGTCACGTTTTTTTCTCTTTATTTATGTTACAGTAACCAAGTAAGAACTGGCAATGATTAACATGGCTCGCCAATGGTTCATTTCGACGCTAATAAACAGGTGTAGTGTGAAACTATCATCATTATTCTATCTACTGATATTACTATTGGTCATTGCGGCAGCATTTTTCATTAAGTTTGGACTGAACGTTCAGAAATCAACAGCGCATCCCGTATTCATCTTTAGTTCATCACGGAGACCTACGACGACAACTATAACGACCTTTCCATCACCACAACTGACCAATAAAGACTGTAAGAGACTTGATTTTGAGGGACTTCGCCTTGCGAATTCAACTAATCCAATTCCTCCAATATACGATTTTTTTATTTTCAATGACGAACTGGATCTGCTCGAAATACGTCTGTACGAGTTGTACAACTATGTAACTCTCTTTCTCATTGTGGAAAGTGAAATAACACTATCGGGTAAACCGAAACGATTGTATCTCAAAGAAAATTGGCAAAAATTCGCTAGATATCATGAGAAAATGCGTCGATTCGAGGTCGAGTTGGATCAATTTCCAGAAAGCCAATGGTCCAATGAAATCACATTGAGAGAGGATGGTCTTCGCATTGCTCTTCAAAACCGTTCAGGGTAAGCAAAAGCAAAGTTTAGCAGGAATGTAACGCATTTCCTATTTAAGAGATACTATTCTACTAACATCTGACGTTGATGAGATACCTACAGCTCATTTTTTAAATGCTTTAACTTCGTGTGAGCTATCAAATCCATTTCAACCATTGGTACTTATCTGTGCTTACTATTACTATTCATTTGAATTCCGACGTGGTACGACAGAAGGTGCAACGGTCACCTTCTTGACTTTGGATCCTGCGGAACAAGCTCAGACGATCTCTGGCAAAACTTTACGCGATAATCGCTTCAGTTTTCAACGTATGCCAAGTTCTTGTTACCATTGTTCATGGTGTTTTGATCGGATCAACTTAACACGCAGTAAACTGGGTTCGTTTTCTCATACGGAACTGAATAGACCGGAGTATCAAAAGCAGGACCACATACTCGCACGGTATCGTGAAGGAAAAGATTTGTTTAATCGGGCTAGTGAAGTGTACGTACGTTTGGATGAGAACGATGAAATTCCTGAATTAGTCAAAGCACAGCGAGATCGGTTTGCTTATTTGTGGAATAGGACTGCGCTAGTAAATGTAGGTTTTCGAGACGTGATCGTCGAAAGTATCAATGTAAGTATGAAAAATGGAACGAGATAAATAAAATTGTGATGTTGATAAGATTTTTTTTCTCTTCGTCAATTTATAAAACTTTTGGTATTAGCAGGTGACAAATCTAGCAATCATGTCGTATGATGGATAGTGAGGTTTTCGATGAATTAATCAATTAACGTGCGAATAGCATCGAGAATTCGTTGAATACGTTTGTTGGTTTTACTCATATCCAGATTTAATTTATTTGGCACATAAGCAAATGATAGTTGTTTGTCTGGACAAGCAAATGCTATGCTTCCACCTAAACCTGTCGATAAACAAACGACAGATGAGATTCGCAGTATAAGAAACAAGTTAACAATCTTACCCCAGTGTCCAAAAACATTGCCGAAATCTTTCACAACCGTATCGTCTAGCATGAATCCACCTTGACTGAATTTTGTTGGCAGATCATCAAGAATTTGATCGGGTTCGTTGCGAGGTGTGTTATTGCGTATAGCTTCTACTAAAGTTTTCGATGTTAAAAGGTCTTCTGTGAATAGCAGCGATGCATAGAGTCGTGCTAACGATCGAGCATTCGTGAAAATGTTGATAATAGACAACCGTTCGTCTGTATTATCAATAGGTGGTAGTTGAATAAGACCATTCAGAGTAAATGCTCGATACTGCAATAAACTAAAGGAAGTTTCATCGATTAACAGAAACACATGGCAGTTGTAAAATACTTCAATATGGGTTGATCTGATGATAGTTCCGGTGGAGGTAGTATACTTGCACAAACTTGACTTGCCCGCTGTTTTGGTAAACGTTTGGCAACAAAATATTCACAACTGTCCAGGATAGGAGTAATTTCTTCTTCAATGAATTGTCCCATTGAACGATGTTTGACAATATCAACCCGGCGAATTAATTCATTCGCTAAATAAGGAAAAGTCAATGCATGATAACCGTGACCGCCGACATTAGGCTCCCAGTAGGGTTTCTGTTTGACAAGAAGTTGTACAATTCTCGTTGGATCTAAACAAAAAGTCTTATGCTATGATGAATGACATTGAAAACTGTATTATGTTACCGTCATGAACATCTTCTAATTTCAATGAATTATCATCTATTACAGGCAAGCCAGCACGATGTGATAATAGATCTTTAATTTTGATATTCTGCTTTCCGTTCTGTCCAAACTCAGGCCAATATTTAGCTACGCATTCTTCGTAATCCAACCATCCTCGCTGAACACAGATAGCCAAAGCAGTAGCGATGATACCTTTCCCGGTTGAATAAACGATTTGTAGTGTATTATGTTGATACGGTTTCGCATGATCTTCAATATTAAACCATCCACCAGTTAAATCAACAACACATTGATTTCGGTGATAAACACAAAGTGTAGCACCAATATCAAGTTGTTCAGCAAAATTTTGAAGGAACAATTGCCGAATGCATTCCCATGCAGGTTTACAGTAACCTGATACAACACCTTCCGTCTCAAGGCTACACATACCTTTTATCTTTTAACAAATCATCTATCTATACGTAGTCATCAATGGATGATCCTTTTTATTCAATCAATACATGATCTATACAGATGGCGCCGTTCGAAAGCTGCATCATTGTCTGCATAAATTCAATTTCGATAGGTACACTGATCTCTGTTTTCATTCTACCTCTTTTAATTTTATCAGTATAATATTATTCACCTGATCAAGGCGGATTGTCAAGTTCTTTGAAGAAGAGTTTTATCAAGAAATATTTGTATCTTGAAAGACATAAACTAAGAGAATGTATGTATAGAATCACTAGTATAGACGACTAACCCAGATTACTGGACCGTTCAAAAGGCAAGAGATTATTCTAACTTTTGGATGAATACTTTTGAATATATGACACCCTTAAAACGTCGTAAAGATACGCAGCTTCTCACAGGGGAGAAATGTCGAGTGACAAAATCTCCCTTCATGATATCATAGAATAACAAATTTGACACTGATAATATCTAAACATACAGATAGCAAAGGTGAAAGCGATACAGTTAGTGCTTAGATAAAAATAACCCATTCTTTTCGAACTTCTTTTTTTTCAACTTGCACTTTTAGAAAAGAAGAAATAATGGACGGCATAGTGATTTCTGTCGATAAGTACTCGGACGATATGTTTTCGAACACAGCGAAGTATAATTTAGCAAGAACGACAACGACAAAATCAGATCAACGTCAATCTATTGTTCAAACCAAAACGCAGAATCAGTATAGAAAATCACCAGAAGTATCAGCAGTAACACTTGTTCGTATGACACAACTAGCACCGGAAGAAACGACGATAAATGGTACAGTATTAAAATCTCGGAATTATGTCTGTTTGTCAATAAGAGAATTTCGTAGATCCTTCACCGAATTCATTGAAGCATATTCTCCGTCAACGGCAGGGTATTCGTCGACAAGATTCGAATTTATCGGAACGTGTAAAAAGATTTTATCAGAGACAAGATGATCTTATCAATGGTTACAAACAAGTGGAGAAACGAGCAAACAATAACGACGAGGAACGGGAAAAGAATGATGATCTTCAGACAAAATCAAAGAGAATGACACTGATCTTGTCTCGACTTTCGTTAGCAGTCAATATTGTGCGTACAACTGAAAAGATTCAAAAGAATAATATCTATTCTTCTAGCTATTGTTTCTTACTAAAATCATCGCTGCCATTCTATCTAAATCACTTTCAATCGCGTCGACTGTGGTCGATTCAGCTGTTGATTTAGCATCATCTGTTATTCTCTTTTGGGCAGCTCGGGCAATGAAAAAACGAAATATTTACTTATATCCGCAAGGTATTCCTTCATCGAGTATATTTACAAACAAGATGTAATTTTCTTTTGCTAAGGTCGGACACGTTTGGAACCAGTTGCTATCGTTATTCTGTCGGTAATTATGTGCGCTGCTTCTGTAATGGTTGTCTACAATTCAATTGATATTCTTGTGACTGAAATTAACTATTTTACCGAGACGAATACGACTAAAACATTGTCAGAAATTGATATGAGTGCGTTTCCCATGACCGTTATGTGTGTCACGGCGGTTAGCAAGGCTATTCTATTCTTTTTATGTTATCGCGTGAAAACTCCGACAATGTCTGCATTAGCTGAAGATCATCGAAATGATGTGGCGTCAAATATAATTGCACTTGGTTGTGGACTCATTGGTGAGCTATTGGCATACTTTGCTGAACATTCGTTTTGACGAATTGAGAATTTCATAGGTTCCTATGCTTATCAAAATGCCATTGATCGACGTGCTATCGTCGTGGATCCAGTAGGTGCGGTCTTGATTTCCGTTTATATTATTATTTCATGGATCAAACAAGCGAATCGTAGGTTCTTCTCTTTTAACATCGTTTTCATATCTGAACTTTCTTCACCTAGGCCAAATCAAACGACTAACTGGTTACACAGCAAAGCCACAATTTCTATCACAAATTACGGTGAATATAGCATTGGTTTCTTTTTTTCTTTTACTTTGTTCTCTATAGTGGTTGACTTTTCATCATTCGGAACATATACTCAAGATAGATACCGTTAGAGCGTTCCATTTTGGCACTTCATTTCTTGTCGAAGTTCATATTGTTCTCCCCGAAACCATGCTCGTCAAAGAAGCACATGACATCGCCGAAGGACTTCAACAGAAAATCGAACGATTACCGGAAGTAGAACGTGTACGATAAAAATACCTTCATGTCTTTGTATTTTACATTTTTGGATTTATATTTTAGGCTTTCGTTCATATCGACTACGAATATCAACACAAACCAACCGATGAACATAAAATTGTTTAAATCTAAGTTTGTGCAACTATACGTTTTTAATAAACAAATTGTGATCTTTTCTTCTGTTTAAATTATTGTTAAGTGAAATGAGACATGCCAATACGTATCTCGATTTGGTAATGCGCGACGTTAAAACTTTCTCTCATGTTCCTGAGAATCCTAAATTGCTCATAATGACCAAGGTCCATTGATGCGATAGAGTATAGAAATGTTATACTTAAACATCACAAATTAATTCATATTAATAGAAAAAAAGACACCTTGAGAATGTGAACAAAGAGTAAATATGATGTTCACATGCACCCAGAGATATAAACTTCAACAATAGTGATAATAATAATAAGTTTGAAATGGGAAAGAAGAAAAAAACGAACACTATTGAGCAAATAAAAGAGTTAGACAATAAGGGGGAAAAGGTAAACAGAAATAATTAAGAAAAAAGTTCAATGTAGACTACGAAATATTAAAATAAAAAGTAGTGAAATAGATAAAGACTGTTTTTCTCCTTGATAGATAACCATTGAATATCCATATTCAACATCTGATTATTTAATGACGAATGTTTCTTCTTTTTCTCTTTGCACCGCGAATAGTAACTGCTGCATAAGCAGGATACTGTTGAGAATGACCTGGAACAGAAGCTTGACATAGCAGATACATTTGTGTCGCAGCGGTATCGGCAGTCGGTGCAATGATAACGTCATTTCCTTGTTGCTATTTAAATGAAAGAAAAATAAGTCATTGTTTCGATCGATACCAATTCGTGCTACATACATGAGCATATGAGGGAAGAGTTGGATCATTTCCATACTGACTCCATGTCACTTGATATTGTTGAGCACCTTTAACATTACATGTGACAGTTTTTTTCTCACCAGGCGCAATGGTAACTTCTCTTGGCTCGACGGTCACTTCGACGTAGTCTTGTGGTTGATATTGTTGTTGTGATTGTTGATCATGTTGTTGATGTTCTTGTTGTTGATGCTGCTGATGTTGATGTTGTTGTTGATGATGATGATGTTGGCGTTTTGATTCGACATTGACACGTAATTCTCTGTGAACTTCTCCGTGTGAATTACTGACCGTGACTCGATAGACACCAGCCGATTCAGGTGTAGCACGGTTAAGAATGAGACGATTGGATTCAATGGTGAATCCTTCCGAAACTGGTTCATAGCCTTGTGCAGTATATTTGTGCCAGACAATGTTAATCGGTTCAGCCGACTGCAAATAGAAAAAAGAAAGGACATCTTTTTGTTGAACTTTGAAATTCGTATTGTACATACAACTATAGTGTATTGAACAATCATACGTTGACCTTCTTTGAGATCAATTGAATCGGGTTGAATTAATATCTTGGGTAAACCACCTAAAACTCAAAGAGATACATAAGAATAAACTTGATGATTTTGTCTCGACTCACCATGTTGTACTTGAGGTTGGGGTTGATAATGCGTTTCGCTAGGTCGAATTTGAATTTGATACGGAATTTGAACACGAGTACCATCACTTCTGTACAAGTCACAATAATATGTGCCCGTATGCTCAGCGCGTGCATTTGTGACTTGTAAATCGTTACCAGCTTGATAAATGCCATCGGGAAGTCCTTGGCCATCACTGCGTGACCAATATGCACGATCATATCCAGCTGGAGCTTGAATCAATTGGTTGCCACCTTCCTCAACTGAAACTGGACCGGACGGGTGTGGTGGTTGAACGTGAACATCATAACCAGGTTGAACATCATAGTTAGGCGGTGTATTATAGTCGGGTTGAGGATTATAGTCAGGTGGTGCAACGTAGCCTGGTTGAGCGTCATAAGTAGGTTGTTCTACAAAAGAATAATATGCCAGTAGGAATCTTTTCAAATTTTACTAGAATTATTTACTGCTAAAGGTAAGAATACTGTTTCCATCACCATAGTTACCACCTGGAATTGAACAACGATAATTTCCCAAGTATGGTCGCGAAATAGGACGAATGTAAAGTGTTTTTCCTCGTGCAAAAAGTGGATCTTCATCACCAAGAAGCTATAAAGGTCGCCAAGATATTTTACAGTTTCATTCATTCAAGTCGATACGTACTTTTTCGTTGAAGTACCACTGAACTCTTGGTTCGTCGTCTGGTAAAGCACCTTCACATTGAATTTCCACGTAATCCCCTTCAGCCATATCCGGTGCAGCAATACGTAAGTATTGAAAGTTCTGATATACTAGAATGTCAATCCCTAATGAAATATCTTTGTCATCCATTTACAAAACGAACCTGGTGGTCGCATATCGGGATATGCGGGTTGTGGTTGTTGTTGTGGTTCTGGCTGTGGATAGTAACGGCTTTCTTCTTCCATGGTAAGAACAGCGGAGTCGCTGTTTCCTGCTCCATCCTGAGCCATACATGTATATTTGCCGATCTTGCTTGGATCGTCAAGTGTGATACGCGATCTCAACGTTGCTTTCGTTCCAGAGATTTGTTTCTCTTTGGAATCGATAAAAGCGTAACGCTAAAATGGAAACGAGAAAAGTTGAAGAAACGAAATGCGATTTTTTTCCCGTAGGAATCGTACGCGCTCTGGTTCTTCTTGGACCCAATAGATGAGTGTGTTACTATCGGCATTGTTTACAGTACAGATAAGCTCATACGCTTGTCCACGTTGTACTTTGAGTGTAGCAGGATCAAGAACAACTTTAATCTTTGTTGGACCAGCAGTTGTTGATGGGCCTGGTGCTGCCGTTGCATCTTCTATACGATAGAATAAATAAATATATTCGTTTTACAAAAAAGATCATCTATTACCATCAGTACCGTTGGCATCAATCGAACTTCCTATAATAAAAGCAGTTATCAAAAACAAATACAATCATACTGTCGATAATCTCACCATCAGTGATAAGTGTAGCTAAAAGAAAACGATGAATTAATCATTCACAAGTGGATACAGAAGATCGATTACATACATATAGTTGTTACAATCAATGCATCGCTATCACTTGAATTATTATCTAATGATTGGGTAGTTTCTCTTACATCAGCGATAACCGTTGCATTTGTATCAGCTGTGGCCGATTCCAGAGTCGTTGCTTGGTCAGCACCATCAGTAGCTGCGGCATCAGCATTTGTTGTTGCTTCGTCAGCAGCACCTGCTGTTGCTTGATCGGCAGCATCAGTAGCAGCAGAAGCTGCAGCATCATCACTCGCTGTTGCTTGATTCAAAGTTCCATTTTCATTCGCTACTGCTTCAAGTGTAGTAGCTAAAAATGTTACTGCCTCTTCGGTTTGTTGAGCGAGACCTGTGGTCGCACTTAAATCTGTTGCTCCAGTTAATCCTATGAGCAAACTTTGTGTTGTTTCATCTACTGGCAGAGCGAAGATTGTGCACAACGCAACGAGATGCAACAGAAATACGTGCAGGACAATTTTCATCCTTGTAAATAATACGAGAAAAGATTATAATACGATTCTATTTTGTGGTATCGTCTATATATAGAGAAGCTGTCTTCTTTTTTTTTCTTTTTTTTTTGTTGCTTTCATCACCTATGATTGATATTAATGTAAGATATCTATATACCACAAGAAATGTTTCGTTAGGAGAATGGAAAAAAGAAACCTTCTCCTATTTGATGTGACAAGGGCACAAGACTAATACGATGGAAAAAAAAGAAGAGAAATATGTATGTTTAGTATCTTTTTCTGTCTAACCAGAAGAGATATATTCATTAGCAAAGATTGCACCAAGAACAAAATGACGTCTGTCCATAGGATGATAACACGATATTCTTTTAAAATCATTTCCTCGTAGAAATATAATCTTCGGGAAAAAACTTTCCTCTTTCTTTATCTTATATCATTGTATCTAACAGGAAGACAATCTAATTCAGTTTAGTAGCGCTATTTGCGATGCCGCAAAGATACAATTGGATGATAGCCAAAGAAACAAAAAGAAAATAGTTCCCACCATGCCATGCTACTGATAAACTCAAGAAAAGATAATTAACAGAGGAACTTAGTTCAAAGACATCACGTTCAATTAATCTTGTTGTTGTGTCTGTGATGCATATTTTTTTCTTCTTGTTTGCAGTATATGAAAACCGTGGATATAAATCCGATAGCTTATACTTAAAATAGTTAAGAATCCAATTAAGAGGAAAAATAGATGATCGATACATGGAGAGAGAAAAGTTCATTTTCTCAGTAACTTACGGCAATATTAAGTGTTCAGCTTCGTGCAGTTTCGTCGAACGTTCATGGATACTATCAGATATCCTTGTTTATCTTTAGCATCATCGGAAATCTAATGAAAATTTAAATATATTCTCGCAAATCGATGGCGAGCTGTTTGCTTTGTTTCTCTCATTCAAGTTAGTGGTCTCGATCTGACTCATGATTTTCTATTTCTTCGTAGCTGGTACAACTCTTTCTCGGTATAATTATTTATGTTTAATATCAATCGATGGATGGTTAATTACATCATTAAATGTCTCATCTCATCGATTAAGTAGTGTTATCCTTATTCGAAGAATTTCTATCATTAACACACCCGTCTGGATATAATCTACAATCTTCATGCTGCGATTGCATTTCAACTGGAAATACATGGTTATGTGCCATCCTTTGATAGATCTTACTTCTTACCGGTTGTGATTATAGTTTTATTTGTACTGTTAAAATTATGATGAATTATTAAGAAAGACTTGATTAGAAAGCCTAATAACATTATTCATTCACTGGAATCTGTTGGAAGCAATAATGTCTGAGATTGCGAAGAACGAATCTCGTATGAAAATCGTCCGAATGTAATTTATACGTTGCATTCATTCGCTACAAAATAATCCAGATCAAATGTGAATTGATAACTTATTCAGTTGCATGCCATTTGCTTTTGCTTAATACATACATATTTACAACATACCATTTCGGAAAGAATTCAACGGCATACTTTCCTTTTTATTCGTTGCGATTAAACATTTTAGTCTTATTGAATTCGTTTGTTAAAATTGTACTAGACGCACAATTGTACACAGAATATTCACAATAGGTGTGTTGAACTCGATGTCGAAGCGGGTAAAGCCAAACTGTTCCCTATGAATGAAACAATACATGGATATTTATCTCAACGATCTATACTAACGTTAATAAACCATACTAAGCAAAACAATCCAATAATGAGTTGTCTAGAATAATCTTTGAATATAAAATGAAAATCGACGGATGTTCTCGTTTCAAGAAAAATCGTACTCGGAAAATGATTGTTATGAATAAAGTTAATACTGTTCCACCTGCGATGATTAAATAGATACACATTCAACTATCGATAGGACATGAGTTGATGTATATTGCGCCAAAGATGATTTGAAGTATGGACACCACAAAAATAACATAATTAAGAATGTTGACAAGCATGTTTCATGAAAATTTATTGAATAGGTTCTAGAGAGATCAGTGTCTTTGAGTATGAAAGCCATTTCGATTGGCTGGTTGATTTTATTTCTGCAACATCACATTCAGTACTCATATTTATCTATGAATCACCATTGAAACGTTCTTTTCTTTTCTACACAGATAAATCTTGACGATAACGATTGCATCATTTAAGCAGCAAACTATCGTTGCTTCCGATAGTGACAAAAAGCAGAAAGCGAGTTTTGATAATGGAAACTGAATTTTCTAATCAATCGTTTACTTAAACTTGCTTATCGCGTTTAACAGAATGAGTAATTTTGAAACCTACATGTATGTCATGAAAATTGTGTGCATGACTTCGCTTTTGATTCGAGTGCATTTCTATTCAAAGATTTTCGTTTATGTTAATGCATTTCTTCCTCTCTCTCTCTCACTCTGTACACATGCATATTTGACAAATAAACCATTTTCGACACGAGTATATAAGAAAAAGAAAAATCGTCAAAAGTAAATCAAAGAAGACAATATGAAATTGCACGTTTATGCTTTGATCTCTGCCTTTCTGGTCTTGGCTGCCACGGCTGCACCGGCTTTCTTGCAAAATGATCCCAAACGTCCAGTAGCTGACGTCGCGCGTGACTTGGGAATCACAGCTGATCAATTTGTTGCCTGTTTCAACGGTGTAACACCAGCTCCTCGCGGCAGCAAACCAACAGATGATCAAGTACATGCGAACAAACAACATCTTCTAAGCTGTCTTCAACAAGCTAATCCATCCATTACCAATGAGAAGTTGGATGCGGTCATGGATAAATACCGTCCAAGCTCTTAGAAAGTTTGATGATTGTTCTATCCTTATAAAACAATTTCCTTAAACTCTATTCTGAACATTCATCATCTTTTTTCTTCTACCCAAACAATATGAAATAAAATTTACTCATAATTTGATTAATACTTCTATATCTACAAAAAAAAGCTCTCGATCGTCATTTCAGTTGCGTTCAGTAGGATACTCGGACTGGTATAAAAGGGTTAATTAACACGCAATACGTTTTTCGACTTTCATCAGGTAAATTCAACGACTGATAGTCCTTGTAAAAGCCTTATTCTTTACATACATGGATAAATGCATATATTTTGTTGAGAACATACATGTATACGACCGCGCTTTCTCCTTTTTCTTCTCTTCTTTGCTCGTTGTGTCTATCAACACATAATCTATCTATCGATTATGAAAGAATAACTGTTCGTACATCCATATTTCTCTCGCTCCATTTACAAAGGCGTATCCAGCCTATCATTAGTCCATGAGGAAAAAGAACAAATGTCAATGAGAGCACAGAAGCGAGAAGAAAAGCTATTAGAGGAAATTAACGCTGCGATTTCCATTTCAAAGATATATTTTTGACTTCAAAACATGTCAACTAAAATATCACGAAAGCAAATCATAGTGTCATAATAAGATTAATCGTTCATTAGGACATATTTGATATTTTGGATAAATATTCTTGTTTTTCATTTTAAAATATAAGCTTCAATGTCATTGACAGTAAAACTTGTAGTGCCGGTAAAAGTCTTATCACTCAGACCAGTCGAATCGACATATGAGCAAGGAAATCTTGTATTACTATATTTGTTCTCGTTGCAACCATTGGCTATGAACAGATCACCACGACGAATACCCCATACGCTGTCGTAACCATCCATAAAATTCGTCCAATCCAAACCATCACCACCAAAACCAAAGAGATAGGTATTGTAAATTTCACCAAGATAACCAGCTCCAGAATGATATACAGCGTTGTTACTCTTGGATTTATCAATGCTAAACTTTGTTGGAGGGAGATCATGCGGATTGGTTAAAGTGAATAAAAATGCGTTTACATCTTGTCTAAAACCTCGAGTTCGACTCCAAATCAGTTGTGTGAATGCACCAAATAAATAGTTGCCTTCTTTAGACTGAATAACGATCATGGTTGGTCCTTGTCCATCACAGCGGCCATGGAATTTTTCGGTTGAGAAACCATGATCTGTCGCTTTGTAGACTAATTCCCAAGTTTGATTACGATTTCCATAGAATTCATTGAGTTTTAATTGATGCTGCTTGTCAAATAACAATGTACCTCCCACGAAAAGCGTCTGTGTATCGATATCGATGCTAGGTGGTATAGGAACTACAATTTAAAGACGAAAACTATGTCAAGTCGTAAAATTAACTTCTTAATTGTCTCGAATGAATTTGCCGCGTATTCGATATCTTACTTACCTACGTATAATGGTAAAAAACCCAGGCACATGTCGTGGTTTGCTTTCAGACTGAAACAAGGAAAATATCTTCATGCTGAGCAACTTTTTGCATGGTAGATGATTACCGATCAATGAATTTTTCCTTAGTTATTTTCTCGACTTGTCTGTCGTTGAATTTCATGATTGTTTTCACCATGAACGATGTTGAGCTGACATCAATACCTTTTAACTCAGCGACAGCTTCTAGAATTTGAAGCAAATCTTCGCTGCTGACATATTCGTGACCTGATGATGCGCACATTTGAAACGTCTGTCAAAAGAATTGAAATAGTCGAAATAGATCAACATTCACAATAGAGAGTGTCGAATATATACCAATGTCAGTTGATGCTCGATATCACCTGGCACTGTTAAAGAGAGAGCCGTCATATATTCATCGAAGCTTAAAGTTCCACTTTGATTTTTATCGAGCACCTTGAAGGCGTAGTTGCAATATTGTTTCGGATCACCTCTAAAGATTACGTGAAATATAGATTGCTTTAATCTTTGGAATCAGCAGACGTACTTAGGAAAGCGTTTTTGGAATTCATTGATGAATTCATTTTCGTCAATTTCACCTGAAGGACTAAAAAGTATTATTTGAAAAGCTTGTTAAGGGAAAGAAAAACAGAGTTGGCATGAGTTTTTACTGTGCAGCAATGAAGTTTGTGTGCAGAGTCTCGATATTTTTACTGGTCATCGCGCCCGTTAGCTTGTTTTCGGATCGAATCGCTCGA